GGAACGGTCCTCTAAGTTGGGGGGGTCCTGAGAACCCTCAAGCCGAGCTAAACAGTACTCACCCTCCCACCACCACGCCGCTCCGCCTCTTCACCACTATCCTGTCTACCTATTTCCCCGTCTTTCTCCTCCTGCCATGGCGTGTACCTGCATGGATTGCGAAAAGCACCCGGCAACCCGACTGTGCCTGCCCTCTCCCATGAATAGGTGTGCTTCTATTTGTCTGTGTCCCCACCCCCCCCGTGACCCGTGAAACGTGAGGACTGGATGCTCTCATCCCCGGATTCCCCCACTACCTAGACAGGCATATACCCAGGTACATGCACAGAGGGCCCCGAGAGTCCCGAACCGCATCGCACCCCCCCCCCCCCTCGTGCTTCCTGTGAATAGCCCCGGATAAGCAAGTGTCCACACATCTATCAACTTGTACTTGCTGACCTGGCCCTCTTGCCCTTCAAATGGCTGAAGAGACTTGGCCCAACTGCGGTCCCGGCTTCGAAGCACTGCCCAGCTGCCCACTGGTGGCACATCATCACCCCGAATCACCGAATAGACATAAAACGCACCGTTTGATGATCAATTACTACAATACACTGGTGGAGAGACGTTTCGTGCATCAACATCCAACCCTGAAAATCCACTACGAACGCCTTCACAGTACCAAGAACTAGGCTGCCCGTTTGTCTGCCTCCACCCTGACATCCATAGCTAGACAGAATTAAACCCTTGGTCAATCCTCCTTCATCCCTAAAGCAAGCGTGAGATCCATCATCGTATCCAGACATGTACTCTAGAAGCCTCGGAAACCACCAGTTGGCTGGGGTGCGATGCCATTGGCCTGCCCATACGGTCCGGGTGACGGGGCCGAGGCTATAGGACCTTGCGTGAGCATCAGGCGAGATCCCAGAATCGGTGTCTCCTCCTCCTTCTTTTGCTGAGTCACTTCGCGAGACTTGCGTTCCTCGTTGTCCTTCTTCAGCTGCTCAATCGCTGCCGTCTGCTGGCAAAGCATGTTGATCATGTATGGCTGGAGCCAGTTAGCGAATACAACGACGGCTGCCAAGCTAGATCAAACTCACCATCGTGAAGTCATGGAGACCGTGACGCCATGATATCTCGAGAACAAGATCTGGGCGAATGAGATCGTAACAGGCATACAGCATACCGACGTAACACTCGCGGCTGCCAATATCCACAAACTGGATCATGATTAGCAGCGTAGATGAAAACTCACAACTCTACTTACATAGCGGAACAAATCCTCAACCACCTCCGACTTGGCAGACATAGCAGACGTCTCAATCGCATCTTTGAACAGTTTGTCCTGCTTGGAGAGGGCAATTGATTTCTCCCATCGCTTGTTCTTGCGGTAGATGTCGGCCGCAATCTGGCGGAAGAATACCAAATCATGCTTTTCCAGACGCTGCGCCAAATCGACGGGATCATAATTATCGTAGCTGTTGACCGAATCCCGGAGCGTCTTATAGTCCTCCTCTTCAATCAAGAGGTCGTTCAGGGCATTGTTAACCTCGCGCTTATTCTGTGACTGAACGCTCAGAAGGAATGGCTTGATGAGGGGAATGTTGTCCGACTTGGCGAACATGCGAACAACCCGATTGACATCGATCCTGGGCGTGAGTGCTTGCAAGAGATCCGTCAAGAGTGTAGGCTGCTCTTCGAGATAGAATCCCAGTGCGCGATAGTAGATTTCCACATTGGTGGCCTTGGTAATTGTGTCCTTGAATGCTTGGTGTTCCCAGGCGTCCGCTGCGCGCTCCATCATGGCAAGTGCAGCGTTATCAAACTCGTCGTAGTGAACGTACAGGAAGACAAGCTCTCTCCATAAGTGGGCTTCCTCGCACGCACGTATGGCCCGAGGTATGTTGGTTCTCGACCAAAAGAGCCGCAAATGCTCCATGACACGCTCTGGGTGATATTTGGCAAGAGCTTCGCCGAGCGCGGTGAAAATACCCATGTGAGCTCTCTCCAGCCCCAGGCCAGCTTCGAGCAGGCTGATGAGCTCATCAAAGTAGCCATTACGCTCGTATTGTTTGATGAGATCAGCAAGTTCTTCGGCATGAACAATGAGGTTCAGTCCACAGATCTGTGCGAGACGGAACTCCTTCTTTGCAACACAAGCTTCATTGACTTGACGCCAAACTTTGACGTTTGAGGCCTTCCTGGCACACTCAACAGCAGCCTGGTATTCCTCCAAATGGACTAGAGTGGTGGCAAGCTTAGCCCAGTTGGAGATGCTGGTGTAGAAGATCTTGGCAGCCTCATGATATCCTTCCTCGTATGCCTTGTCACCAGAAGCCTCGACGTCAGCAACGTTGATACCCTGCAAGAAGTCTTCAAGTTCTGAAAGCTGGTTGGTACGCGCAAAGCAGAATGCTAACGCTGTGTCAATTGGAACTTCGCGCAGGGTCTTGCGGGCCATTCGAAGGAACTTGATCAGATCTTCGTCCTTGCCAGCGTGTGTTGCGATTTCAATGACTTCCAAAAAGTTCGAAGGATCGCCAGCACGGATGTAAGATTCGATGGAGTCCGTCACGCGCAGACCATCCAATTGCGCTTTAGCCACTCTGCTCCAGACAGGAGGGGTGTCGATGCCTTCAGCATACTCTTGCGCCCTGTCAATACTAACAATGTGTTCAATGAGGACGTTGACAGCCTCAACATGCTGTGAATGCTTCTTGTAGATTTCAAATGCCTCCTCGTACATACCGACCTCGATACACTGCTGGGCTATATCCTCCGGAGTGTATTGGTCAAGAGCGGAGATGTAGTGCATCATTCGGCCGCGATCCGACTTAGCAGCAGTAAGCATGAGTAGGTTCTGCAGCGATGGATTATCACTAAAGGCAGTAGGCTCCAGAATAATCTTCTCGAGAAGCTCAATCAACTCCGCCGGCATGTCACTCGTGATGAAAGCCTTGACAGCAACAGAAACCTTGTCAGGATCCGTAGAAGCTTTGGTGATCCAGTCAGTATGCGCGGCATTGGAAAGCAACAATCCACGTGAACCAGGGGTTATACTTACAAGGTACAGCTGTGGATGTCACTTGGTCGACTAGAGAGCGACGATGCATGTTATTAGGGGACAACACAAAGTCCCAGACCTCGCTGTCCGCCCGCTCCAAGAGGTAACGCGCTTGTGCCTTGAACATGGCGTTTTCATTGGTGATGTTGATGAGCTCGAGGTCATTCTGACCTTTGCTGTAAGCCAACAGGGCGAGATTTGGATCACGCTTCTCGCAGTACTTTCCGACAGTAAGGGTATCGTATTGATCGTTCTCGGCGAGGAACTTCTCCGGATTATTGTTACTGTCAATGTAGATCTTGGCAAGCGCGTTGTACACAGCTTGTTGCTGGTTTCCAGTTGCCAGTGTCTGTTCCAGGAAGGGAAGCAGCAGCTTCAAGCGGTTACGAGACTCGACTTCGGAAACAAGTCCGTCAATCGGGATGGATGATGGCGTCACTGACGCCAGAAGCCCCTTGATGATGCTCTCGTCGCAATCTACATCGAGGAGGCCCCCGATGACTGCCGGGGTCCTCGCTGGGTTTACGCGCTGCACGTATACCTCAATGGATTTGAATTGTTGCTTCTTGTAGAGGTGAAGAACAAGATCATGAATGAAGTTGAAGCGATCACAGATGATGATGAGCGGCAACTGTTCAGTCAGGTTGGCTTCTTTGAGGAAGTTCTTCGTCTTCTCTGGGTCCAGATAGTTGCTTTCGCGACAGATGCGCTCAACTTCATTCAATTGGCCCATCGCGGTGGCAGCCTCGATGTACTTGAAGTGGACGTCCTTGTCCTCGCTAACATTGACAATAGATCCAAGGAAGAAGTAGAGTCCTTCCGCCGTCCGGTGTTTCTCCAATAGTTCAATGATATTGGTGGCGCCAAGCAGATCTGAGTACTTTTGGGCAATTCGGATGACGGCTTGCAGATTTTGGCGGATGTTGGCAGTCAACATGGCATCCAAGCATTCCAGTGATAACTCAACGGTGAGTTGACCAAAGTAGTTGATTAGCCAATCTTCGGGGAGTTTATCGGCTTGAACAATGATACGCTTGATAGCAGCAGGGTCATCGTTGTGCTCCAACGCACGTGTGAGTAGACCGGCATTCTCACAAAGCTGAGCGATGCGAGCCTTGTCATAGTGATGAAACATTTCGTTGCCCAGTATAGCATCTGCGACCTGGGGAGCATTGAGCAGATTCATCTCGAGCAACTTTGTCTGGAGATGACCCTCCTCTGGAAGATCATTCGAAAGAACATCGAGTAGGAATGCCGTTGCTTGCTGGATCATGCCTTGGGACTGAAAAATGTCAACAACACGATCAATGCTGATCAACGGTCCTCCTTCATTCTTCGCAAGCTGAGAAGCAAACTCTGCGCCCTTGTCGCCGTTGATGCGTAGAACATGTTGAAGAAGAACATTGTAATCTGGAGTGTATCCGACGCCATTGCAATATTGGAGGATAAGATCGTAATGACCTAGCTCGGCAAGTGATGCGACAACCTTCTGGGGAACATTGGCTTCCTTGTAGATAGCCAGGGCAAGGTTGAGGTCATGAGGCTTGGCTAGATCTCCCAGCTCTTCAGAGCAGTGAAGTTTTCCCTCCTTTTGCCACTTCTCAATGAGGTGCTTACGGCCTTGAACGAAGACAGGTCGAGCGAGCTCCAGTGTTTCCTCCCTGTTCAATCCACCCTTGTCTAACAGTTGCCCAAAGTATTGCAGTAATGTAGTGATCTGGCCAGGCTGGCTTGGTACTTGACGAAGACGGTTGATTGTGTTCATTGTGCGTAGAAATCCTCTAGGAGAATTAGCGGCGACCTTGGCTGCCTCAGCGAAATTGCCCTGGCTCATGAGCATCTCAAATCGTTGCGAATAAAGCTGATCTGCACCCGGAAGTCCGCCTTTGGAAGCAAGCTTGTACGCAATTTCAGCACAGGCTGGGTTTTCCATAATGTACGGAATCAGGGTATCCTCCCTGATGGTTGTATGTAGAACCTGACCCCTCTTGTTAATGACTACAACACCCGTACCTTCATCATCACGCGCAGTGGTGAAGACGGTCTCCTCGGAAATCCTGTTAAGGAATAAGGCGGTACCAGTCTCGAGGTCGTGCAGATGGATAAAGCCGAACTTGGTAACGACAATCAGAATACCATATTTGTGGGCAATGTGGATACCAAGCGGGAAGTCACCGGTGCCCTCGGCAGGCCAGTGGATTGGGATTAGGCGCTTCGGGAAAGCTGGATTCGCGGCGTTGTGATCAACTTCGACAATGTTGATTTTGGCTTCACCTGAGGAAGACTTCACAGCGAATGCAAAGAGTTTGGTATCGGTAGTTGCGCCATCGAGTCGAATGGTGCCAAAGGTGGCAGCGTGACCTTCAAGCGGTTGACTAACGTTGCGAGCCTTGGAGAAGAGCTGCATGTTGCCTCGAATGCCTCCAGCTGGGTTCGATGTGATGCCAACCAAACAAGACCAGCTCTCGTCGTCGTTAGTGACGTAGTTGATTATTTGGTTATTCTAGAGGCATGTGTCAGTAGGAGCCCTGATGCTTGTCGTGTGATGAACGGTACCTCTAGCTGCTCCTGGCGTTCGAAGATCTTGCGAGGCGCAACCGCATTCTTCGAATCCAGCACGTCCCAATGATAGACAGCCTTTGTGCTAACAAGCGCAAGCGTGGTTTGGCTGATCCAGCGCCAGAACTGAATATCTTCCTGATGGCTGTACGTCTGGAGGCGCTCCTTGGTCTCAAGGTTGAAGAGCTGAAGTGTCCGGCCTTGTGCCTTGAGCGCGATGATGGGCTCCGTTAGATGCATAATGGCGCTGTCCGCGCGAATCGGCCTCCGAATAATGTTGTTGGTGTTCTTCAGATCGATAATGACGGTCTCGGCCGGGGCATTTGCTTCGTTGTTAACCTGGCGCACGCAGACATACTTGTCCGATTCGAGCGTCTAAGATGGCGGTCAGCGCACCTGGTACAATAGACACGCAAGAATTTAGATGGCTTACGCAGTTTTGCCATGATATTGACGCTGGCTGTTCTGTGTTAGCGATCGCCGCTGTGCCGCCGCACCATGAGGATGGTCGGCGCTGGGCTCGGACTTTTCAACGTACGAGGATATTCAGATTTGTGAGCTAAAGCACCAATAATCAGTACATCGTCCAGATATATGCGCCAGAGGGTCCAGAGTACGTACCAGTGTCGGCTGGGTGACATGCAATGGCACCTGGCGCTGGGCCATGTTTGCGACGGACGAGCTCCGAGCTCACCACTGGGGTACGAAGGCGCTCAAGTATGGGAGGTAATCGGGGGGGAGTCAAGGCGTGAATGGACACATGCACAACTCCAGAGGCGCGCAATAGGAAATGAGAGAGTGGCGGGTGTGGTTGGTGCGTGGGTCGACGGATTGGAGATGCTTTTCGAGAAAGGAGCTCGTGTTGTTTCCACAGTACGCTCAACCGCCCTGTCCGTGCTGCCTGGTCTTGGCTGGCAGCCAAATACAGTTAGCGGTGACGGCACGCTTGACGTAGACCCCATCTGCCAATCAGAAAGAACAGCTAGAGATATGTGGTTTGCCTCACCTCAGTCTTCAGCTTGGTGAGCACTGAACACTGAACTGAGCTCTCGTCTGTCTTACCTTTACCTTCAGGCAGGCGAGGTAGTAGTCGCAGATTGTCAAGTTTGAGAGGCTTGTTGTTGTTGTCATTCAACGAATGCAGCTTGTCAAGTTGTATCGTTATGTCTTGGGGTTCGTCTCGTAACACTTCGCATTAGGTACCAAACTCTATAGAAAGTCCTGTTACTGTCATGTGCACGAAAGAAGAACGGAGAACTCAAACATCCATCACAGAGAGATTACTTTACGACTACACATTACTGCAGCTCTTCAGATACAAGAAATGGGGTCTAGCAAGATGACCCCAAAAGTCTGTTCATCTCTCGTAGACCATAGGCTTGATCCACAATCTAGCAAGCACTGGGCTTACAAGCCCACCTCGTGGAACTTCGAGTCACGATTCGGACTACCCTTGCGAGCCTTGTCAGCATCGCTGGTGAAAGAAGGTGGCGGTGCCAAGTCGGTGTCGAAATGGTCCCGAGCTTCTTCAAAATCCGTTCCACTGGACTTGACGGTCCCATCACTCACGATACGTTCTCCTGCTCGCCCCCTTGGTGAACTGACGCCATACTCACTGTAATTTGACATTGAGGACACTTCAGAGTATGGACGGTTAACATGAGGAACGTAGTCAGGCTTAGGCTCGACATCGCCGAGGTCCGTAGGACGGCTAACGTCCTCCGCCTCATGTCGGGAATGGCTGGGATTATCTTCAGAGTGCGACTGTGGCTCTGAGGTGGACGAAAGAAGAGCGGCACCGCCGATGAAGCCCGGCTCTTTCTCCTTGGCCTCTTCGTCCATCTCTAGCCCAGAGGCCGGCTTCGAGCGCCGCTTCAATTTAGTGAGCAATGACTTGAAACCTTTGGAAGGCCCTTGCGGTGAAGTTGGCGATGAAGAATCATCACCTACAGCTTCCTTTGAAGATTGGTGCTGCTGTAGGTGGTCGTTGTCATACGGGGATGTATGGACGGCCACCGTCATAGGAGTGACGGCCGGAATTTCCTTCGAAGTCTGCGTATCAGCTCCAGTTAACGGGTCCTCTGCAGACTTTCTCGATTTCTCCTGCTCTTTCTCTTGTCTTGCTGCTAACCTTGCCTCCACGGCACGGGCCTTGGCAGCGCGCTTCTCATCCTCTATGCATAGTTAGGATTTGTCAAAAGAGATGGGTGCAGGATGTCATCTACCTTTGAGTTGCTTCTCTTCGGCCTTCGATTCTGCAGCACGTTCTTTCTCAATCCGCTCACGACGCTTCTTCTCGGCCAGATCGAGTCTTCTCTCTTCTTCTTCCGCTCGGCGCTTTTCTTCTGCTGCGATACGCTGCTCTGTCTTCTCTGTGATTTCATCTAGCGTAGGCTGGATTCTGGCCTGTGCAATGGCATCGATCTCACTCTGGTCCATCCACTTGCCATTTCCGATATGAACTTTACCGTGGTTCTCCATTCGAGCTTCTGAGTTGGCCATCGCTCGCTTCTTTGCCTTGTTATCCCAATCATCGACCATCCCCGGAGACATTTTACCAGTCTCGTCATAAATCTTCTTATCCATACCCTGCATCTGGGCTTGGACCTTGCGCTGTGCTGCCGCCAGTAACGACTTGCGATCCGCATCGCGTTTTTTTGCATCAACGTCAGCCAATTCTTTGTTCAACTGCTCCATCTGCGAGCGAATTCGTCTAGAGCGGAAGTCATCTTCGTCAGAATCAGAGTGATCACCAGGGACTGCCTCTGAAGCACTGTACGCACGGTTCCGTCCACGGCGTATGGAGAATTTTGAACGACTAGGCTGATTGTAACCATAGTGGCTGCGGTAAGCAGCATGTTCGTCGTACCCAATCTTAGCCAGTCTTTCCTGTGCAAGTCTTTGTGCTGCTTCTTGGATCCCAATGTAGCGCATAGCTTGTTGCTTGATATCAGCCTCGCCGGAAGGCGGTTTCTGGCCATGTGCGGCAGTAGCCCCGGTGCGAGCGACCGAGTGTCCTGCCGCTCCATCTAGCTGTTGCTGCTGCACCTCGTAGATTTTCTTGGCCATGGAAATGGCTGACGCATGCAAAGCGTCATTGTGTTTCTTCTCGTCAACCTCGAGAGCCACAGGCGGAGCGCTGGTGTACATGTCTCGTGAGATGCTCTTGGCATGCTGAATCCGGGCTGCTTCCAGGGCACCAAGATCTGAGCTTTTGGGGTCTTCGTGTTGCTTAGCGCTCATAGAGGGACTATGGGCAATCATTGCCGCACTCAAGGCGTTCCTGGCGGAATTCATAGAGTCTGGGTAGAGTGGCGCAGGAGGTGGATTCGATGTTGCACGTTTGCGACTAGAGGCAGAATGAGCTCCAGTGGCAGCCGTAAAGGCATTCTTCCTGCCCTGATCTGTGTAGCCGTAGTCGACCGCCTTGCTTGGAGCTTGCTGGCGCATGGCAATGGTGGCAGCCGAATTGCCCTCGGTGCTGGCCTGGGGAGCCCACAGCTTCAACTTGGGGCCGTCCCTGTGTGCGAGCATAGCAGCTTGGGAGCCTGCAGCGCTGGCTTCGGGTTGCCACAAGGGCGCCATCTTGTAGTCATTCGCCAGCAGCGCAGCCTTGCCTGCTGCCGCAGATTGCTCGGGCTTCCACCACTCGGGACTTTTCTTGTTCTGGTTGGCGAGAAGAGCGGCGGCGCTGGCAGAGGACTTGGTATCGATGCCGACCGAGGGGAAACTGGGGAGATCATGGGCTTTGGCGTACTTGAGACTCGTGGCGGCACCTGCGGTTTTGGTCAGCCTGGTCAGATTGCGACAGGCATCGGCCAGGAGTTGCAGTACTCACTTGCAGACGAGAGCTTGCCGTCGGCCCCCAGTGGGTTGGTCAGGGTAGCCGCGGCGCGCGCATCGGCTGTCCTGGCCGGGCTGGTGCTGTACAGCGCAGCAGCCGACGCCTGGTTCTGCAATGCGCTGCTCTTTGCCTGGTGCGCTGACGGGTCGGGGCAGCGCATGCCCGCGTCAGTCGAGGATCTGGGTGGAGCCGCCTCTTCCGTGTTGGTCAAGGGGGGTCCACGAGGTCCACGCTGCGTGACGGCCGTGGTCGCCATGTCGCGGATTGACAATGCCAGTGTGCTGCAAACACGAGATGGTTGTTGCGCGTCCAAGTTGTTGCTGATCTGATCACACAGGGGGGCAGCACCGGAGAAAGCGATGTAGAGGCGACGATGAGTAAGAGCAAGCGCGCGCAAGCCGAAGTTGTCTTTGTGTGCCGCTGCCCGCAGACATGGCTGATGACGATGGGAGTGCGGTGATGTCATGGCTGTTGCGCGGAGCATCTCCGTAGGCTGTAGCCTTTCCTATTTAGTCAATGTGTGTCGCAGCCGCTATGCTGTTCTGGGAATAGTCTATAGTCCGGCGCAGATCCCCCAGCCCAGCCCTGCCCTGCTTCCACCGTGTGCCTCCCAAGGGACCAACACATCCCAGCCATCGAAACAGAAGACTTGAATTGTGGAAATAGTATCGTAATACAGTAAAGGCATGCTAGCGTGCAATAGTATGAAGATCAGTGACCCCCTCCTGGTGGCATGTTGATGTAGGTATCTGACATTGGAAGATTGATGCTGGCCAATTAGTGAGCTGTGGTAGATGGGGCTAGGTTTGTCTTGAAATGTTGCACCACTGTCTACCATGAACCTACGTCAGCGGGCTGTTATTTGTTCAATCCAAGATTTTCGCCCTGTGCATCAGTCCGCGTGCTACTTCTCTGTCGCTATCTCGAATGGCTAACGTGTGCGAACCCTTGAAGAGCATAGTCAACTTTCGTGATGTTGGCAAATTCGTCAACAATGCAACAGGAGCTACGTTCGTGAGCCCACCGCACATTCTACTTCTACTAATCGTTCGACAGACGCCTGAATTGTGGCTTGCTATACAGGAGTGCCAGGCCTGGTGCGTAGCTCGTTGTCTTATCGAGCATCCGCTAAATGGCGTAGACGAGGCTTCGTCCGAAGAGAGGCAACGACTGATCAACGACTATGGCGTCAAGAGTATAATTGACCTGCGGACCAAGTCAGTGCAAGCTCGTCGATCACAGATAGGGAGACTGATTTGAGCAGAACCGAGCATATCGAGCAGGCTCAGAAGCGCAACCTAAGGATCAAGGCTTCCGCAGTGCTTCCTAAAACCAACGACGCCCTCACCGAGCCCTTGGAGATTCCAGGCATCATCTATCACAACATCAACTTCAATGGCTCGGCATTTTCACGGATGCTTCTTTCGCAGCTATCGTGGTTGGAATTCTTTAAGCTGATTGGCCTGATGATGCTGGGGTATCGCAAGGACGCCATCAAGATCCTTTCACCTCGCATGGAAGCAATGGGGGTAACCGAGCCACACCATGCACCCGTTCATCTGGCAACATCATGCTAACTTGAATGCAGTAAGTTCTAGTTCTGAGATCACTCCGGTGGTGTCGATATCTTGACAAAGGTTTTGCAGGATCATCATAGAGGAGTCTGACGATATCTACTTTCTCGCGTTACACGGCTGACCATGTCAACGTCTTTAGCCTCATCGGTCTGGCGCAAAGCTCTTTAGATGTCTGTACCGGCGAGGTCAGACAGGTCTTCGACGTGCTATCGGACGAACGGAATTGGCCTGTTCTGATTCATTGCACCCAGGGCAAAGATCGGACCGGACTGGTAGTCATGCTGGTCTTGTTTCTGCTTGGAGTTGGCGACGAGATCATCGACGACGACTATCGATTATCGGAATCCGAACTTGCTCCTGAGAAAGAGGAAAGGCTAAAAGAGATTGCCTCTATCGGGCTATCAGAGCGATTCGCAGTGTGTCCGCCGGACGTCGTGTCTGGTATACATGCACATGTGAAGGACAAGTACACGTCTGTGGAGAATTACTTGGGATTCGTCGGAGTAAGCAGTGATCAGGTGAGCTTCATCAAGACAAAACTGCTCGCCACTTCGTCAGACTCTCAGAAATAATGCCGCGCGTACATCCCAAGTCAAATTTGCTCTCCTCATGCCAAGCATGAGCTGGATCAAAGTGCGTACTCATATAGTAATCAACATCAATGTTTCCAGTATGTCGGCCCTGAAGACTTTCCATAACCTCGGAAGTTATTGCTCGTGGTGAAGAATTCGTAGGCCACAGCTTGATGGCCGTGCGAACCATTACTCTTACATAAATGTACCACCGTGAGGCGCATCTACGAGGGATCTTGTACTTGGTAGACCTCTTAAACAATCGGGCCATTACGGGTCGGTGGTAACTACATAGCTATACTATAAGCCCCCAGCCCTCTCTCCTGTGCACATATCTCCTCTGATCAAACTGTCAATGTTGTGAGATGCTCGGGCAATTGGCAGACCAGATGCATATTTTCATCGTTCATGTGCACTACATAGGATCGTGCAGTTGTACGCTGGTCATGAAACATTAGTGCGTGGCACAATAGTCCTCACCTTGCTGCTGGAGCTGCATCGTACCGGTAAAGTACCCACGACTCACGAGTTGCAAGGTTTCCAGCTCCCCTGGCCTAGGTGCTCGCTTAATCTAGATTCACCGTCCCTCCTTGGCGCGTGTTGTCCAAAACTCAACATCTTTTGCGTTCCTGCTCTTGCAAAAATCCTCCAGCGGTGCGCAAGATGAGCAGCAATACCTCTGAGGAGAATTTCGAGTGGGTTGAGACGCCCCCGGCGCCCTCGCCCACCAACCCCGCCTTCGACTGCGGCGTCAAGACCACTTCGGTAAGTCAATTGTCGAGTACACAGCCATCTATCATTCACCCCACTAGCCATTGAGCTCCAATGCTCTTAGCACCCACGCTGATACTTGTTTCCTGGTAGTATCCCACCATTGCCAACGCCCCATTGCCCGCTGAAGGCTCTGGTCGCGAATCGTTCAACAACGTTGCCCTCATCTCACTACTTCTCGGTGTGCCCGGCTACCTTACCTGGAGCTGGGGCTTCGGCTTCAAGACATGGATTTTCCTGACTATTGTCTTGTTCTTGCCCATCCTGGGCCCGTTTTGGTGGCTCACATCTGAATTCGCCCCCCGCAAGAACGAAAAGGCGAAACTCCCGGGTCGTCCCATTGAGCATTACCTCAAGTTCAAGAACGCCGAGGACCGTGATGCATACTATGGCAGGAAGCAAATTCCCATCGAGACATTTCAAGAAAAGTACTTCGATGGCGAGGTAGAGCTCAATGGCGACATGCTTGACATTCTTGAATGGCGCCACGACTGGTCTAAGCCGCGATTCACCCTAGGCCTGATCAAGCACTTCCTCTTTGGCTTTATTCCTGAAATGATTGTTCACTCAAGATCTCAAGGTACGTTGTAGCCTGTCGTGTAGTTATGCGACAATAGTATTCTGACTACAACCTAGACGAGGAACAAGTACGCGACCACTACGACCGTGGAGACGACTTTTACGGATGGTTTCTCGGCCCGCGCATGATCTACACATCAGGTATCATTTCCGACATCAACAAGGAAGAGACACTCGAGCAATTACAGGACAACAAGATGGCCATTGTCTGTGAGAAGATTGGACTGCAGGAAGGCGAAAAGATGCTCGATATCGGTTGTGGATGGGGAACACTTACCAAGTTTGCTTCGGTGAACTATGGCGCACACGTCACTGGTGTCACACTTGGTCGCAACCAGACTGCTTGGGGTAACAATGGGCTGAGGAAGTCTGGCATCCCAGAAGACCAGTCGAAGATTTTGTGCATGGACTACCGCGATATTCCTCTACCCTCGGGTGGATACAACAAGATTACCTGTCTGGAGATGGCTGAGCACGTTGGTGTTCGTCATTTGGGTTCCTTCTTCCGCCAGGTCAATTCTATGCTCGACGATGATGGCACTTTCTTCCTCCAAATCGCTGGTCTCCGCAAGGACTGGCAATTCGAGGACTTCACATGGGGTCTATTCATGAACAAGTACATCTTCCCCGGTGCCGATGCGTCTACTCCCCTGGGTTTCGTCGTGGACACCCTTGAGGCCGCTGGATTTGAGGTCAAGATGGTGGACACTATTGGCGTGCACTACTCTGCTACACTTTGGCGATGGTACCGTAATTGGCTCGCCAACAAGGACAAGGTTGTTGCCAAGTATGGCGCTCGCTGGTACAGGGTAAGATCTGCTTTGTAGACATGTACGTGGGCCTTGTTAACATGGATTAGATCTGGGAATACTTCCTTGCCTACTCTACGATTGCGTCCCGCCAGGGAACTGCAACTTGCTTCCAAATCACCTGCGTCAAGAACCTCAACGCTGTTCACCGTATTGAGGGAGTCAAGACTCAGTTCAGTCTTGCGGGTGCTCTTGCCGCTAGCAAGGCCAGGCTCGCGAAGAAGGAGTGAAAACCACGACCATAATCGCATTGCCGGCCCCCCATGGCGTAAATTCATGTCGAAGTAGTTTGTAAGTAAGACGTTTAAAGAACGAGTTTCAACGTTATTTATGGTTGTATGTTGTTATGTTATCGACATGCTCATCGAGAAGGATCAATCACGTCCCCTGTCCACAAGACTGGTAGGGAGCGAAGTATGTAGACCAGGGTAATTATTTGCCCTGATGGAGACTGGGCAAGCTTGAACATGACATACGACATCAAGAATTAAACAATACACAACACCGACGCGTCAGCAAGTCAGACATGACGAATCGAACTCTCTCCACTGTGTGTGTGTGTACCCCTTTACAACGTCCATAGTCCATAGTCCATTTCCCTTTACTCATCCCTGTCACAAACCCCAACCATAGCCATCCACTCGGCCCACATAAGAACCGATTCCGAATCCCCTCCCCCACATTCAACATTCGACAAGTCCCTCCCCTCTAGCGCCGGCCGGAAAACGAGAAATCAGTGATGGTGGGATGGCCAAACTTGAGCGATACCAACACTCCTATACTGGTCTTTTAGAAGAGTTCTTTGGCAGAATAAATCCTACAGTATAGGACAACATCTTGACAATTTTTTTAGAGCCTTAACTTTCTCAAGACGGCGTGGGCGAGGCATTGTTTGGTGTTTGAGCAGTTGCTAACATCTCATTTTTCGGACGGCGCTAGAGCGCTCCCCTCCCTGAACTTCACGCACCCGTAGTACATGTTACAATAAGCGCCCTGAGCTCCACTCCCCCAGTCCACGCCCACATACATGTATGCAAGAATCAACCAATCAGAGCTCTCGGAATACGGGTGATACCTGTGACATGGGTCTACTACTATAGTGGTATGGATGTAGCGTGCAAAGTGGTTGGAGACGAAGCAACATGTGACGACTGCTGGGTATTGTGCTGGTATTTCTAGGGCATCAAATAGAGATACGGTGGACTGTGTGGCTGGATTGGAGTTTGAGTTTTCCACGATTTTTTTTCATGTGCTTGATTGGGAGATGTAGCGCTATTTTTGGGGGTATAATGTAGTTTATTGTTGTTCTGGAGATGGGTCCAGTGTTCAGTTGTCCAGGAGCAATGAGACCGAGCTGACAAGAATGCTTCAAAAGAGATGGGTGGGTGGGTGCGCAAAGGAGCATGATGTAGTGGATGAGCATGTATTCCAGAAGAAGAAAGAAAGTCATCTATCTTTGCACACTGGAACCCTCCAAGACACCCAAGCGGCGCCCGATATTCCCAAAGCAGACGCAACTGCAAAAGAGCACACTGCCCACCCAAGTCACGACTGCCAGATTTTCATAGCTGACGACGCCTGCGAACAGTTCGCCTGGTGGAGATGTCGATGTGGGACTTCCACTGGCATGGCCGCTTTGACTCGGGGGTAATTGCGTGATGTTTGTTGATGATGGCAATGGAGGCGAGGGTAATGCGTTTGGGTTGGAGAGGAAGATGAAGGAGGTGAGGACAGATGTGACAATTAGTGAGAAGGACAGTCCTGGTTTGGAACGGTCGAGGATGTACCATAGCGCGGGATTGACAAGCGCAAGGGTAAGCGTGAGTTGGAGGGTGGACTGCCAGGGAAGGCGGCGCTACCATATATCAGTGATGCTCTTCTCACTGGGCGTAGAGAAGGTCAAAGGGAAATAGGATGCAAGAATAGAAGGTACAAAGACTTACAATGGCAAATGCAATACCGACAAATGCAGCCACACTCCTTACCACATCGTTGACTTGCTCGCTGATGGGAGACTCATGCTTGTCAGCCTCTTTGCCTTTTCTGTCGCTTTCTGGCCGCCGTGAATCCCAGAAGAGGTCGACATAGGGCAGAAGGCTCCCTAGGACCAGACCAAAAAGCCCCCAGCTCGGTAGGTAGAAGCGACTTCTACGATCCACTCCCTCGACATGCACCGCCGCCAGTGGCCTCGTCTCGTGCAACTGGGAGACAATGAGACCATATGTGGCACCAAAGAGGTAGAGTGCCGCCAGTTTGGTCGTTATGACCGCGTATTTCCAAGGCCCTTGACGCGTGTGTTTCAGCGCGTGCTTCTTGCGGGTGGTGTCCTTGTTGCTGTTCACAGGGTCTCGGGCACGACTCTTGATGCTGTTACCCCCTTGCCCATCCGAACTCCCCATGCCAGTCTCCCAGGCGTGCAATCCCATGGCCGCATGTCCCGGCGTCTCTGCACCCGTGCCCCAGGGTGTGTCCGCCACACTGCTGTCGCCCACCGTGCCATGGCCCATGTCTTCATCGTCGTAGATGCCAAAAAGGGTGCTGCTCGTCATGTTCAGGAAGCTCTTGTTGCGCTGAGGCGGCTTCTCATCGCCGTCCTGGTCATCTGAGTCGGCATTGCGTGCATCATACGTCCGCAGTAGACGCGCATTGAGCTGTGCAAGGAAGTCGGAGGAACGGCTGGGCTCGGGCTTCGGCTCGGGCTCGTACGTGTCTGGCGGCGTGGCTTGAGTATAGGCGTGTGAGGGCGAGTCTGCCGAGTCGTTACGCGCAGCGGAGTTGAATGGGCGCCGCGGGATGGGGCGGTACATGTGGGGTGGTGGTGGTGGTGGTGGTGGTTGAGCCGGGTGCGAAGAAGCGTCCTCTGCCATGATGCGCCGTCGCGAATTCCTTTCCGGGCAGGGTCCCCTCCTATGAGCCTTTGTGGAATGGAAAGCCAACGTCAGACTCCACACATGGAGAGTGCACGTGGTTGAGGGAAACTGGCTTGGCTCTAATTTATACGAAGCAAATCAGAAGCACGCAGCCTTCGCAATCTGTTGCCCATGTGAGCACAACGAGCAGGAACTGGAGGGAAACTGTGGAGGACACTGTGGAGGACACTGTGGAGGCACCTGAGAGAGCAACTTGTTTGGATTGCAACCGGGCGATGAAGAGAAGAGGGGAGCTCAGCGCGATATGCATGCTAATGTAGCCTGACGTGCCCATACCCATCGAGCGACGGAGTACACAATCCTACATGTCCGCATTGGGCTTTCATGTGAAAATCGCCTCATTCTGCGGCTGCGGCCGATCATCCTTCCACTTCCCAGACACCCGCCCGCACATGCACATGCACATTCAACACGCTCCAAGAAGGACTGTACACATGTGCTTTACAGGCCGATTTTCGTTCTGGCGGTCATCACTGGCCATGCTACATAATTCGAGAAACGACAACCTCACCAGGCTTCTCTATGCTGACTTTTTGACCAGCCATCAGGCACACACCCTTGGAGGCGTCTCTAGCCTCCGGCTCCTCCGCATCGCCAGGAACTCCAACCAGAAATGCTTCAAACCTTGATGCACAAAAAAAGGCCCGTCCATCTTTCTCGTTGGTGCGATCCTAGACTTGCAGTACCTCCGTAAATCTCTGCTCGTCTCATATCGTCTCATTTCAGGCCAAAATGAAGGTTTCAATCAACAATTGGCTCGAGAATGTTACCTCTGGCATGAGCGTTAGCATGTCTGCTATAGAAGTACAAGGGTTTCACGATACTTACGCTACAATATTGGCCCAACCGATAAGGCGCCAGTGCTTCTCGATACGACGAGACAAAGCTACCTTTTCGCCGATCTCGGTACATGCGGGCGAGGTGAGCGATAGTCGAGCAGCATCGGCCTTGACAGCGATGACCTTTGCGCCTGTGGCCGTCGACCCAATGTTGACCATCTAATGGATGTAAGCTTGATGTGAATGCCACCTCATGTTGAGCTACATACCAGAACTTCGTTCTTAGCAAGCTTGGCGACCTTGGCCTGCTTGCCATCGGCAGTCTTTACTCCCAGTAGTCTTCGGAGGAGGAAGTAGTTGACCTCAAGTTCAGTGTAAATATTGGGCAAATGTCCCTTTAGACCAAGAACGAAGCCGACAAGACGATCCGCACGGCATAGTGTAGGGTCCACACGCGTACCAACACCTATTGAATGTTAGCAACAGCTGAAGGTGCTTGAGCGGATATGTAATTACCAATGAGCCCTCCAGGAACTGCAAATTTCAGGTCGTTGTGCTCAGCGAACAGAGACACTACTCTTGAAAAGATGGGCTTGCACTGGATCTTTCCAGCGCTGTCTTTCGACACGATACCTGGCCTGATCTCGATTTCGTCACCCAACTTGAGCACACCAGTCAGAATACTGCCTCCAGCAACACCGCCCTTCAACTCGTCAATTTCCGCACCGGGCTTGTTGACGTCGAAGGAACGAATGACAATCATGTGCGGCTTTGCGGAGAAGTCTCGCACTGGAACAGGGATTTGGCTGATCAGGTGCTCATTGATAGCATCAATGTTGAACTTGAGTTGGGCAGAAATGGGAATGATGGGAGAGCCGTCAGCCACTGTTCCTCGAATGAACTTGAGAATCGACTCGTAGTGCGCTGCCGCGCTGTCTTCCCGCATCAAATCAACCTTGTTCTGGAGGATGATGATGTGATTGAGCTTCATGATTTCAATGGCCGCAAGATGCTCGCTGGTCTGCGGCTGCGGGCAGGATTCGTTTCCGGCGATGAGGAGCAGGGCAGCATCCATGACGGCAGCACCTGACAACATTGTGCTCATGAGAATATCGTGACCAGGGCAGTCGACGAAGGAAACATGACGCTTCAGCCTGTATTTGCCACCACATCCGTCGCGCTCGCAAGGTGGATCAACTTCCTTCTCACTCTTATAGGACCGGTAACAAGTAGGGCGCGGGCACTCTGGATTGTCACATTGGTAGATCTTCGCGTTCGCATAACCCAACTTGATGGTGATGTTTCTCTCCAGCTCGTTCTTGAAACGGACCGTCTGCACACCCGAAATGGCCTTGACCACGGTACTCTTCCCGTGGGCGACGTGGCCAATGGTACCAATGTTGATGGTGGCTTGGCGGGAGATGATTTCGGGAGACAATGGGTTCAGCGTGGAGAAGTCGATTGTGCTCGGATCTGGTTGTTCGCTTGTGCACATTAGCTACGACAGTGCGGGCATGAGGAGGAGGGGCGACATACGGCAGCTCTGGGCGCTCGACAGGAGGGAGGACATCGCGGCCCTTCTTCAGCGCCGGCTTTGGCTTCGTCTCTTCAATCTCGTCCTGCTCAGACAGGCTCTCGTCATCGCGGTGCTCGTGGTCGGACTCGGACTCCATGGTGGGCGACTTGCGCAAATTCGGCGAGTGCTGCTGGCCGGAGATTCAGAGCAACGTAGAGGAGTCGGGCGTGAGATGTGGAAGTGATTGTGGGTGTCGCAAGTCGGGCGTCGGGGTTCGTGCTCGAGTCCTCGAATCCCACAAAATACAAAGTGACTCAAACTGGGCAGCCCGCCTGCGTCCAACAAAGTTCGTGGGTGGAGGGGGCGAATGCCAAGCCTGCCCCGCGGAGAAAGGTTCCGCCGGCCCATGCTCAATAAAACTTTCTTCGCGCTCGCCGAACCTCTCTTGCTTCATTATTGAACAACGCAAATTTTACACACTCACGAAAAGCATTTTCTTTGGAGAGACCCGTCGCCTACGGGTGATGTGAGGTCTCCATGAGAACGAAAACCGTCATGTGAAGTGGAGAACAAGTTATTTGGCTGATCTTGGGTGCGGTTTCTCCCTGCTTTTGCAGTGGGAGAGAGCGCAATGATTGGTCGTACATTACGCATATATACGTTAAAGCATAGTTTGGAGCAATCCCATGGTAGCCAACGAAGGGCTTTGCTTGCTATCATGAGGCACGTTGCTGCACGCTCACTTCGCGTTTGCGCTTCAGCACGTGTTGAGATCAGTGTGGCGCCCTTGGAAGTCTCTGCCCATTTAGATATATCTCCAAGGTTGCAAGATGTCTTATGGCCCTGCACAGTCTCTCTCAACATCAATACCTACTAGAAAAAGGGTGGACAGCCTGACATATTCTAATTCTTTGCTGATTGCTACAATCCCCATTTCTCCGTCCATATGGCGCAAGTTCAGGGGGTTTGTATACTCTCGATCAAAAGCTACCGTCCTAGCCTTTAGTCTGTAGTGTGCATTGCCAAATCTTCTTGCATATGAGATCGTTTCTGCTACTTTAGGACTTGATGAAATACATTTTGCCCGAGTCCTTTTGCTGTGCTTTGACGCCAGTTTGATCATCTCCTTGACATCATGCTCATATTGAAAGAACCCCCAATACGAACTCCAGTGTCTTTGTTCAGTCCAAATCATCTTGTTCCTCCAGCGCACAGAAACATTCAGCATGTCTAGATGCAATAGTACAACAGCACAGCAGCGGGACTTTAAGCTTAAATTTAAGCCTCACATTAGCGTGGAACCCCGCCGCGAACCAACAAATTATTATTTCTCACCCAACTTAACATACCATACCTACAGTTGAGCCCTGATACTCCAAACATCCCGACCAAAAAAAGACTCTACACACCGTAACTTTGCCAATCGTCAATCGCAATGAAGCTCCTGACCCTAAACTTCCTCACGTGCGCCATCAAAACCTGCAAAACGAACCCCGCATCCTTCCCACTACACCCCCGAGAAGCTGAACTCGAGATCGTCGAAGCCGATATCAATCTGCCCTTTTTGAAGAATATTCTGCCACGGATCATGTGGGAGGAGTTTCGGACATTGTGTAAAGAGGTAGGTACCTACCTAGTGCTAGTGCCTACTGCGATTCGTCGTAGTGTACGACAGATCCAAGATTGCAAGAGACGCATGTTGCAAGAGGCGCATACATACATGTCTTATACAGTGTCTTACTGACTGTTTTGCACAGCTCGGACTCCCAGACCTACCCGCGACACCACCCACGCCCGAGAATCTTGTCGAACCCTCCTCGGTCCCTGCGCCCAATGCGGCGGAAGCAACATCAGCTGCGAACGAAGGTGTAGAGACGGAAGAGACTCCCAGCCAGACGGCAAGGGATCTACACAGAATACTCATCGAGACGTGCATACAAGAGGGCAAGCTGGTGTGTGGGAGTTGCGAACACGAGTATGCGGTCAAGGAGGGTGTTGCCAATTTCTTACTACCAGGGCATTTGGTGTGAGTTGCGGCGGGCAGTGACCGGGCATGTTGCAATAGTGGGGAGCAATGGATATGATACCCTTTCCTTTAAGCATTTGAAAGGCGTCAGGGTTCTGGATTAGTGTAGCGCAAGAGCGGTTGGATTACTCGGCCAAGACAAACATATGATTTCAAGGATCACAGGCTATACTTTATGTCGGTAGCAGGATGAACAGAATGTGGTTAGTATTGCTGCTAGTACCAAGTTCAAGCACAATGGTATCTGATACTGCCACGCCTGAACGCCAGACTTGAAGACTTTTTTCCATCGCTTCGACCCCCTTTATTCGCATTCGCTTTGAGAACTTAACTTGAGACGCCCGTTATGATCTCAGAGCGCGGTTGATCTGTATACGCTTGTCTTCACCCGCAGAAACAATGCCCACTTCGTGATTCCATTGCACACTGAAGACCTTCAAGCCTTCGCCATGACCCTTCGCCGGCCCCGTTTGCCCCTGTCTGTTGATGGTGTAAACGCTCTCGCCCGTCATACCCTCGCCAACCTGGCCCCCAGTGCTGACATTTCGAAGATCCCAGAGCTGAACTGTACCATCATGAGATCCCGATGCTAGGTTGTATTCCGAGGAAGGATCTGTACTCAAGGATACAACTGCGTTCTTGTGTCCTCGTAATGTCATGACGCTAATTTTTGTTGCCGATACGCGGGGATCGATCAGTGTTATGTGGCGTGCTGAGGTACCAGTTGCGAGTAGATTCCGACTTGGTATCGCACACAAGGAGAGGAGCGACTGAGCCGTTGTGCGTGTATCGACACAAGTCGAGGTTGGCAGATCCCATGTCTTGAGTGTGTGATCGTGCGATGCTGAGTATGCGACCGTAGCATCGTCGGGCTTAAAGATGACGCTCGAAACTGGCGAAGTATGCCCAGACATAGTCGTGAGTGCGCCACGAGCTGGTACCGTACGATCTGGCTTCGAAAATTTCTGGCGCTTGTTGGAAGCTGCTGTTGAGTTCGGTAGTAAGTTGGCCGGTGCAACTGGATTCTCCTTGGCGTTGCTTGAAAAGAGCGAGATGGTGGTGTCGGAGGATGCAGACAGTATTCTGTTCGAAGGTGAATGAACTGCCACATCTTCTACACCCCACCGGTGATTGAAGAGCTCTAGGCTGGCGGAAATCGTTCTTGCTGCATCGTCATACTTGAATACGCGAACCGTACTGTCCAAACCAGCAGCTACAAACTTCTTGTCGGAAAGCCACTTTGCTGTCCGGAGACTGGTTACTCGTCCGCCATTGTTGGGAGCTTCCGAAGTTGCTAGCACATCACCTGAAGTATTCCACACCCTGACGAGCCCATCGTAACTGGCGCTCAATATCCTCTCCTGGTCGCTCGAAACGCCCGGTTCAGACCATGTTCCTGCAGCCGAAGACTGCGACAATACATCCACGGCCGAAACCCAGTCATCATGCTCGAAGCTTGTGACATTGAGCGGTGGCACCAGAGCCCTTGTGTATTCTACATCCAACGTTGATTCTGCATTAATACCATTCTTCGTCAGAAACTCATCGATAGTGGTCCGCAGAAATTGACCATTTATTAAGATATCGAAAGGTATGCGATTGTCGTCGCGATGTAGTAGATCATTAACGAGTGTGGAAAGTTTATGACGAGTCAAAGCTGTTGCACATTAGTAAATGATGTTGCCCCAAACGCCATTCACAATGATTTCGAGGTATTCGCATACTCGCGCAGTATTCTCTTGACTACATTGAAGTATGCGCCGAACCTTGGGTCAACGAATGGGATCCTGGACAACTTACAGGTTTGGACAAGTAGCGTTGTAGGCTCCTCTGCGATTTGCAGATTTGGATCACGAGTACTGAGGCGAATCTGCACCTTTGTTTCTGTTCTCTCGGGATCCATTTTCGCAGATACAAATCGTCGCTGTGCAATTGTTCTTGATATCAACGAAGTTAAGACAAGGGAACCACAAAATTTCGGACCTCGAATGTTTTCCAATGAAGTTAGCGCAGAGGCGCCAGCCAGTCGGCGTTCGTAGAGCTCCGCTGCATGCACGTGATCATATGAACCACCTCAAGGCATCTGCCTCAGCGCATACTTATGGTGTATACTCAGAAACTGTTGTCTCGGCGGGAAAGAAAAAGCCTCCAAGCTATGCATACAGAGTATCAAGAGAGACCCGAAATATTAACATGTGATGCACTGGCAATCACACCATAGGGACACGAAGGACATGCTTGACGCTGCATTTACCGGTAGTCGTTATGCTTGTGGGTATCTATTGCATACTCGTCCGTCGAATTTCAGCGATGGCCCGCCGTCTGTGATCGCTTGGGGCAAAGAGTGCCTCTATCAAGCCCACTACCTCCTCAGCTTCCATCTCAAGCTTCAACTCGCCGTCTGTCCAGAAGTATTTGATGTCTGCAAGACTACTATCCAGTATCTCACTCAAGTACTGGAACTTGAACCAAGCCGGCGTATATATGCTAACCATTTCTCTTGTTTCACCACTGTCATCTTGAGTTTGGAAGTGTTGAGACAGACTAGCGAGTGAGACACAGCAGCTGTGTAGTTTCCGTGACTCGTCTTCCGCGATGTCGGACATTTCTTCAACATCGTTGATAAACTTTGTCAAAGTGGCGGAAACCAGCGAGCCTAGGGACTGCAGTAGAGCGCTATGAGATAAAATGTTTTGCCACTGACGTTTTACCTCACTTATTCGATCGATGGTGGTAGCAATGGCATCGTCGCATACAGCGGCAAAGGGCATATTGGTGCATCCCTGAAAGCCCTGTGCGTCTTCGAGATGATCTCGCAATATCTGTCTCTGGGACTCCATTTCGCGGCCGTAAGCGCGCTTACCGAAACCATCGATGTTTCTAATGTCAGCCTCGATTCGAGGAGCGAGGCGAACCGAGGGTTGCAAATGATTAGGTAACGCGCTGGCCTGGTCGCTTGCCTGCAATTCCCGCAGCAGAATGCGCAGTCGATCTGACAGTCGTTGACAGTCATTGTAGATGAGCATATTGCTTGCAATATCTTTGGAATAATGCATAACAGCAGTCGCTCTGTACATTGCCAACAAAAGACTGGGCACGGCATACAACCCTCCGCTAGCCGGTGTAATTGCAGACTGGGCCAGCTCGGGACCATTCAAAGTTTTCACATCTGTGATGACCTCTTGTATGATGTCTAAAATGGAGTCCGGGACTGCAGTGACGGTGTAAGTCTCTCGTAGTGTTACTTCCTGGTCTACAGCAGCCTTTTGGGGCAGAGGCTTCACATTCCCTGTTGTTGGCTCCATCGGTTTATTCGTCGGCTGTAGTGGCACGTCAGAGCTCTTTTCCTCTTCATCACCCCATTCAGCACCCCATTCATCAACATCTTCATCACCCAATGAATTCGCGGCTTTGACCTCGTTCGCTGAGCTTCCCTTTTCGATGTCATCATCTTCTCCCCATGCGCTCATGTCTTCCTCTTCTTCCTGCTCTTTGTGGTCTTTCTGTTCCGCAGTCGATTCGTCGTTGTCGTCCCAGTCGGCACCCCAATCATCGTCTTGGTCGTCGCTAACGTGTAAAGCATCTCCTTTAGAGACAAGCTGTGTCTCCACTCTTTCTACAGATTTCTTCTCCTGGATCTTCTTGGGCAAGAGAGTCTGCATGCGGGCAATTGCCGCCTCTTTCTGTCTTGCTAGCCAGTATTCAGCCGACTTGTCCACCCAATCCGTCAAGCAATTTTGACCAGACCAGCCAAGCTCGTCTAGGTACTCTACCAAGCCCAACACGTATGAAAGGGTCTCCTGGAAGTCTTGAACTTTGCTCGTCGCAAGAGGCACGGCAGGGAGAAGCACATGAGAGATTAAACGTGATGCGATCACAGGAACGAGCTTGGCAGATAGGGGAACTGCAACACGCGATGGCAGACGCGTGTTAAGGTACTCTGCTATCCTGTGAACATCTTCCAGCGAAGTCTTGACACTACCGTCTTTTATAGTGCCTTCACATCGTATAACAGCCTCCTCTATCACAAGTGCAGGCGCAGCTGAGTTAGTGTCTGCGGTAATACGAGGTGAGACAATGAGTCTGTCTATGTCACGGCTCAAGCGAGCGATAGCGCCGTCGAATAGACCCAACAGTACGAGGGCATCGACAACAACTTCAATATCCATTGTGGCTCCCTCTTGAACGGATTGCTTTAGCGATATGCTGGAAGTGGCATCGTCCACTGCAACTAAAGTGCCCCAGGCATTCGTCACGGTCTCGACTATGGTCTTCCTCAGTCGGTCTTCCTTGCTCTTGAGCACGCCTACGACCCTAGTGGCCTCAAAAGCACCCAGTCTCTTGAAGGCATTGTGGGCGTCCTCCAAGGTCTGCAGCGCGTGCATGATATGGCCCCGCAGGACGGCGTTTTGTGCAGAGTCGATCAAAGTCGAAATGTCCCTTAGCTGTTCGACGACCTGTGCAAGGCTCTCATTGTACGCAATTTCCGCGTGCAGCAGGCTGACTTTGCTTGCCGAATCTTGAACGCGCGCAGTGTGCTGTTTGCCATTCTGTGCCTGTTGAACGATTTCCTTGGCTGTTTCCTGCGATCGTTTGATGTCGTCCTGGAGCTTGCGCGCCTGTGTGATCCAGCCATCGACGTCGGGGGCAGCTTCGCGGGAGAGGACGCGTATCTGAGTCTAAACAGTCCTCGTTAGCCAGGTATATCGAGCACCATCAGGGATGTCTGTCTACCCACTTTGGTCTCGTCGCGCGCCTTGGCGATTACTTCTGAAAGCGTCGGGAGGGTACTGCATGGCACGGGGGCAGAGGCAAGATGTTCGTCTTGAGGAAAGAGGCCATACTGGACAGACTGAAGGACGGCATCGCCCAGTGTCTGGTCAGGCCCTGAAGAAGAAGACATGGCTTATCTCTCCAATGTCATTGTCTCGACGATCGAAAACGGCGTGGAGGCGCAACAATGTAAACACGTGTCAAATATGACGTTACGGAGAGAGGTGCTGTAAGGATTGTACGTCCTAGTCCTGGAATAGTATCCACACATCAAAGAGAAAGGAAATGGAAGGGATGCAGCAGATGCAGCCCGTGCAGGCCCGAAGCGCTCCGTCCAGGTACGGTCCCGGTCCTGTGCATCAGTCAATGTATGACGCACGTGCCCCGCCCCAAGTACCCAAGTAACTTACCCCACCAACCACTCTCCAAATGAAGGCTGGATACGTATACCGTGCAAATGTGGGCACGGATTCCACATCGCCCTATAAGTTGCCTTGCCCAAGTACGATATTGGTTCAAGGCGCTAAACTCGCCTTCACCTTTGCCCTCTGTCCAAGATTGGAATTACACATTGCACTGCTTCAGGAGGCTTGCGGCGAGTCCTGACGGTGATCTGTTTGATCACTCCGTGAGTCCAAGACCTCTTCTCCGCTTGATGGCTGCGATTGATACGCCATGCTACTAGACATGCTATCGTTTTCAGTGTTGAGGAACGCAACTAACGCGACAATAGTAGTACGAATTCGGCAACACACAAAGAGGTCCCTGCCTCGAGTCACTGCTGTACTGATCAAGTGAACTACTTCGACTCGGCTCTTGTCTGCCCCCAAGCTTTCACCCAGAACATAGTACGTCCGACTTTCGAGTTCGGAATCATGGGCTCTCTTCAGCCAGCCTCGTATTTTAAAAAAATACAAAACTTCAGGGCCGACTATGCAGACGCCGAATTCACCCAATATGAGTCTCAAAGGACCGGATTACGCGTGGTAGTGGTCGACAGGAAAGGTCCAAAAGTCTATGGAAACTTTGCCGTAGCTACTGAGATTCACGACGATTCGGGTTCCCGTAAGTAGTGCTGCCTTGGTCATTCTTGCTATGCCTAATCTTTTACAGCACATACGCTCGAACATCTATGTTTTATGGGCTCGAGGAAGTATCCTTTCAAAGGCGTACTCGATAAGATTGCCACTCGGTCGTACTCTGACACCAATGCCTGGACAGACACAGCTGAAACTGTGTATACATTATCAACTGCAGGTTGGGAAGGATTCGCTCAACTGCTTCCCATCTATCTTGATCACCTGATCGTTCCTACATTGACTGATGCTGGATGCTACACCGAAGTACATCATGTCGATGGCAAAGGTGAAGATGCTGGGTAAACACATCCACAAACTATGGCTATCTTGTACTGACAACACCAAGCGTTGTCTACTCCGAGATGCAAGGCCGACAGAACTTGCAGGGCGATCTGATGGATCTTCAAATGCGTCGTCTGCTGTATCCCGAAGGCGACGGATTCCGAATGGAGACTGGAGGCTTAATGGAGAACTTACGAGTGCTAACGGCCGAACGTATTCGCCAGTTTCACCGGGACATGTATCAACCGAAGAACATTCGACTTGTCATCATTGGCGAGGTTGATCATACAGACCTTTTGAACGTCCTGGACGCATTTGAGGAACAGGTGGCAGATCGTGTCCCTCCGTTCGATGCTCCGTTCAAACGTCCTTGGGTGGATTCGAAGCGTACCCCACCACTAAGCAAGACCATTGTGGATACTGTCGAGTTTCCTGAAGAGGATGAGTCAACAGGCGAGGTTCAAATTGCATTCCTCGGTCCTGAGTCAACGGACGATTTGGGTGAAACTGCTATCAACACCTTACTCATGTATCTTGCTGGATCTTCTGTATCTGTCATGGTCAATAAGCTTGTTGAGAAGGAACATCTCGCGAGCATGGTGGATTTTTGGGTCAAGGGCCATTATGATATGATCATCTGGTGGACCCTGTCAGCCGTGGAGACAAGCAAGCTTGCAGAGGTTGAGAAGCGTTTCTTCGAACTACTAGAGGAGCATGCTTCCAAGCCACTGGACATGAGTTATCTCAAGGACTGCCTACATCGTTTCCAGCGCCAGACTCGATATGCATCAGAGATTGGTCAGGATGAGTACAAGGACCCTATCATCAAAGATCATTTATTTGGTGATCGCGATGGTTCACATCTCAAGGATGCCATGGCCACGCTACATGTGTTTGAGAAGCTAGAGAAGTGGACTGAAGAAGATTGGCGATTGTACCTGAAAAAGTGGATGGTAGATGCTCATCATGTGTCCGTCCTTGGCAAACCGTCCAAAGCCTTGTCCGAAAAGATGAAAGCAGACGAAGTGGCTAGAGTTAAAGCACAACAAGCGAAGCTGGGCGAGGAAGGCATGAAGAAACTTGCTACCAAACTCGCAGAGGCCCAAGCGGAAAACGACAAACCAATCCCGGAGGAAATCATTGCTAGTGTCAAAGTCCCAAGTACGGAATCGATACACTTCTTCGAGACTATTACTGCCCGGTCTGGACTCGCAAAGAAGCTGGGTGTCCCTGACAATAAGATACAAAAGATCATTGACAAGGACGAAGGTGGACTACCCCTCTTCATTCATTATGAGCATATACCGACCTCATTTGTTCATTTTGGCCTGGCGCTCGGTACAGGAAATCTGCCTACCCATCTGAAACCTCTGCTCGGAGTGTACCTCAGCAATTTCTTTGCTACGCCTGTTGTGAAAGATGGCAAGCGAATGGAATTTGAGGAAGTCATTACCAAGCTTGAGCAAGACACGATCGAGTTCTCCATGGACCAGGGATCTGGTATTGGGAACACGGAGATGATCTATATTTCCTTCGTCGCTGAAGCTAACAAGTTCGATACGGTCGTGCAGTGGCTGAAGACCATGTTGGTCGATTCCGTGTTCGACACTGAACGTGTGATCTCCACGGTCAAAAAGATGCTGGCTGACGTGCCGGATGAGAAGCGCGACGGCAACGGCATGGCTTTTGCAGTAGACCGCCTGATTCACTACGATGCAGCCTCGTCGGTCCGTGCCACCAACACACTTGTCAAGGCTGTCTACCTCAAGCGAATCTCGAAGCTGCTCAAGACGGAACCTCAACAGGTGCTTGACAAACTGGAGGAGTTGCGGAAACACCTGCTCACCTTTTCAAATATGCGCGTCCTCACAATCGCTAACTTGGAGACACTATCCAGCCCGGTCTCAACATACAAACAGCTTACTGATGCGTTCCAACCCGGCCCAGAGCCCACGATAAATCCAATCGATGACCGGAACAAGGTGCTTTCAGAAGTTGGCCGTAATCCAGGCGGAGCACACTATGTCATCACCATGCCCATCGATTCCTCCTTCGCCGTCTTAACAACCAGGGGCCCCAAGGGATACACAAACCCACAACTCCCCGCACTCATGGTTGCTCTCGCCTACCTAGATGCCGTCGAGGGTCCCATGTGGTCGTCAATTCGTGGCACCGGCCTCGCCTACGGCACGAATTTCTTCCGCGACCCAGAGACTGGACTCCTCAAGTTCCGCATCTACAAATCGCCCAATGTCTTCTCGGCTTTTAACAAGGCCAAGACGGTGGTCCGCGAATACGGAGACGGTACGCGCAAGTTTGACAAGCTAGCGCTCGAGGGTGCGATCAGCTCTATTGTGCGCGACTTTGTGGATGAGCGAATGAGCATTGTGGACGCCGCGCGCAGCTCCTTCATCGATCTTGTTACCAGGGGTGTGGGAAAGGAGTGGCAGGAGTGGGCGCTGCGTGAGGTGCGAAAGGTCAGCGAGGCAGATGTGCAGAAGATTCTAAAGGAGGTTGTCTCCAATGCCTTTGTACCAGACAAGGCTGACCTCGTCGTTACTTGTGGTGGCATCATGACCGAGGTATGTTTTATTTTATTTTTTTTATCTGCTCATTCTCACTGTACTGCTGATCTTCGAGACTAATGTTTGTTTTCTACAGGGTCTTAAGAAGGACTTTGAGGACGCTGGCTTCAAGATCCAACTCAAGCAGCTTACCGACTTCCAAGATACATATGGTTTAGAGGGGGAAGAGGACGAGAATGAGGACGAGGACGAAGAGGACGAGGATGGCAGCGACGAAGACGGTGATGACGGCTCGGAGACGGAGGTGTAAAGTGCCATATCACAGGGCCACATCACAGGGCCACATCACAGGGCCAAGTCCATATTAGCTTACATCCATCATACATCATGATACACAAACATACATGATGCAACAAGCCCTCATTATCTCCTGATATGCTCTCATATAGTGTACACAGCAAACCCATTGAGCAAGCATTTCAATCATGCAAGGCCGATGATCATCAATCCCCACACAGTAGTTACCATGCATCCAGCACTTCAATACGCCCAAAATGCTCCCACCCCTCTCAACCCAAGACGCCCATCCATAAAACACCCTAATAGGTTCAACACCTTGTATGTGAAGAAAAAAAATATGGAGCTAACCGGCAACGGGTAATCTCTCAAAGAAAGAAGAAGAAGAAGAAGAATAGGAGGAAGGAGGAGAACGAGAAATGCAAAACCCGTAAACTAGCCAAACCCGCTAGAAACACAATGATAAAGCCTTTGATTCCGTCCCATGACCGCCCGGAAACGCCGCAAGGTAAACAATAGAGTTTACAAGTTCCGCTCACTAAACAAGCGCATATGCAAGGAGCAATCTATGCATCCTCCGGAAGAATACGTGCAAAGTGTTTTTCCCAGATCCAGCCGACAGTTTTCGAAGCGTCGTCCTGATTGCGCGCGAGCCACAATTCACCCTTCATGCCGATGACGTCAAAGATTTCGCCGGGGACGTAGACGAGGTACGGTATGCCGCCTTCGCGGCGGTCGTGTGCAATGTTGAACTCAAAGAGACTGGCGGCTAGGAAGAGGACTTCGGGCTCGTCCGTGTCGGCAGGTGTGGTTGGTAGTTCCTCGACGCTGCCGCGGATGGGAGAGTCGGACATGGGGAGGGCAGAGTTGAAGATGCCAGAGGTTCGCGTCGAGCCGGGCAAGGAAGTGGACTGTGACATGGGCACGGACCGGCTATGGCTTGTCGTCTGCGTGGTGGGAGACAGAAAAGAGGCGCCTAGTTGGGGTGGAAAGTCAAAAGCGCCGGACCCGAAAGGCAAACGGTCGTCTTCAACAACCCCATCAAGTAAGTAGTAATTATTGTTGCGCGATGAAGGACCAGTGTTGCGACGCTCGCCGCTATGCATGACCGTCGCGTCGCTATTGTCTGAAATAGGGCTAAGGGCTCGGGCTTCGCGTAGAGATGTTGGTCCTGGCCCAGGCCGTCCTGTCGAGGCTGTCTGGTGCAGCGACGGATACGCTGGGCCCGTTGGAGTAGAACGTGGTGGGTCGGGATTTCGTGCGTGCGGCCGATGTGTATATCCTCCGCTATTTCGATGGCGGCCATCGAGCATAGATGCTTCGCTACCTATAGACTCTGTACGACGGGAGGACGAGTTGCGAGACGAATCACCATCCGAGGACATGGTTGGCACAGGCGAGGTCATGTTCGAGATGTCGACCAAGAGGCTTCGGTTGATTATGCCAAGTCTGTTTGCAAGATCCTGCATTGGCTTGTAATCGGCGTGAAACCGCTCAACATATGAGTCCATGTCGTACCGAAGCGACGTGGTATGTTGAGGTTCGCTTTCGAGTAAGGGAAGAATCTTCTTTGAGCAAGTTTTATACCAGTCCTTTTGGAGACACATGAACAGAGTCATCAAACTGCGCATGAGACCCTTTGTTCTTTCATAGAGCAATGGCAACTCATGTTTGAGGGTATCGTTGATCGCAATAAACTTCTTTGCAGAATCTTCGAGCTCGGGATCTACCTTTTCGCCCCGATCAATCAATTGCTTGTGCTTGACGTAGTATAGCAGATACTTCTTGCGCTGTTCGATCGTCTTCTGGTACGATACCCACATCTCCCACAGATCGCCAACGGGCTTCAAAACGCGGCTGCGAACAGCAGCTTTCTTTGTAATTATTAGCATTTATTTGCTGAGTAACGAGCAGATAGGCTTACATGGTCCTCGAGTGCCTTATTCTGAAGCTCAAAATGGGCCATCGCCCATTTCCGCCAGGTACTCTCGATCTCCGGGTATATCGACGGTGCGACTTCACATACAGTAATGAAGCCGAGAAAGACAATGTTAAGCTGTAAGTAGTGCTCCGTGATGGACTCGAGATACTGTTCGAAATCCCGGATAACGATCTGGAGTTGAAAGAAATGGCCTCCGAATTTTTGTTCCCTTGACTTGTATTCTTGATCCTTGAAAGCTTTGTCAGCCTCATCATAGGCCTTGCTCTTGTCTACCTTCGGGATGAAGGCCTTGACGAACGTCTTGCCCAAACCCTTTCCTCTACTCTTTTCTTTCTTGCCTTCTGATGCAGCAGCACGGAACGTATCAGAGCGCGCCTTGGCCTCGTTGATACGTGCATTGATTGCGAGTAGTTCTTTGCGTGCATCTAAGATATTCTGCAGGTCTGGATGATCCGGGTCACTCGCGTTCGCGAGGCCTTCAAGAAGCAAAGGATACTTCAGTAATCGTTGACACGGCTTGAGAAGCAACGAGTCGAGATCCCAGGCTTGTGTCATATTCTCTACCTGTTCGAAGCAGGCAACAACCCATCCAGAAAGATCCGGATTGTGCTGATTTTTCTTGATGTATGCGCTTGCGTTGTCTTGGTTCAAGAAATACGTCGTATAGAGTCGCTCCATCTTCTCCTTGTTATCAAGGAAAACCTGTCCGATCGTTGTTAAGCGATCATTTTCCAATGTACAATTCTCGAATTGGTTTTCGGCGTCTTCGGATGGTCTTCGAAGAGTAAGAGAAGATTCAGGAGGATTGTAGGGTCTAGTATCGGAAGGGTCTCTGTTCCACGGTCCGGTCGGAGGTGGTATCTCGTAATTGACAACAGGCCTAGCCGCCCTCTTGAACGAGCGGAACAAGGATAGAGAGAACTTTTCCAGTTCTTTGCAGTTGCTAAACAAAAGCTTCTTCTCTTTTTCACTCATGAGATTTGGGGCAGTTGCCTCAAAGATGTTGTGTGCGATCATCATGTCGATGCAAAATTGGTGTTCTGTAGTGAGTAACTCTTCAAGGATCCTGTAACGTCTGACAAGCGCTTGTTTCGCAGGATCAATAGGGCCGCTCTGTTCCTTTTCTACTCCTGTTGGTATCAAACTCGTAGCCTCCACTGGTTGTGGGGTCCCATAGCGATCTTCAAGACTCTGCTCTTGAGTGTGGATAATGGGCGTGCGCGCGCGAGCGGGATGCATTTCGAACTGAGCATCACTCGTGAGCGCTGGTGGAGATGGCCGTAGTGAAGATGACGCAAATCGTTGCTCAACCGATGGCTGAACGGGGGGTGGTGGAGGCGAATAAGCAGGGCGTGGTGGCGTATATTGCGTTGGTGGTGAGTGTGATAGTGAATCCTGTAGTGAGAGTCCGAGGCCCTCATGGGTCCATGCTAACTGCGGCAGTTCGATGTTAGTTGCGGACTCAGGTTGTGGATCGAGCGTCGAGTGCTGTACGAGCGACTCCTTGGATGGATTGCCCGAGGAGCTCCCGGAATGGGAGGCGTTCTCTTGGATGGTGGTGGCAGTAGATCCTCTGGAGCCACGCGAATATCGTCTCGATTCAGAGGGATATATGATCGCAGTGCCTCCAGACTCAACTTCTGATATGTCCTGTGTGTTTGGATGGGGGTCTTGGCTCGGGCCATCAATCTGGCTTGTTTGTGGTTTCCCTAGATCATCCGAAGATGCATTGGCATCACTTAACAATCGGGCCAAATATGTTTCGGTAGCTTCTTTGGATCCCCAGTCCTTGTGTTGTGCAACAACAGGTGAGACTCGCTGCACTCTTTCTTTGGAGAGCGATGCCAGCTCTGGCGATACGACTTGCGACTGATGGTAAAGATTGAGTACGGAGTTGACGACACTGTACGTCTCCCTGTCAAACGCTAAAGACCCTACTGCTCGATACGGAGCGACACTCGCAGAATCGTCAGGATAAAGGGTCTCTCGGTTGTGGGGTGCCTTCATGGACGAGTCATCCCTGTCATAGGCCGCTGTGTTATCTTCTGGCTCATGTTCAAAGCCCATCGGCTTGAGGACTTCGTCAAGCAGCTCAGAAGTGTGCTCAGAAGGTTGTGAAGCGTGTTTTTCGCTAAGCATTATGGGGATGGACGCTCTGACATCGAGTTCAGATTGCTCCAATCCAGGTGATTGGTAGCCCATTTCCTGGACGGCACCATGGTATACGGTCTGCTGGGGCGATTTTTCTTCCGATTTCTGGTGTATAATAGGAGGTGTCATCAAAAAACTCCCTGGAATGCCCAAGACGGGGGATTCCTCAAACTCCGTGAAAGCCGAGGCAGGTTCAGGCGGCGAGGAGTGCGGCAATCTCGAGGTCTGAAGGCTCAGACGCTGCTGGGGTGATGGGAGGCGTGGCAGGTCGGAAGAATCGTGGCTGTCGTATGTATCCATGAAACGGCCGCGCCCATCCATGTTGTGATTGGTGAGAGGAGGCTGCTCTGAGTTCAGGCCTGCATCCTGTATCGAATCAAAGCCGGCACCCGTGGGGAAGTAGCCCTGTTCACCATGGGGTGCAGAGCTCCGGGATCCAGGACTTGGGGATGACTGCAGGGGCTGCCGTTCTCGCGAGTTACGTAGACGTGGGGAGGTGGGCGGAGGCGGGGCAGTCACTACGGCTGGCACGCTTGGTCCGCCTCTCGTTCCCACAGCAGCGGTCGTCTTCTCTTGCTCTCGATATGCACGGTAAGCTAGGGTCGGTAATGTTGATTGGTCGACGCTACGCCGGCCAACAACAGCTCCTGTTAGTATGGGTCTCCTGCTTGTGCGCGTAGGAGAGGCTCTGTTGCTATGAGGCGTGAGCCGGGTCGGAGTGTATTTGACCGAGCGTGTCGACGAGCTGGAGTCGGATGTGGCGCTGAGGCGTCGGGCGGCCACAGGTATTCTGGACTGAGGCGAGCGTCTACGGTGCGATTTTGCGTGTTCTGGGGGGTTTGCCGTCTGCTCGTGGGCGCCAAATGTCGGTGTAGCAGGCGTGACAGCCTGCTTGTGATGGGGCGAGCTGGAGGACGTGGCAGCCACGTGCAAGCCATCCGCCCCGTCACCCAGGGTGCTGTCAAAGGTGGGAATGCCGAAGCCGGGTCCCTCCAGCTGCAACGCACCGACTTCCCCAAACAAGGGCTGCCGTCCACCAGAAGCTGGTCGACGGACAGGTGAGGCCATCTGGGAGCGTGCGTGCGTCGTGTGCTGATCGATGCTGCCACCCCTGCTGGCCCTGCTGCCGTTTGCACGGTGGGTGTGGCGGGGTGACGCCGGGGCAGGCTGTGGCCGCTCTCGCGGCTTAAGATTGTTAAACTTGTAGGATCCATACGAGGCCTCTTTGGCCGGGCGTGCTGCAGATGCAGTCGATGCCGTCGAGGATATCGAGGTTCTCGCACGTCTTGCGGCATCGTAGGCGCCTGCCCGTGTTCGCGCTGGCTCCTTCGATTGGGAGCGCCGTGCTACAGGCGTTGTGGTGGTAGCCGGACGGCCTCCCCCGCCGCTGACCGACCGTTCTCGCTGATTGATCTGTTCTGCGATTGCCCTGACCTTGTTGGAGACGGCGGGTGATGCGCGCGATGCTGTCGGCGCTGAGGTCAGGGCTGAGGTTGAGGCTGAGCGCTGGCCGCTGGTGGTCGACGTGGTTCGCGGACGGGTCGACATGGCAGGCGCATGCTGGTGGTCCTCCTCATGCTCCTGCTCCTGCTGGTGCTGCTGATGCTCGTGCGAGCGCACAGAGGGCGTGTGAATTGCGTAAAAATCCTCGGGCGGCGGCTCGGATTCGTCACAGTCAATGTGGTGGTGGTGATGGTGATGGAGCTGGTGGTGGTGGTGGTAATGATCGTCGTGTTGTTGTTGCTCCTCCTGCTGCTGCTGCTGCTCGTGAGCATCGGCTAGATGGCACTGGAGAGCGGTGCTGTCGTCGTCGTCCAGCTCAAGGACCCAGCTCTGGACAGCTGTGCGATCAAAGGCCATGATGGGAATGGGATTTGCTGTCCCATTTCGCCCATGCAGGTGCCAGGCAAACGTAGTCAACGGCGTGTGTCCAATCACACAGGTGGCCAGGCACGCGGTCGTCGTCTGAGGGCTTCTAGATGTCGGCCAATGATTGAGTGGCGCAGGCAAGGTTGAGCGATGGCCAGCGGGTTGTGTTTCAGCCGGACAAAGTGCGCAGAAACACAGTGGATGTGCGCAAAGGCGAGACGAAAGCACGGGGGCCTGGGTATGTGTGGGTGTGTGGGTGTGTGGGTGTATGTGCGTGCGTGTGCGGCTACTGGTACTGCTTAAGTTGTGCCAGCTGTGCGAGCTGTGCGAGACGAGAGACGCCTTCGGGTTGAGCCAACGAGCGCGACTGGACAGTAGGATAGCACTGAGCCGGCCTGTCTGCTTCAGTGCCTAGTGACACCTAGTCACCGTGGCCCGCTTCGCAGAGCCCGTAGAGGGGCGGGGGGAAGGGCGGGGCGGGGACGGAGAGGGGGGGAGGGGAAGGGGGGAAGGGGGGCGACGCTCATCGCTGGCCGTCCCGAACTTCCCTCCATCGTGTTCAGCCTTTCTTTCATCCCAGTCGCCGCGAGCACTTGCCAACAGAAAACTGTGGTTCGAGCTGGTGAAACAAATGTAATGGAAAGAAAGATTTGCATAGAGTAGACGTGACATTAACCAACATGCATTTTGCACGCTACCTGGAAAACCACTGGCATGACTCTAAAGTCTAAACTATATAAACATCATCGTCTCTCCGGCTTGCCTAAAGAGATCTACTCAAGGTCCGTCTGTGTCCTGACCTTCATTCCGGACCCCCAAGGTACATCCATGGCCAGAGACAGAGGGTTTGGAAAGGATTCCTCGAATAGGACAAGTATCATGTTGTAATAAAAAAAGCACAAAGAGGGTCGCCTCTAGTATTTTCTTTTCCAGCAGCCACTGAGATCCAGGAAAAGTGTGGAACGGAGAGTCATGGACGGTAGACTGAGCCAAGTACATAGCCCTAAAGTTACTTTAAGATCATCATCTGTTTCTCATGCAAAGTCGACACCCCAACACAAATATAAGGCCTACGCCATCTAAAGACCCAGTCTCTCAACCAAGCATAGTGCAATTCTACCTATACTAAAAAGAATCAAAAGCTTGCCATGCCCCATGTCGGTTTCTAGCGAAGACCAGCGGAGAGACACTCTACAACAAACCACAAAAGATCTCACACCACGCTAGCGAATCAACCGATGCGCTGGCAGAAGACCCTTGGGTTCTTCAACGCGACTTGCAAACTGGCCACACAAAGCCTTCAACGGAACTAGAAGAGGAGAGAATTGTGCAGTATGTAATGGACAACTTGATTCGCTGCAACTCCTATCTACAGCCCACACATAATCCGAGAAGAAAACGTAATTCTGATTTCATGTATGATAATGATCGAAAGGCATCGGCTGCTCACAATCCTCGTTGAGTCTTCAAGCCCAAGCAAACAAGCAAGCGTCTTCGTCCCAACCACATTAACAATTTCAAAAACTAAACAAAGCACAAAAGAAAAGTACAATCAAGGTATCCAGCAGAACGGACCCCAACACCATAATGGTATCCTCTTAGAACGAATCCCAGTCCTTCCTATTACTCGTCGTGCCGTATCATAACAGACTCTTCATTAGAAGCCCTCGGGAAGTTGGAACTCAAAATCCTCGAGATCCTCGTCCAGAACATCATGACCTAGCAACTGATCGCCAAAGCTCCTACCCCAGGCCTCGTCCTCTTCATCATCTGAACGCGAGAGGATCATTAACTCGAGATCACGCTCAATGTCTGCTGCGGTCCGATAGGCTTGCTCCTGAGACGTAGACGTGACTAGAGTAGCGTTGGTCGACGTTGAGCTACAGTGAGACATGGGGCCGCGGAAACGAGGAGGAACCGTTCCGGCACTTGTGCTACGTTGATGGATCGATGATGCTGTCGCTGGTCGTCGAGCTGCGACGGAGAAAGGTGGGGGCTTGGTCACGTTGGATAGGGGCATGCGAGTGGCTGAGGGAGTGCGGCCCATGCGACCCTGCGCGTAGCCGATTGTGCTCTTAGAGGCCGTGACTGCTATGGCTTGACGGGCTGTATTGCACTCTGCGAGGGGCTTGGTGGTTTTTTTGCTTGCGATCAGGCCGGTGGGAACTCGAGACTTTGCAGAAACCACAGGTGCAGCTCGGGAGGGCTTGGATACCGATGAGAGTGCTGCTGCTGCTGATCGAGCCCTGATGGTGGAGAGACCGCTCTTCATTCTCTTGGGTGCAGCGTTGGGGACCGGCTTTAGGGCCTCCTTGGGTTCCTCGATGCCCAGATACCGCCTTACTTCGGCGTCTTCTTCAGCCATTTGAGCTTCAAAGACCTTGTCGAACTCTTCATCGCGCTGCTTGCGCGACCGCTGGAATTCTTCCTCAAACTCTCGCTGTTTGCGTGTCCGACCATCATCTTCGATGGGATTGTGACAGGCCTCCCAAATACCGCGACGCATGGCCATGTCGTCAATCTTGGGGATGGTCCAGTCCTTGGGGAGGTAGTCGTCCATGTCATCCTCGAGGGGAATTTCCTTGGGAGGCATGTACTCAATTTCCGGCACATCATCTTCTGACTCGTGCTCGGCTGCTGGCTGGTGCACCTTGACTTTGGGCCGACGTAGACGAGGACTGACTTTCTGTGTCTTGCCTGCTGAAGATAGCGGTGCTGGCGTCTGGAAAGCTCTGGACTTGGCATTGGTCGTCTTCATACCCAGCGGCGCGCGCGTTCGTGGGCCTGCATGCGTCAGTTCCCCGTCTGTCATCTTGTTGCGTCCTAGACAGCGCACTCACCAGCTGGGGTAACAAAGGCATTTGCATCCAGCTTCGCGCCCTTCTGGCTCGTGAAGAGCAAATTCTCGTTCCCTTTGCTGTTGGTTTTCAAGACAGATTTCCCTGCCTTGTTCACGGCATTCTCGTCGTTGAGCGGCACCTTGAATGGCGTCTTAGGCGCCTTGTTTCCTGGTGTTTTCGCATTGAATCCCTTCAGTCCAGCATTGAGCGACTTGCCGGCACCGCCCGCCTGCAGATGGCGCACAGCATTTTCCTGATCGTTGGCGGCGAGTGTAGCCATTGGGGCGGTTACATGGGTGCAGCAATGGGTGGAGCTCTTGATATCTGTGATGCGGCGTCGATGGGTAGTGGTGGTCTGGCGTGTTTACTAGCCCGCGAGTGGTTGCTATGTGCCAAGGCTCAGGGTCCGGCCGTCGTGGTCGTGACTCGTGCTTGCTGAACAAGGCGTGGGCCCGTTCGGCAGGCGGTCTGCCCGCATCACCAGCAACCCAGGCACAATTCTCAGTCGCCAACTCAACACCACAACACCCGTGCCAACCTTTCACTCCTACCTACATCGCCGGCTTTTCATCTGCAGCCCCTGTCATACCGTCACTTTCACCTCTAGTACATTCCCAGCACCCTTATCCGCCACCATGGACCAGATCAAGAAGGTGAGTTCGCACCTACCCCGCCTGTCCCCTTTATGCTGTCTACCATGTCTCGCTCTGCATGACTGCTGCAGGCTCTGCCCCTCCTCATAACTGGCACGCGTGTAATATAGACACAGCTAACATGATGATTTGTAGCGCATGGAAGCTCTCCGCATCGAGGCGGACGAGAGCAGCACTCGCGCAGAGGAGCTCAAGGCCAAGCTCAAGCAGCTTGAGTCAGAGACGACACAGAAGGAGCAGGAGATCACATCCCTGACGCACCGAAATCAGGTGCTGGAGGCTGATGTCGAGAAGCTTGAAGCGCAAGTCAAGACCTTCAAGGACGAAGCCGGTGCAGGCGCTCAGGCCGGCTCCCAGGCCGAGAGCCTCCAGCGCAAAATCCAAGTTCTTGAGGAAGAAGCTGAGGAGTCGGACAGGACCATCCGCGAGCTCAACGAGAAGTGAGTCTTCCCATCCCCCCTGCTCTGTCATAGGGCAACGCATCTGCAGATCGCGCTCGAGAAGAAGCATCATGTGCTGACGTGGCATAGGCTCCGCCAAACCGACGTCAAATCCGGCCACTACGAACGCAAAGTACAAGCCCTCGAGCAGGACCGCGACCAGTGGGAAAGCAAGTACGAGGAGATGGCTAAGAAGTACAACGACACCAAGAAGGAGCTCGACGACTTTGTCAAGGAGATTGGTAACATCTAAACTTGACACTGTCTCTTGTCCTTATTGGTCGTTAACTATATCTAGTCGAATTTTGATGGATCGAGCATGTTGGTTGGCAAGCGCAGTCGAGTTGAGCATCACGGCTGCATGGCACAAGTGGAGCGTGTCGTGGAAGTCGGCCTGAGGCAGAATCATACATCCCTTAACCCCTACACATCTGGTTCTCTTTTCCTTTGGCTGCTTGCTGGTCGGGCAGGCACGCTGTAGATAATCCCTAAGCGAGGCAATCCATTGTTGAGCGGTAACCCCAATCCTACTCTAGACCTCATTGCACCTGCTTGCCGTGATATGTCACACTGTCACACTGCCATGCAGGAGCCACGAGTGTACAAAGGTACTGGTATATGAGAGTCTGCATTTATCTGGATTCATATCTGGGTATCATGCACCTCACGCCTTGTTCTCTCGAGCCTCACGCTGCTTCTTCTTCTTGGCACCTTGCTTCATCCTCTCCGCCTTGCGCTCCAACTTGGTCTCATACCTAAACTTGACCTTCTTCTTCTTGGGCCTATCCGTCTTGGGCCACGCCTTAGTCCACACCCTCTTCTCCGGCTTCTTCTCGCCCCCACCTTCCTCACCACCCTTTTTCTTGCTCTCCTCGTCCTCGTCCCCTGGTCGTGAGAACCCAGCTTTTGAAATGCCCACGCTCTCAATTGTCACGGTTGTGTATTTATCCTCGTCGACGTATTCGTCCTCTTGATTTATCGGCTCTGGTTCTTGGAATCCTTGGAATTCGTCATCGTCATTGGCATCGTCGTCGTCGTTGGAACTATCCTCTTCCCCCGATGTGTGGTCCAGTCCGCCAATATCGCCGTTGGCTTGCTTGACAAGTCGGTTCACTTCTTCGACATGCTTTTCAAGGTCGATTTTGCGCTGTTGCCGGAGCTATATACGTATACCATTGCACATGTTAGCAATCTTCACTTGCAAAACATCTTTACACACGCTCTCCACAAAAGTTGCAAAACCGCTGTCGGGACGGGCTAGGCAAGAATGAGAGATCGTACCTCTCGTCTGAAGCGGGCCTTTTCTTCCTTCTCACGCTTTGCGGCTTCTTCCTGTGCGAGCTTTGCGCGCGCGACTTTGCGCTTGTGGAATCCTGTGAGGTATTCCTCGCGGGCGGCGGGGTCGAATGTGATTACTTCGGGGGCTGCGACGGTCGTCTTACGTTTTTTTGAGGGTGGCGGCATGGCCCTGGCAGTTACTTTGTGGTTGCTGAGAGTTGTGGTTGGGAGGGGAGGTGCAAAGTCGCCCGTTAGCTTTGGGCGGAAGAGGCTGCGGAGTTGGAAAAATGTTGCAGGGGTCGGTCTAGAGTAATTGCTACCCCAGGATCATTAGCCGAGAATTCCAGATATCAGACTTGATAGATATGTGATGGGATGTATAGGATCAGCAATGATCAACGACAGGGCTGGGTCATTATTTTTTTACGAAGTTCAAGATTTTGTTTTCTTTTTGAAGATCCATTTCCGCCTCTTCCATGTCTAAGTCCTGACTCTGTCGTCACCCAAGATCTTTCTCCTCCATGGCAACGATTCTAAATGCCTCTTCGCTTTATTGGTGATGCACAATGCACTATCAACATCCTGGAGTCCAGGCTCACCAAACATGGCAATCACCATGAGACCCAAGAATGAGTGGTATAGGTCTGGAGGATCGCCTGTTACCTTGCCGAAGCCACCCACCATGTGCTGCGTCTTATCGAGCAGCCATTTTCTAATCGGCGCTCGATCTACAATGTCGAGATGACCTAGAATTTGTAGCGGCACACAGGTCCAGTATGCATAGCACGTATCGGCTACTTTGTTGCACCGGCCGTTCATACCCACCCACTGGAGCTCGAAGTGAGCTGGTGGTCGTCCCAGCTTGTTTGTTTTGGCCTGGGTGGATGGATATGCTCCTAGCTTGACAAACGAGTGTGCGTCATGACACGTTTCCGGCGTATCTGTCTCGTCATTCAGAGTATCTAGCCCATCGTCTTCGTCCAGGGTGATGGTTTGACGTGAGACGAGCCAGTGAAGTGTTTTGGGAACATTGGTGACGCCTCGGATAACGCCATCTGGCTCCTGTGATGGTGGCAATGGCAGGCGATCCAAGAAGGCGAGAGCAGCGATGGCACAGCACGTGAAGCCAGCGTGTGCTTCCGAGTAAGGAGCTTCGGAAATGCCACCATCGTAGCATTCTGAGTCACGCACACAGGTTACGAACTTGTCAACGTCGATGTCGGGCACACCTTGGCATGGACCTTGAAGGTCGCCCCGCAGAATCCACCGGATGACCGTGGCCATGTATCCAAATCGTGAATCATGACCACCATGCACAAAGCCATCCTTGGCCAGAGTCTCCCCGAAGCTGCCCTCGGGTCGCTGCATCTTGACCAGCCATTCCAGAATTTCCCTCCTCTTGACACGCTCCAAGTCATCCCCAAGTACAATCAGGGTAAGGAGAGCAAAGAAGGTGCCCGGCACATGAGCCGGATCCCACTCTTGGTTCGACTCGTTTCTCAGATGGCCAAAGTTGGACCCTGGCCATGGGCGGAAACCACCAGTCGGGAGTTGGCAACCGTAGACCCATTCAATGTGTCCTTGGCGCTCCTCGGGCGACAAAGCAGCGTCTAGATCGCCGAGAATATCGAGTGCAGAGACAGTGAAGAGGGCCAGCAGCATGCGGTTGGCATCGTTGCTGGTGTAGAAATGGGGCAGCAGCGTCTTCAAGTTGCGCCTCCAGAACTTGATATGGCGGGCATAGTGGAGCTGCGTCTCAAAGGGGCCAGCCATAGTACAAGTACAGGGACAAGTAAGGGGAATAATTGGGCAGGCAATGGCAGGGCAGGAACCGCGCACGTGGAGCCTGTGGCCTGGAAGCCTGGAGCCTGGAGCCGCGAGCCTATGGCCGAGCCGAGTGAAAGGGTGAGATGCGCAAAGACGGCGGGGGGTTATTTTGGGGAGCCCAAGGCCCAAAGGTCGTGGCACCTACGGTCACTTCACTGTGCGCAAAGGTGCGCAAAGAGTGAATAGGGAGGGGATCGGCGACCGACTTGGGGGCGCAGTGCACCCAGGTACAATACGGTACAGGACAGGGACAAGGCTAGGCAAGGCTCAGACTTGGTGCAGTGTTGCACCTGGCCATGAATGATGATGATGATGATGATGATGATGATGATGATGATGAGCAGCAGTGCAGTGCAGTGCCGTGCAGTGCAGTTGCTTCGGGCCAATTTCGCCTGCGTGTGGGACACTGGAGGGGAGGACCAGACGAGTGGGTGACGACACCAAGGGGCAACACTGTAGCAATATAGGCATTAATGGGTATGTGATGGGGGATCATGTAGGTAAAGAGGTTACTACATACATACACAGGACTACCTTAAGTACCTAGATACTAGCTACAATCCACAGGTGCAATGCAGTCCTCCATGTACACAGTAGGTAGCTTCTGTAGGGTAAAAGGGGGCGGGCCACGCGGGTGAATTGGGTAGACGGGTACCGTAGGATTATTTATAGCCATCTCTCATCTCCCTCCGCCGCCTTGTCGCTATGTACTTTTTGGACGTTAGTCCCGCTCACTGTAAGGTCCTGTCACGACTGACACGACAAACGACCGGCAGGGGTCTGTGAGACATTCAGCAGCTGGGCCTGCAACCAACTGAGCTGTGAGCACTCTCGCAAGGAGCTCTCCCCCCATCCTCTTCTGCAAACAACCCACCCCCCCCCTCGACCCAAATTTGACGTCTTTCTCTTCAGCGACTGAGCGCCCATTCCCCCCCAAAGACACCTGCGACACTCCTTTCTTCCTCTCCTTCTCCTTGTCCTTCTCTCTCTCTCTCTCTCTCTCTCTCTCTCTCTCTTTTGTGATTGCACTGCTGCGCCCCCACCAACACACAGAGCCCGTCGCACATCGACTTGCTGCTGCTCCGCCGCTGCCTGTGTGCACCCGCCTACCGGTGCTCTTGCGTATATCCTCCAGACGAGCCCTGACCACGCCCACGTTCACGTTCACGCACACGCACACTCCAACTGTTGTTGGCAGTGCTCATATCTGGCCTTATTGCACCTACCCGCTCTTGCCTGTGCCTGCAGTTGCCAGTATTCGCCAGCGAGTCGCCTGTAGCCACACACAAACACGACCATACACACACACAGCCCCTCACCACCACAGCCATGTCGTCTACGGGCTTTGCGTCGTCCTTCTGGTCCAGCGACTATGCAGGAGGTGACTTTGTACCACCACCCACCGCTCATGACGCGCCTGCTGACAGCATCTAGGACTCGGCGTGCTCTTCGGAAAGCTCCAGCAGGGGGTGCAGGAGAACCAGCAGATCCTCACCGTGGCTCGCATGCGAGCTGACGCCGAAGAGGTCTACGGAAACACACTTTCAGGCATTTCACCGGCAACCGATCGCATAGCAGGAGGCTTCAACCGAGATGAGGGCGCAAGTGTGCGCAAGGTGTGTACTATGTCTAGCTATGCGCCCAACTGTGGCTGACGGGAGACAGGCATACGAAGGCGTGCGCACGGAAATGGAGGCGGCTGCGTCCAGCCACAAGAAGATTGCATCCAATATTCGCGAGCTGGTCGTAAACCCGTTTGGACGCTGGTGTGAAGCGCATGCGGCCCGTGTGCAAAATTCACAGGATGATCTGCAATCGCGCATCAAAATCCACGATCGTCAGGCTGAAGCGGTTCGCAAGTTCCGTTCGCAGTACTACAACAAGTGCCGCCTAGTCGAGGACCTAGAAGAAGAGGATAAGCTGGCATTTCAAGACCCGCAGAGCGAAGCGGCAAACAGCCCCAAGATGAAGGTCCCAACCATCAAAATGTCCGAGCCAGAGAACGACGAGGAGGAGCCAATTGATCTTGGTGACGAGACATACCAGCCCGACCAGGTCAAGAAGATTCTCACGCACATGATGGAAAATATCAAGATGTCAGAGGTCAAGGTGCCCATTCTCGGAACGTACCAAAATTGTTCTACAGGATCCGACATTACCGAATACATCCAAAAGCACATGGCGGCGACCACCGTGAGCTACGCGGAACGAATTGGTCAAGACTTGGTTTCCCACGGCTTTTTGCGCTTGGTGGGCAATGTTGGCAGCACATTTGCAAATAGTTCACGCATGAGTTATCAGTGGAAAACCAAGGCTTTTCAAATCACCGGACTGCCTGAAAAGAAACAACCTCTAGCCCGCTCATCTACAACCATGTCAACATCGTCCGCCGACAATATCGTTGTTGACTCTCCCGTGAGTACTGTGCAGGAATATCTCCAAGGATGGAACCCACTCAACAATCAGTATCCCAATGAGACGCCTGCAGACAGGCTTCGACGAGAGGCCCGTGAGTCCGATGAGCGCTACAAAGCAGCCGTGAAGAAACTTGATTCGCTGCGCTGCAATCTGGAAGAGGCCATGGTGGATCATCTCAAGTTCATGGAGCGCTGTGAGTTGGACAGGCTAAAGGCTATCAAGGCTGTTATCCTGGACTTTTCTGGCGCCGTGAGCAATGTGATCCCCAGTTTACAGAGCACGGTCGACAAGATGATGTTGTTCCAAGAGACTGTGCAACCCATCGGAGACCTTCGATACATGCTTGAGAACTACAGAACAGGGCCTTTTGTGCCTAGGGTCACGACTTATGAGAACTACTACAATTCAGTGGATGGTAAGTGTGACTTCTCATTGATTGAATAATAGCATCATCATACTCACATGCTATAGAGCAAACTTTCGGTGTAGATCTTGAGGCTCGCGCCCGCTCAGATAAGAAGCGAGTGCCTGTGATCATAACGACGATTCTTACATTCTTGGACAACCATTATCCTGACTTGGAGGGCGACGAAGCTCGTCGAGGCATCTGGCTTGTCGATGTGCCGCTTGCACAGACGCACACTCTCAGGGCGGAGATCAACACTGGAAAGAGATTCCCCGACGAGATTCTGGAGAAGTACGACATACCTATTGTTGCTAGTGTCCTGAAGCTTTACCTCCTGGAGCTACCTGGTATGTTATTCACCATCCTCCACGCTCTATTCACTGATTGCAGCAGATTCACTCGTTTCATCCCACGTTTACGAAATCGTCAAGACTATCTACAGCACAACGGCAACCGATGTGTCTGAGGAAACGCGTGTTTCGGTAATTCAATCTACGCTGGGGCAGTTGCGTCTGGCCAACATTGCGACTCTCGATGCCATTTGCACGCACTTCACTCGTCTCATTGAGCTGACCTCCGCCGACGAAACCTATGTGGCAGCTCTGGCCAATGTTCTCGCCCCTTGCATTTTACGTCCAAGGCAAGAGTCGAGCCTAACGATGAATGAGCGGTACAGCTACCGTCTCGTGCGCGATTTGTTTGCGCACAAGGACGCAATATTTGGAGAATTGAAACGTGCCAGCACCCTGACGCACTCGGCATCCGGAGCTCAGCGCCCACGAGCCATCTCCACAGATGAGAGCAACCGTCGGGCAAACATGGAGGAGCGTCAGAGAGCCATTGCATCACAACGCTCACCTCGAGCCACATCGCCGGTGCCAGGCTCTCGTGTTGCTGGCTCTCACCGCCGTGACCGAAGTCAAACACGCTTCCCTGTAAACACATCATCGCCCACGGAGACGAGGAGGGGTGGTGGCAATCGCGGGTCACTCGAGGTGCCTGGAAGCGAGGACAGCTCTACAACTGATGGAGTCAACGAGCTGACGAACGGTACAGCAGAATCTGCTCCTGCAGAACACCCTGCTCCATCAAGCACGCGAGTTCCCTTACCTCGTAAGCATACCGGTAGCTTGACGAGAGGCAACCGGGATTCGACGGGCAGCTTGAGAAGTGTGGATGATGCTGCACCCAGAGGCGTGACATTGGAGGACAAGCCCATGGATGACTAGTAAACATTTGTGGCTTCAACTCTGAGATTCTGATACTCTTGACCGCTTCCCAGTGCAGTCTCACAAAGCCAGGCATGCGGCCTCGGACGGTCGAGTGCAGGGTTGTGGGCGCAGCACAGTAGAGGCCAAGAGCACACGATGCACAACGACGCCACGTGATATGAGATTTGATCCTGAAGCCATGGGCGGTGCATATGAGGTTGTATATTTGTGGACAGTGTATACCTACAGCATGATGTTGTGATGGTGTTTTGGCGAGCTAAAGTATGAGAATATAGCGATACGATTACGAGCCAACCTTGAGCCAACCTGAGCCATGGACTGTGCCCGGTGTGACATGTACCTAATACGGACCATTCAAAGCCTTGTCCATGGATACCTAGACATGTTTGTACCTGAGGGATGGATCATAGATAATAGCACACTAGGGTTCGCTAGGTCAGGCGAGCCACGTCGTCACCTCTCACCACCTGGGACAGGGCCTGTTCCAAGGCGGACCAGCTTGAAGTCGACATGGGGGGGGGGGGGGCTGTGAGTGTGGCTGGGCCGATGCCAGCCCAACATCTTGGGTGTCTTCTACGCGAATTTGAGTTGCCGTGTCTTCCTCAAGTGGCCTCTTGCTCTCCTGCAGCATCTCTCGCGCTGGGCGACGCTCGTGCATTGCCTTCTCCACCGTTGCGCTGTCCTCCCCCTCCCCCCACCTTACCCGCGGTACAGTGCCTCTGTGTGGCGGTCCAGCGTATCTCCAGTCCAGCCCCACGTTGATCGTCCCGCGAATCACAAGACGATCGCATTCGCCCGTCTCCAGCTTTGCGCAGTCCCTCTCCTCGCGTAGTGCATCTCGTCATGTGTCTGGTCAAAGTCAAGCAGGAGGAAGACGTCGTAGTTCCCTACCGGGTCGTCCAGCGCACCTACTCACCACCACGCCGACGGGCCTCACATGCCTCTGCACGTCGCTACTCCCGCACCACCGAGATCGTGCGCGAATCTCCACGACCCTCGGGCTCGTACATCGCGGTGCCCACACCAAAGCCGCTCCAGATTCCCGCGCCGCAGCCTGTGCCAGTGTTTGTCCAGCCACCGCCGGCGTCTATGCCGCCAGCACCTCCGCCTCCGCCCAGTCACATCTCGAGTCACCATACCAGCCATCACGGCGGCGCTCACTACGTCGAGGTGTCGCCTCGCAGCTCCGTGACGAGCGAGTCGTCCAGTCTGGGGCGCAGCGATTACGTATACCGAGAAAGAGAAGTCCACCGCGAGAGGCAGTATAGTCCAGATCGAACTCCGCGCTATGAGCACTTCAGATACGTAGAGCCGGCTTCTTCCGAGTCAGACTACTACCATCATCACGACAGGAGCAGGCACAGGAGTAGGTCGCGGGGCGGGTATGAGGATCCGAGAGGGAGTTATAGGGAGACGAACACGCGGGTCACGGTTGTGGACGAGGACAGCCGCCGGAGGAGGGAGTATAGGAGATAGTAGTGGAGATAGCAGAGACTACTTTTCAGGCTAGCCGCCTTGTTTGTTTTTTCTTCAATTGCGCGTAACCCTCGTTGGAGTCTTTGAGAGAAGAATGCAGCCATAATCCAAGCTAGAGAGGAGAGAGAGTATGAGGTCATAGGAACACGTATCCACACATGGGGTAACCCGCGCCAAACACCTCTGACCTCGGGATTCGAGCACTGGCAGTGGCAGGAGACCCAGACACACCTTGTCAAGCAGAGAAGCCTTCTTGTAATTTGTACACATGTCCATGTCATCCAATCTTGAAGTCGTGGGGGGAAACCTGGGGAAGCCTGGTCAAGCATTGGGCACCCGCGGAGGGAGCGGGCTTGACTGGGGCGCGTTCGCATCCCATCCATCAGCTGAAGCTTCCGCCGGCCAACCTTAAGTTTTGTTAACCTTCAGGCCTGGGTGTGGGAACGACGGCCTTCAAATGCACACGTGCCTCGACATCATTCCCCGCGAGACACCACCCCACTATACAATCGCATGCATCTTCTGGCGTACACATCATGAATGATTCTGGACATGTTTGACCTGCCCACCGAACCGAACAGCGCACCTCTCTCTTCAACCGACTATGTCCATCCGCGTCTTGATCAAAGACTACCCACACCGCGCAATCGCCCTCGCGACCGCTTCACATGCCCTCGTGCTCCGACACAGCTCCTCATCATCGGCAGATCATAATGGCAGCGTCAATGCCTCGTCGACCTCGCTCGGAAGCAATGGCGCCGGCGCGGCGCGTTGCATGGTCGAGTTCTCCAAGCTGGAAGACGTGGACCTCGAAGACTATCGGGCACTCCATTCTGTGAATGCGCACGGCACATTAGGACTGATCACGGTAAACGGGGATGTCTTTCTCGTTGTGGTCAATGATGCCAGCAAAGTGGCAACGGTACGGCCGGGCGAGACGGTGCAAAGGATACAGTCGGTTGGCTTCTACTGCTTGACAAGCGCGAGCTACGACGCTCTGCTCAACGACGAAGTCAATCCATATCCCACCGACACCATAGACGACGAGGGATATGAGATGGGTTTTGGTGGCCGCAAGGAGCAGTCGCCCCTCGAACACCCGTGTCTGGCACTCAAAAAGATATTGAGCAGTGGCACCTTCTACTATAGTTCTGACTTTGACCTCACTCGGCGACTGCAGGATCGAACATCAGATGCGGCCACCGTGTCTATTGACAGTCTGGATGCTGGCTTCTTGTGGAACTCATACATGATACAGCCACTGGTTGATTTCCGGAGTAGGCTCGCTCCGCGAGAAAAGGAGGCTTTGGATGCATCCGGCATATTGACGTCCGCCATCCGAGGCTTTGCCCTTACCATCACTATCCCCAAAGCCTCAGCTCCCATCAAAGTGGAAGGCTCAGGCATGCCGTCAGCAATGACGCTCATCTCCAGATTATCGTGCCGAAGAGCGGGCACGAGATTCAATTCACGGGGTATCGACGACGATGGAAATGTAGCCAACTTTGTCGAGACGGAGACAATCTACTGGGCACCATCCGGAACTTGTTTCTCCTACGTGCAGGTACGGGGAAGTGTGCCTGTGTTCTGGGAGCAACAGACAGGTCTTCTTCCTGGGCAGCAGAAAATAACTATAACACGATCGGCAGATGCGACACAGCCTGCTTTTGACAAACACTTTGAGAATTTGGAATTGAGTTATGGCGCCATTCATGTTGTCAATCTTTTGAGCAACGAGAAACCAAGCGAGGTAGACTTGTCGCAAAAGTACAAGGCACATATCAGAAACAGCCCACTGAATCAAAGCGGCGAGAAAGACGATGGCTCGCATGAACTTCTCAGGTTGACCGAGTACGACTTTCACGCTGAGACACGGGGACCTGGTGGATATGAGGCTGCCAGTATGATTGCAAGGTGGATACAAACCTCTGCAGAAGGTTTCAATTACTATCTCTCCGAAGAAACCGAGGAAAATGTTCGGAGCAATGGACAAGACTATATCGTTCGGCGGCCCATGACGATTCTGCAACAAGAAGGTGTTTTCCGGACGAATTGTCTGGACTGCCTCGACCGAACGAACCTTGTTCAGACCATCATCAGCAAAATGGCGCTAGAAATCTTCTTTAGCCACAAGTCGCTTCGAGCTACTCAGGATTTTTGGGTCAGGCACTCAAGCATGTGGGCAGACAACGGCGACGCTCTTTCTAGGATTTACGCGGGTACTGGCGCCCTCAAGTCATCTTTTACACGACATGGGAAAATGTCGATAGCTGGAGCTCTAGCCGATGCCCGCAAAAGCGCCACACGGATGTACATCAATAATTTTGCTGACAAAGGACGACAAAACACGATTGATATGCTCCTCGGACGTTTGGTTGGACAAGTCCCTGTACACCTTTACGACCCGCTCAATGACTTTGTTATGGCAGAGCTCACCAAACGATCGGCGGAGTATTCACAGACGGAAATGATCAATATCTTGGTAGGGACCTTCAATCTCAATGGCAAAACCAGTGGTTTGAATACCGATCTGTCACCCTGGTTGTGTCCTGATGTCGACCCCTCGCAACAATGTCCCGAGATTGTAGCGGTAGGCTTCCAGGAGATTGTGGAGCTCAGTCCTCAACAGATCATGTCCACAGACCCAGATAGACGAGAAGCATGGGAAAAGGCTGTAAAGAAGTGTCTGAATCACAACGCGGAGAAATATGGGAAAGATGAATATGTCATCCTTCGGGGCGGGCAGCTAGTAGGAGCCAGTTTGTCTGTCTTCATTCGGTCAGATCACCTCAAACATGTCAAGAATGTTGAAGGCAGTCTGAAAAAGGTAGGAGAACCCAGTCCAAGAGACTTGAAGAAATGAAGAGTGCTGACCCCTGGTACAGACGGGAATGTCTGGAATGGCAGGCAACAAGGGCGCTGTAGCCATACGCTTTGAATACGCCAATACCTCCATCTGCTTCGTTACCGCTCATCTCGCAGCTGGCTTTGCTAATTACGAAGAACGTAATCGAGATTACAAAACAATCAGCCACGGTCTGCGGTTTCAGAGAAATCGATCCATCGAAGACCATGACAGTGTGATTTGGCTAGGTGATTTCAACTACCGCATCGGCCTGAGCAATGACAAGGTCCAGAGACTGTGCCACGTCGGTGATCTCGAGACCTTGTACGATAACGATCAGGTCAGCTGGTCGTGTCCTGTGTCTAGCGTTGAGACTAACGTTTGTGTAGTTGAACTTACAGATGGTCGCTGGGTTGACCTTCCCTTATTATTCGGAAGCGCGTATAACGTTTCCACCGACGTACAAGTATGATCTGAACAGTGATCAATACGACACTTCTGAGAAAGCACGAATTCCCGCGTGGTGTGATCGGGTCTTGCGCAAGGGCGACAATATACGGCAGATACACTATGATGCTGCACCGCTCCGATTCTCCGACCATCGGCCTGTCTATGCGACTTTCCAGATACTCGTTCAGAGGGTCGACGAAAAGAAGAAGGAGGCCTTGAAAGCAGCACTATATAGGCAAAGAAGACAAGTTGTTGGTGACACCAGAGCCGCAGGACATGTGGGTGAAGATGAATCAGATGATGAGGACCTGCTCGGGTATGATAGTATAGAGCCAGGACTGCCACCTGCAAGCTCTGATAGAAGGAAATGGTGGCTTGACAATGGTACTGCTCTCCTGCTCCCTGTTGTGGCCTGGACACTTATATTTTCCAGGGCAACCGGCAAAAGCACGCGTTCAACCGCCATCTGATGGCTATCTACCAAATCCCAAACGACCCAGCAATCCCTTTGCACCGTCTCCAGAGCCAGACTGGGTGGATGTGAAGAAGCTATCGGCGAGTAACAGGCCAGAACCGCCACCAGCGCGCGGCTCGCAGCGAGCACGAACCTTTCAGTACGACGGCGCAGGCCCGGTGTCTGGCTCGACAACGAGTCTGCACCAAAGCGGGACTCCAGGAACACAGAACCCAAGAGCCCGCAAAATGATTGTCCCATCCTATCCCGGCCAACCAAATTCCTCCCCTCAAGATCCCCTCGACACCCTCAGACGCACCGCCTCAAACGCATCATCCCACTCCCTCTCCACACTGCCCTACCGCTCCTCCAACACCCTCCCACCCAACCCGCTCGACCAATCCCCACAACAACACCAACACCAACCACAAGTCCTGCGCAAAACTCTCCCACCCCCAATCCCCAACAAAAAACCCTCACTCCTCTCCCGCGCCATGTCCCCGGACTTAAAACCCTCGGCTCCGGGTTCTTTTGCCCCCCTCCCAGCCTCCCAGTCTACACAGCATCGCTACCGCGACGATCCCCCTTTGCCAGGGTCAAAACGCAATATCCTTGCTCCACCCCCGCCTCTGAATAAAAAACCTGTCCCGGGTCAGGGATATAATGGTGGTGGTGTTGGTGGTGGCAGTGTCTACCCCGAAGCAGAATTCAAACCTGCATTGCCGCCGCGCACAGGCACGGGGTTGAGTGTTGGGAGCAGTAGAGCTGGTGGGGACGCTCCCATGAGCAGAAATCTTCTGGATGAGGAGCCGGAGGAGTTGAGGAATTTGGGTGATTGGGAGGTTTTGAGGCCGGAGAGGTGAGAGTTTGGAGGAGGGGGAGGAGAGGGAGGGGTGTTTGGTGTGCTGTGGGGAATGAGAGTGGGGACGGGAGCAGATGAGGGGTCGAAGTATGGGTAATTGTACGTTGTGAATCTTGTAGTAGCTGCTTGGGCAGAGAATAGGAGAGTGGAAAGCGTCAGAAGGAGTAATTAAATTCGGACAAACAAGTACCGGCACTTCTGGCGGGCATGCAAGTGATGTAATAACAATTAGATGAATTCAATGCAAACCATCATTCCAAAAATCCATCATTCCACCTGATTCAATCACACCTTGTTCCTCTTCGTCTTCGGACACAGACTCACCCAATAAGTAACCGACTTGATCACCAACTCACCCACTCCACACAAATCCCACCCCACCCCGAATCCAAACAACACGCTACATTGCGTTTTCCGCCCCATCCCGTCTAGACAGGACAAGAAGAGAAGCCAGGAAGAGAAAACCCCGCCAAAGAAGGAGACACGGTTATATCAGAAAAGTGTCGATGCGAGAGGGCGAGGATGGAGGATGGGATGGGTGTTTGTATAGCACAGGTCAGGACAGGTCAGGCCAGTAGGATACGATGAGGAAATAGGGAAATTGCAGGAAATAAAGACAACGATCTCGTTGTGGGACAACAAATCATAATGACAATGAAAGAGTGCGGTCGCATGCCTTTAGGCAGGGGTTTTGCATATGTTGCATATGTTCTGTGTGTGTGCATGAGAGAGAGAGAGAGAGATTATGAACAAATCATAAGAAGAACAAGGACCATGTAAGAAGTAGTAGTAATAATCATAGTACTAATAGTAATAAGAGGTTGAAAGAAACCCCCATCTCCCTCTCTGCCCTTTGGGACGGTTTTATTTATAAATCGCAAAGATACTGCTAAAAGCGCGAGATGCACTTGTAAAAAAAGTAAGAGCAGGATGCGTTGCGTGAGTTTGCATGTCCTGTTCCTTTTCTTTTCCTTGCCTTGCCTTTCGCGTCTCCAGGCTCCACGGGGCGCTATTCCATTCACCATGTCTGCCTCGGTGAAGAATTACTCCATAATTGGGCTCATGTGCTCTTGCCGGCTTCATACACCTTGGCCATGAAGTCGTCGACATCGAGGTCAATGGCCTTGTCGCGCAACGTCGCTGCGACTTGCTGAGCGTCGCCTTGCATGCAGCTGCCCTCGAGGATGCCGGCAATAGCGACGGCGACGCGCGGGGGAATCTTGTCGCCCTCGATCGTGTACACGTCCATGATGCGAGCGGCGTGTTCGACGCCAAGCCGGCCGCAAAAGAGGGAGCTGAACATGTAGGCGAGGTAGTCGCGGGGCTCGACGCGTAGGGATTCCAGGCGCTTGGCGAAGCTCGGGGATTTCTTGAGGAGGGCGCGGAGGGTGGTGGAGTAGGCGGCGTGGATGGCGGTTTGGTCCTGGAGGAGGAAGGAGAGCGGGATTGGTCGATTGAGGAGGTTGGAGAGGGAAATAAAGGCTTGTGGGGCGGCCAGGTTTAATAATAGGAGAGCGGCAATGTGGTGGATTCCGTCACTCGAGGACGATATATCCGGACGGTATGTGGAATAGGCCAGGCAGACATCGACAAGATCCTGATGAAGCGGCTGCGCGTCCTGATCAGACGAAGATATTCGCGCTGCAAACATCTTCAAGTCTGGAAATACGGTTGATGTACTGTTTACGATATGAGCATAACGGCCGCCGAGCGCTTCGTGGCCGTGCTGTTTAATCTCCTGGTGCGCCTTCTCCAAGGCTATCGTATAGGTTGCTTCTGTGACTTCGAGGTCGTTGCCGATTGATTTCTGCCACACTTCTCCTCGCAACCGCGGGGGGATCCCGTTCCACCACATCTTCCTGTGCGTCGCTCGAAGTTCAGGTTTGGTCATTTCAGTAGACCACTTGGGTAGAAGATTGGACCAATATTCCGCTTTGATACGAGACGCTTTTTCGCGGGCCAGGGCTTCCTCCTGGGCGCGCTGGGCTTCCAAACGTTCTATACCTGTTAGCCGGTGTATCCCCAGTACATCGTTGAAGATCCATGGACTTGAGCTCACCCGCTTCTTCGATTCGCGCCAGCATACGCTGGTATTCCCTCAGATGCTTCTTCTCTTCCTTGGGGTTTTTTGGCGGCAACCAAGATGGCCGTGTTCTCGAAAGGTATTTTTGCTTCTCAGCTGATGGCTGGAAGGGATCAATGAGCGGATCACTCTTGCGCACTGGCGGAAGCGCAGGCTTCTTGGTCTTGAGCTCCGGCTTGTTCAGGGAGGCTGAACGCGCAAGTCCCGGTTGCTGTCGTCTGATTTCCTGCTTCCGCTCCGACTCGGACTGGAACTCCTCGAGGGCTTCTGTGAGTTTTCTGGCATCTTCATCCAATGTGCTGTACGTTTCGGTCCAAGTGAGGGTCTGCTGCCGCACCAAATGCCCGCCAGGGGAGGGGTCTCGGCTCGCCGTATTCGGCGAAGGAGGCTGTGGAGAAGGTGGGGATAGTGAAGGTGCGGGCGAAGTCTTTGCAGAAGATGGCAGTCCGGTGCTGGCGTCGGTCGAGAGTTGGTGCGGGCTGTCACCCGATGTCGATAGAGCTGGGGACCGGTCCTGGGCAGGCCGTGGGGAGATGGGCACATTCCAGATGATGGCATCCTCGGGCAGCTCGTCGTCTTCATCGTCGCATTCGGCCTCGCGCTCCTTGACCGTTTTCCTCTTCGTGCCCTGCCATGACTGTCGTCTGATGCTCAGCGCGGGCGAAGGCAGGGTATCCATGTTGCGAGAGCTGCGCCGCGAGAGGGTGCGTGGGGCGGTGGAGGCCGAGCGTGCGCTGGCTGGTGAGGGCGAGCGCGAGGAGCGGCTGGGCGCTGCGAGGCTCATGCTGGACAAAGATGGGACTGAGGGGGAGGTGAAGCCTCGCCGCGACGCCTTGCCTGGTGCCGATAGTTGGCCATTGTGCGGTTGGACTGCATGGTGGACTGGGCCTCTGAGGCTGGGATACTTTGGCTTTGCTGTGCCAGTCAGGTCGCGGAAGGACTGGGACTGTGAGGCCGAGGTGGGATGCGGATGTATGTGTGCATTAGAGAGGGCGCGAGGCGCAAGAGATGCTTTGGGCGCTTCGTAGATGACGCGATTCGAGGGGCTGGAGGGCAGGGGGAACGAGGCAGGCGCGGTCGGAACGCCGTGCAGGTCGATTTCCTCAAAATGCGACAGGTCGCTGGGCCCGAGACAGTCGGAGAGGGTGGAGGAGTGAAAGCTCGAGGACTTGGACGACTTTGAATTCGTCAGGTCCGGGGGGCTGCCAGGCGGGGCGTTGAAGGCTGGGTGTGCATCGTGAGCGTAGCTGAGGGCGGCCATGAGCGGGGGGTCATAGCCATGCGCGGATAGAATGTGGAGGGCGCGGTCGAGGGGAAGGGCGGTGTTGGCGGTGTAGTGGGAGGAGATGGAGGAGAATGAAGAGGAGTAGTAATGGTAGTCTCGTTGTCGATAGTAATGATGTTGCTGTTGCTGTTGCTGTTGTTGTCGCCGTCGTAGTCTTTGCCGTCTTGACCGCCGCCGTCGTTGTCCTCGTCGTTGTCCTGGTCGTGGTTGTCCTCGGCAGCAAGCAGCAGCAGCAGCGGGTGATTCAGGAAGAATTGGTCGTCGTTGTCGTTGTCGTTGGCGTTGGTGTTGTCGGCTGCCTGTACTCCTGCTATCCCTACTCCCTATCTGCCCAGCTAAGCAATCTAAAGCAAGTAACCTACTGACTGCCACTGCCAATGGAGCGCCAAAAACAACGAGTCTGAACAATGAAGGCCCGCCGTCGCCGTCGCCCGTGGGCCGGGCATTGCCATCTTTGCTGCTCTCGGGCCTTTGGGTGGACTGGCCTAACGACCAATTAGGCCTAGCACGCCATCGCGGCCACCACCCCCTGTCCGCCCCGTCAAACCCTGGGCGCCTTCCCAGGTTGTCGTGACTCGTGACGCGTGCCTGGCCCGTTGTTGACTCCTTACTCCTTTTGTCTGTCCTTCTGCCCTTGTGCCTTTTTGCTTCTGGCTTCTGGCTTCTGGCTTGTCCTCAAAACGGGTGAAGGGGAACAGGAGGCCAGTCCATTTCATTTCATCTCATCTCATTTCATCTCATCTCATTTCGAGTGGCCAGAAGGGGGAAATCACACACCGGTACACACCACTATATCTACATACATACCCAGCTTGCACAGCTTGTACACAGCCCAGCCAGCCCTGACATCAACAAGAAGGGAAATGAGAAAACAATGGCACACCACCACGCGCCGCCGGCTTCCAACAACCCCTCTTCCTTCGACTTGAATAAGTATTGTATTACAATTTCTGTCCTTCAGCTTGCAAAAAAGCGCCCAGTTACCGCTGGGAAATCGCCGTTGGTAACTGTTGGCGAACCGCCACGCCGTCAGTCATGGTGGCTTCAAGCCCAGCCGTTGCTGCAGCGCCAACGACGCCCCCCCCCCCCGCTTGCATCGCCTGCATCGCCTGCATTTGCTTCCCCTTAAACCCCAACGACATCATCTTGTGCGCTAAATCGTCGTTCCTGGCACCTTACCGTCATGAACTTGCGTGAATCGCTCCCCCTCGTCTTTCTTTTGTTGCACATCATATGTGCCTACATACACAATATCTCCCTACCTAACCATCACAACTCACACCCCCTTGCACGCGCTGGCGTCCTCTAACATGCTTCTCTCGGTGCTGTTCGAAATGCGCACAGCATACAGCTCAGCCTTCAGCCAGGCCAATAGTGCGCCATGTTGCGTCTGCCGCCGCTCAAACACCGTCTGGAAAGCTTTGCATGCAAGCCTGTCCATTTGTCAGTACCTCATTGTAGACTTCAACTTCATCAGATGGTCCATCCTTTCCAGTCCATACGTACCACTGAAGTTGCCGTCGAGAAATCACCTTCTGTAATCCGGGATGACTGTCACGCGAGCGCACACGTCGTTGAAGCATCACAAAGGCTAGCGCTGCCATCTTGTCCACGGTTCCTATCATAGTTGAGCACAGAAACTCGTTTGAGTCATGTAGGACCTACTGATAAGCAAGCTCGAATACGTCTTGCGCACTCTCGACAATACCGACACATATTCAAGACATCGCACCGCCGCTTCATAAAAACTTCGATACACATTCGTCAAGACCGTCTGCGTGCTGTTCAGCGCCATATCAATGAGCATTGCCTTGAGTTGAATCTTGAATGCGCTGTCTACTGTTAGTGTCCTTGGACCATCATTTGCCTCCACATCAGCGAAAACGCCATCTTTCCCCAAGCTTACTTACTTGAGTGCTTTGCGATGCAGTGTCTGGCCCGGCAATTTTGACAGATCCACTGTCAGAGAATTTTCTACATCTTCTACACGTCAGTCTCGGGTCATGGACGGATGATGGCGCACTGTTCTCACCAGTCTTGGCAGCGCGCTCCGTCTTCTTGTTAACTTCCAACGTTCTGGTATCAATGTAAACGCCACAGTACGGGAATTTGGCGTCTTTCGGGAGGCTTGCGATCCGACCGCCACCGGCTGTGCAGATGTTGAAATTTGTCAGTGATTTGTCCGATTGGACCTCTACACCGTACTCTTTGTGACCGCGATGCATGACATGCACAAACCGCTCTGCACTCGCTCGGTCCGTAGTGATCAAGAGAAAGTCATCGAGCAAACGGAGCAAGAGACAGTTGTCTTCGCTCGTAAAGCCTAGTACGTCGCGTTCGAGTTCGGCGTAGAAGAAGTTGCATAGGATACTAGACAGCACCGAACCTTGCGGTATCCCGTTCTTCTGCCGGTAGTACTTCTTGCCGATTTTGACAATATTGCGCTCGACATGTTCCCGCAAGAGCTGCATCAAGTCGTCCTTCGTCTCCTGTCGTTGTACGTTGGTATTCACAAATACGGTGTTGGCTTTGGTCCCTGCCAATTTGTCTTTGACGAGTTGGTCAAATGACGCGATTTGATCGGCAGGTCCACTATGTGCCACATAGCGTTTAAGTGGCATTGGGTCGATGTGTTGCCCGTCAAGTCGCTGAAGGTCGCCTAATAGACTCACTTCCACGTGCTTCCCCGTCGTGTAAGTCTGGAGTCTCATGAGACTATCAATCATACGTAATAAACGCCTTTGTGGAATCGTATCAAAGCATGATCGTACATCGACTTTGGCGAAATAAAGCGGTTGCCCGCTGATATGCTTGTCGTCCAGTGAAGCCTTGAAGGCTGTGAGCTTGGGGAGCATATCACCTACAGAAAAAAGCGAGCCTCCGAACCGATCGGGCTGTAACGACTAAATATAATAAGCAACAGTCAGAGAAGTTACACCATGTCAGAATTACTAACCTTCTCATAGGTGATAGCGTGGAAAACGGGCGCCATGACGGTATTGATACTTCTCCCGAACGATGTGAGGCCGTTTCGTGTGACTTGTTGCTTGCGCTTCAAGTTCATAATGGTTCTGAAGCCCATCTTTTTCGGTAGCAACCGAATCTTGCTGAATCCTAGCTGTCGTATAGACAGTAGCTTTGTCGTACTCTCCATGGGCATCTCCTCGAACATGTGCAACTTCAGCGTACTCAAGGCCGGCTCAGACAGCATGCGCCACACGTCGTGACGGAAGTAAAATAGTCGATGCCGATGCACATTAGACTCGGTGACGTGGAAATTTGTCCGGATCAATGGTATCAGAAATGAATCGAAGAGCCAGTAGATGAATTCAAAGAAGATCTCTTTGCGCTTCTCAAAGTCGGATGTGGCAAGTTTGTGGGCCGTTTCTCCGTTTGATAGACTGAGCCAGTCCAGCGTTGTGATCTGTGATCTGTGAGACTCTAGCTGATGGGCAGTATGATTCCGCCTACCTGCAACTTTTGCGTGACCTGGTGGAGTGTCAAGGATTCGAATCTACGCAAATGTATAAACTGATCTATCCAGTACATCACAACGCGCTTATTGCCATCACCACCCCAGAAGCCCTTTGGAATTGCTTTGGCAATCACGGCACGGCAGAAAGCCGAAACATGTGCGGTATGACATGCCATGTCTGTAAAGCACGTTTGTTCAATCGCTGTGCGTTTCCCGCGGTGGTTGCTATCATCATCATGATCACCATTCGACGACTCGACTGTGGCGTCGACGTTGTTCAAAAGTCGTTTTTTTAATCGTCTCCACTCTGGTTTTGGCGACAACGGTACGTCCTGTTGACTTTAGTAGAGCTCACTCAAATTAAGGAAACACAAAATTACCTCTATGGGACAATAATGTCGAAGCATTTCCATGTATGAACACCGTTTATGAAGAATTCGCATCTTCTTTGTTAAATCACGTGCAGCGCCGCTGAGTCGCTTTGGTATGCGAAGCCTCCACTTCTCAACCTCTTGCGGATCTTTCGATTTCTTGCCTAGCTTCTGACACATGTTTTTCTCAATGTCTTTTTCTCTCAAAGTGTAGTCTTTGAAGGGCGTCGTAGTTTCTCTGGCCTCGACCTTGGATGTGAAGGCGTTGTGTAATCCAAATTGTCGGGGAAAGATATATCGCATGATGTGCACAACCTGACTTTCATCTTCAAGGTCGGAATACCGATTCAGAACATCTGTCTAACGTGTCAGTATGAAGATTGGGAAATGGCATAGCTCTTGCACGAACGAATGTGACGCATGCCAAATCTTACACCCCCTTTCGCATTAAGAGCTGCTCTGGCATATAACATGCGACTACGGACAAATGTGATTGCACCAGGCTTCCTATTCTCACTGTTCGTAGAAGATTTGTGCATCAGTTTTTCAGAGGGGAATACGGCCTGGATGGGGCGAGGCTCCGGCATCTTGTCCGGCTTCAAGTCCGACAATGGGACACCACTCAGTTGATACAGATTTCCTAGACTTCCGTCTACAGGAAGGAATATGGAGCAATCTAGGAGTAGTCCCACCATGAGGCGATTACCCCCTGGACCAAGCAATGAATGAAGCCGGCACCAGGGTGGCGACTTCAAGGCTCTTACTTGATTGTTGGGATGGCGCTCAAGCAAGCCAGGAATAGAGCAGACTGGTTGGTTTTCCTTGTCTCTCTGACAATTCATACGTGCACCCCGCTGGAAGCCATGGCATAGCAAATGTGAGGGTCTGTGAGTGGTTGAACGCTTGAACAAGCACCAAATCACAAAATCGACAGTCTGGTTTCCGTAAGAATGTGGTTCGTATTTCTCTTGGAGAAGCAATTTTGTGCATAAAAGTATGATTTGCAACGCACCTCGGACTGCAGAAGATAACCTGGTTTAAAGGTGCCACCACTCGTTCCCTGTGATCGCTGTTGTGTAAAGGTTTCAATGTCTTGGTTTCGTTCCTTTGCGACATTTCCCAAAGACTCCGGACTTGGTCCATTCACTGTACAGACCAGAGCCGCGTCGAGCAACTGCCCAAGCTCTTCATCAATCGGATGCTTTGATTTTGCATCAAGAGCAGATGTAGAACACCCAATCTGAGCTATTCGACGGCGTCTACCTTTGGAAGAATTTGGAATCTGCAACAAAAGATAGTGGCGTAGGGTAAGAACTCGAGGGTACAGACGTCTCAAGACAGGATGGTCCACACCAGGAGGTGGTGCACTAGTGGATACGCTGAGTGAGTTGCTAGCGTGCTTCGCCTTCTTACGGGGCATTCCAGTGGCTTGATAGTTGTATTTTCGCTTCATGCTAGATTGTGAGCTTCGGTAACGCGAGGATCAATTGGAGCAGTTGGCTGGAATCATGATGATGGGGGAGTGTTGATGTTGACACCCGATGCGGTACCGGTAGCCACGCCAGGAACGCCAGGAACGCGCCTGGCGCTAACTTGATTTAGTATTTCCCTAAAAACACACGCAGCCGTTCTTCACGCTCAATCTTTTTGCATTCAACTTGTCATATATTCACAACACCATTGAACAGCTCATCTAGTTTGGTTGCCTGAATCACTAAAATAGCAAATCTTCTGGTTGTAGTGGTACGAATTCGTTGTTATGATGCATGACGGCATACTCAAAAGTGTAGTACCGACAAGGGCTTGCCTATCAGACATCGCGACACTGTCCAATTTTTCCTCTCTTGCACCATTGAGTCGATACATAGTACCCAGGATTATTTCTGACCTTGGAGAAGCCTCGGGATGTAATTCCTTTACTACAGCTACAGGAGACCTTTGAGGGCAGAAAACTTGGGCTTAAACTGCATTGTGCTGAGTTCGGACCTGAAATTCTGCATCCCATAATAATTTGATCGAGTGTTCGTCTCGTCCAAGATGGCGCGTGCTCGATGTCGTAGGTAGAAATGAGTACATTGAGTTGGTTGTGTTTAAAGTTTCCTCCTGATGCCCTATATATCTTCCACCTCCACTAGCAGTATCCCCACCATCCCTATCTCCTGTGCCACCACACTTCGGTATCTTCCGATGACAGCATAGACTCTGGCCCTAACCTTGATGTTCATTAACAAGGTTGTGTATTGCCTTGGCTCTGGATAAACGGATTATCGTCCCGTTGCGTGATGGTAACATTGTCTCTAGCGCCAGGAATCCCCTTGTCGCATTCTTCGTTCTCAACACTGAATGTAATTTTCTCTTGGAGCCAGCACGCAGCCGTTTTCTGCTCTGTTTGGTATTTGCAACAAATAGTATTCGTTTCAGTGTTTGAGTTTCCAAATCTGGTTGGCGGATCGACGGGAATTTTCATCATAAGACATTTTTGATCTGTTGGGCCAACAAATTTATAGGTGTGTGATTGGCCATTGACTTGGACGTCGTATGTGAAGGCCGCCCCCACGGCTTGCTTGACAAAGCCAATAAGGAGGAGCGTTTTGACAAAAGCAAAAGAGTAGAAGTTCATTGTAACGTTGGGTAGAATGAACTTTGGTGAAGTGGAAGTTAACGTTTGAATCAAAGAACATATTAAGAGGGGAGAGAGACAGGCAGCTTAAATACCTCAACTCATAGGTACCTCTCAAACAGGATCTAGGTAAAGCACTCTCTCCCTCGTCAGCATGATCAGGACTAATTACACTCGCTATACATGCTATCACAACAGGTAAGATTGCCGAAAGCGGTCAGACTTATAGATAATAATAATGGGGTTTAAAACACATGAAGCAGAAAATAGAAGTCAAAGTACAGATGAAGACCAATGAGTGGGTGTACACTCGCTCCTGATTGGTTGTAGGTGCAGGGATGTAAACGGCTCCTAGCAACAGATAGATTACCATATCGAGTTTCATCAGTATAAGCAGTGAGCGGTAAGCTGACGTGCACTTCTTCGCCGTAGACAGGCCGTATTAGTGAATCTGATTTACATCAATCGTCTGCTTTGTCTGCACTAAAAGAAACTAATAGTCACAATGATGTATGATACCATTCATACTTAGTAAATTTTTGAGTTCTAATGAAAAGAAAGCAGAGTGATAGGCATCAAAACAATATCAAACAGGCCTTATTTACTGTAAAGACTGTATTGTGGCCAGTAGGCAAAAATTGAGCGACTCAGCTGCCAAAAAAAATTGTACTGAAATTTCCGTTAGGCACCCGAGTAGAGTGTGAGGTTGTATTGAGCTAGTCATGCTTGAAAGTTCCCTCATGATCCCCCATATATCTTCCGCCTCTGCTCTCCCACCATGAGCTTGAATATTATTTAGCTGCCTCATCCCTGATTTCTGTACCATCACACTTTGGCTTTCTTCGATCGCAAGATAGACTCCGGCTCTATCCTCATTGGCACGTCTACTCTTGCCCCACTCACTGATTATATCATTCATGCCAATGAATGAAATCGTAACATATTCCTCGGCGCCGGTAAATTGTGTGATGCAGTTTTGGTAGTTGATACGATCTTAGAGAATACTGTGGAGCCAACAATGATACGACTTCTTGCTTGTGTCGTATCTACAACATATGGAATGTGTGTAGTGAGGTTGAATAAAGTAGAAGAAAATGGTTGGATTCAGCAAGTATGTCAGGGAAGAGAGAGAGAAGCAGCCTAAATACCTGAATACTTCAACCCCTAGGAGTGTGCATACTCGCGTCCAATTGGGTGTACGGGGCTTACACGGCATCTAGCCACATCTGCTTGCACAGACTATCAAAGACGGTGTAAGCAGGCGTGGATTGGATCTCGGTAAGACAAACTGGTACACTCATACTGAATACTACTAGTAGAACCCAATAGGCCAACGATAGTCAGGTCTGTTGTGTGTTACAGTAATTTGCAAATATGATGGTGCAAAGTCCGAGGACTTACTGACGTCTATTCAATCGTTCTGGTTGTCATGCGAAGCTGACGAGATACCATATGAAGCCGACGAGACCTTATGCAACTCGGCGTATTTCTTTCCGTCCGCTTTCGAATTATACAACACGCTCTCCAAAGCAGTCGTCTTTCAAACGCAATGCAGTATTGAAACGACAGATTAAAGTGAAAATAGACATGTTAACAATTTCTTGATCCAAGCCTTTCATCATAGGGGTAATGGTTGAAGGGTAATGGTTTAAGGGTAATAGTTGTAAGGATAACAATTCCAACTTCAACAACAAATCCCAACAAAACCCAGCAACAATTGCAATTCAACATGTATCAATTACTCAAGACTAAATTACATTCATTACCAAGAACACAGTGATTCAAGAATACCTAAATCTCAGCCATCCAAATTGGCCAAAAAAAACCCCCCCTAAAAACCAACACTTTCCTTGCTCCATCACTATCCTGCCAATCACACTCCTTGGCCAGACCAAAACGGCGATGCGGTACTGAATCATTTTGACAAGGAAAAAGAAGAAGGAAAAAACACCACGAATGCGCCATGCAGATGAGGAAGAAAAGTCCCCGATTCCAAAGAATGAGAAAGAGGGAGAGAACAAGGGAAAAAAACGAAAATAAAAGACTGGATAAATGGGATAAATAAAACCCCCCAATTTAAGCAAGATTCCTCTTGCTACCTTGATACCCATTATGCAAACTCCGATTCTCGCCCTGATCCTATTGCTGTCTCGTTGTTTCATCCAACAAAGGAAACCGTGGTCTTTTTTACTTCAAACTCTGAATATATAACAATCTACCGATCCTTCCCCCCCACCTCCAATTTTCTAGACCGTCTCCTCGACCGCATAGAGGTTCTGGTTTAAAATCTTGTTCATGGTGAACATGTGCACGCGGTCCTGCTTGAAGACGGCGCGCATGGCATCGTCGCACCGGATTTGGCGCTTGTCGGCTGGGTCTTGCAGGTCGCGCTCCTTGACGTATTCCCATATCTTCTTGACGGTTTGGGGGCGCGACAGCTGGGTTTCGCCGAGGAGTTCGGAGAGGGCGGGGGAGAGGGCCATTGGTTTCTGTTTGCCGTGTGACCTGTTAGTGGACGGTCGTATGGGAGCACAAAATGAGAAATGAACAGTAGTGGGCAGCGGCTTACATGGAACCCTCCTTTCCGGCTTGGGCTTTTCTTTTCTGCGCCACTGTCCGAGTTTACATCACTGTCGTCAACGTCTTTGACCCTTGTCGCGCTCTTCTTCTTGGTCTTCTTTTCTACTTTCTTGGGTGCAGCTCGCCGCTTGGTGTTGCCTCCGCGCGTTGACCGAAGTCGCGCATTCTCCTCTGCTTGTAACCTCGCCGCCAAAGCCGCATCGTCCTCTGCTACCCCTTTGCTTTTCTTAACCTTCTTCTTGGGATGTGACGCATCATTATCGACTTCTGAGAGGGCAGAGTCGTCCTCTGGCGATCTCTTTGGGGCCGAACCGTCTGATGTATTGCCATTGGAGGCTTTGACGCCGTTTTCGACCGAGGGTAGGGTGTCCGAGGGCTCTGAGTTGCCATTCTGCTCTGCGTTGAATATGTCGAAACGACGCAAGATCAAGGCCGTGATTTTCTCCTAGGTCAGGTATCAGTGTGCGAGATCAGACCAAGTCTCGCATGTTGTACCTTTTGTTCGGACAGGTCCGTCCCGACGCGCTCCTGCAGGGCCTTCCGTATGCGCTTCGCGGAGATTGTATTGATGTCGCTGATGCGGAGAATGTCGTCGATAATGGCAGCGTATTTGGCTTCTACATGGCCTGGTAGCGGGGCTGGTGTGCCTTGTAAGTATGTGTGTATAGCTACCTATCTATCAAGTCGGACTTGAGGGGGGTCCTTACCCGCCATGACGACGCTCACAGGTCAGATTAATGGCCGACGGGCGCGAACCGTGACTATCGTTGGTGCAGGGTGGATGGACGGGCCACGTGGCTACCTCGGAGGGCGTCTACCAGAGCCAAAAAGAGCCAGTGTTGCGAAAGCAGGTATGACGTCGGGCGCAGCGATGGTGGTAGGAATCGCTAGGTACGAGGTAGATCAGAAGCAGAGTCGCAAGACCAGACGAGCGTTGTCGTGTCGCACAGTCAAGGCGGCGCACAAAAGTCAACGGAAGCCCCAAGCCCGCAAGTCTCGCAGCAAATGCAGTCTCTTACCGAGCACCTGGCAAGCTTTCAACGCGGTTGGGCGCTGCAAGACAAGTGGGTGAGAGACGAGCAGCGACGAGCAGACGTCGGTCGATCCAAGGCGGGAGTTGCCGATGTAGCGGGGTCCGATGCGTCCAAGATGCGCGTGCAATTTCAAGAGCAGAGAGTCGTTCGAGGCAAAGGCGCACGGTGCAGACTATTGCTATAATTTTCAAGGGTGCGCAGTGTACAAGGGATGTTTGTGTGCGTGTGTGCGTGTGTGTGCGTGTGTGCGTGTGTGTGCGTGTGTGTGCGTGTGTGTGTGTGGGCGAAGCCGTAATAGTGCTGGAGCGTGAGTGGTGAAGTGAAGCTGTCAAGCTCACGAGGCTCGGCGCACGGCGCGGCTCGCTTTCAGGTACGTTGGCGGCATCGACGGAGGCTGGGGAACCTTACTAGTCTTGGAGTTCGCAAACCATCGTCCCCTGTCAACACCGTCAACATCACCCAAGCTGAAGCCTGCATCGAGCATTGAACAAATGTGTGCATACGAAGCGCAGACTACATGATAGAGCGCATGCGCCTCCCCTGCTCCTGATTGGCTTTTTCCTCTACACCGAATAAGTATACCGTGGAGAGCAAACCGGCGTCTTCTCACCATGGCCACGCTCTGGCCGCACCGAGCCATCTTCACATGACCAGACAGCCAACACCGTACATCTGCTTTTCGACTGCGCTCTTGATCTGATACCAATCCGCTCTTCTCTCAGCATACTCGTACACTTCCTCCGCTCTGAAAATGCCGTGATATCGATCTGTGTCTGCAATGATGGTGGCGATCTCCTTTGCCTCGCTCGCATCTATCAAGTATATCTGCGACAACTCCCGCAAAGCAGCAAAATACTGCACCAGTGGCTTGTTGCGCAGCGAAACAATGTACAGGTTGTAGGCGTTCATATCACTGCAGGGTGGTTCCATGTTAGTATCATCAATCATCATCATGGCTGAGACGAGACAGACTAGACATACCTAATGAGCTTGATGGCACCGTCCACACTGATCCTCTGGCGCTTGAGATGCTTGCAAATGGCAGTAAACAGACGCATACCGACCTCTTGGTTGAAAACATCAAGCACGTTCTTGTCTGTGCTACCGACCAACATGTTCGTGTGCGACGAAACTACATCGACAATCTTGGTCGCCGTGCGGCTGGGTCCAATGTCCATTACCTGGGCTTGGCCGTTGGCTCCAGCCGGAGGGTTGAAGTCTGAGGGCTCCTGTGTAGTGGCGCAAAGATATTCCACTTCATCCATCAATACATCGATGCCTTTGTTGAGACCAGCCGCAACACGCTCGTCCAGCATCGACTCGAAGCGCTTCTTCTCCTTCGCTGCAAGACTGAGGAACTCGTCACGATCAGTCAGGTTGGCAGCCAAAAGTTCCTGGTGGTAAAAAACTTCAACCATCTGCTGGATCAAATCTCCCACGTTGACCAGCTCGAGAAAGGCTACTAATGGTGCCACGCCATCCTTGCTATGGTCGGCTACCTCCCGTGGCTTATAATCTGCCAAATGGGTGACGGCTTTATCGAAGCCCAATTTCATGTGGCGTTGGCCGAGAATCTGGACGAGATGGATAAAGACCTGTTCGCATTGCTCTCGCGCCTCTTCACCTGACTGCCCTCCGAGTCTAACAAATCGTGCCGCTCGTTCCAGACTCGCTTTTGCCAGATGCGTCAAATTCAAAGCAACCTCGATGCTAAACAACGACCGGATGCCTTCTAATCGTGAGTTCATGATGGCCGCTTTGGCCGCGAGTTCCGTGGTCGGGGCATCGACTCGTGGCATGGGCGATCGATCGCCGGGACCAGGAGTCCCACTTCTCGAACTGGGCTCAAGAGTGCTGCTACCGTTGACCACACTTGCTCGATTTGAGGCTTTACCTGCGCTGGAGCCACCAATAGTAGGCAGCACGTTCACAGGCATCATGACCACCTTTTTAAAAGATGACAAAAAGTCTTGCTTCACAGCTTTTCGGTTGACGTTTGCCATGAAGAAGGTCTCCGTGGTTTGCTCCTCTTCTGATAGTCTCTTTTCCCATGCGTCAACCTCGGATGTCGTTTTCTTCTTGAAGAAGTCCAATTCCTCTTGAAGGTAGAGATCAATGTGTTGCTCGAAACAGCGAGATATGATGCGTATCGCTTGGTCGCAAAAGTCCGGTCTGGCTCCTTTGGTAGGCTGCAAAGATATTGCTAGTTGCATTGCTTGTTCAAAGATGCCAGCAACTGCCTTCAAGTACACTTCAACGTTTACATCGTGGGCTTCATCAAACAACGAGGTGATGTACTCTGCAACGACATCATCTGCAACTCGCTCAAGGAAAATTTGCATTACATCAACCGAGGGAGGGAAAACACGGTCAATAATCTTTGCTTCTTCGTTGAGCGCAGTCGCCAGTCCTCTAAAGAAATCGTGTGATGGTTCCAGAGACAATTGATTGATGCTTTCAGGTCGTAAGCATGCCGTGGGATTGCCCAATTTCTCCTTTTCAAGCATCAAGGGATGATTGTGGATGAATGAGTCCAGGCATGCTGAACCTCCATTCAGAGCTACCAACACAGTAGCAAATCGCTTCATGCGACCATCATAATCTTTCTCCGCACAACCTTGCTCAAACTCTCTAAGCACGGCGTTTTCGAAGATGCCCGTCATGGTATCCAATTTTTCCTCGCGCTGATGCCAGCCCTGTGCGAAGTCGCTTTTCGCAAAGATCTTCAACTGTGCCAACATCTGAGCCTGTTGCTCAGGATCGCGATAGGTCCGAAAAAGTATGGGATCCGTGTGGCTTCTCGATCTCTCCAAGTCAAAGTAGAACGGGGCCAACGCGCGATAGATTTTTCCATACTCTTGCCGAGCCATACCACGAATCGAGCGCACCTTTGCGAGGACATTGACTGCATCTTGGGGATTCGCCAAGTAGGGGTTCGAGGTCGCCCATGTTCCAGACGGTGATAAGGTCATGTCGCTGAATCCCTTGTCAAGCGTAGTTGCTCGAGGCCTTGCAGGATGCTCTGAAGAATTTCGCAGCAGTTCCTCTTCTATTGTAGCATCGAAAAGCGTCATGCTGGTCTTGCGCACATCGTCTGGCCCAGGCGGTAGATCAGTAGGGTGCTCAATAGGTAATACACCCGTCCGCCGTGCCTCCTCAGCTCTTTGGGCCTCTAGCTTCCTCCGCATGGCCTCTTCAAATCTTTGCTTTGCCTCAATCTCATTCCAACACCCCATGCTCTTTAGCCGTTGTATCCACCGCGTATCGTCATAGACCATCTCTTGCATACGTCTGGAGGTGCGTGCGAAGGTAAATATGTCGGAAACCGGCAGGTAATCGAGAATCGTGTTGATGAGTTCTGCTGAAGTCAATCTTTCTGGAGCGTGTCAAACTGCGCAGTGCAGTACGGTACAGGGCAATGCAATGCAAAGGGGCAACCTACCTGCAGGCAAAATGGCTTTGGACTCGTCCACGAGCTGCGTGCTGCGCAGCGACGCAAGTACGGACGGCTGCCGCTGGGGCACCGCCCGCTTGAAGTTGGACTGGATAGCCATTGCAGCGGAGAAGTGTATGTGTGGGTGTAGAGACTTGAGCCGACTCTAGCAGTCCCCGTCTCTCTGCGAGACTGCAGCCAAGGTTGATCCCTCCATCGATGTGGTAGGTAGTGAAGTGTGGGCCGGTGGTGGAGCATGAGCGGCTACCGGTAATAGCCCGCCCCGCAATCTGGACTCTGTTCACGCCTTAGGTACCATGATCGACCACACACTACTTGCCGAACAGCGCTGGGTGGAGATTTGCCATGTGGTACTGTGACACTGCTCGACAGAACAAGATGGGATTTATACTGACCGAGGCAAGCCTAGCTGTAGTTGTTTTGTTCAAGCCAACTTTCTAGTAAAATGGGTGTGCAGCACGTCGAGATGACCTGGTTCCAGTAGGTAGCTCGGCCGGCTTGCAAAGCTCATCTCACCAAGTGCAGAACCAAATCAAAAGTGTTCCAAGGATATGAGTTCAATTGTATTAATTACGTGACATGATAGCTAATCGTACCGAAGCCCAGACCCATCTGGTCTGCGCTACTTCCATTCCATACAGTGATCCCATAAGCAATTGAGAGTTGCAACGCTCACAGGTAGGCGAACAAAAGGGCCACGATGGCTCCGAGACCAAGGCCAACACTTGCCTGTTGGAGAGGTGCGGCGGCGCTACTCGATTGACCAGGGCTGGGCGATGGGCTGGAGCCGTTGGTGTTGCTTCCAGGCAATGTAGAGGTGGAGTTGCCTGGCCCAGTAGCTGTGCCGTTGTTGTTGGCTGGGCAGTCGGGTGTGGTGTCAACCTGGACGTTCTGGAGGTTGCAGAGGTTGGTAGCGAAGCCGATGGTGCCTGGATGGGAAGTTAGCTTGGCCCTGTGCTGGAACAGAAGCAGGAACCCATGGGTTGCTTACTCTGGATGTCCGACTCGGGGCAAGTGGCAAAGACACAGCAAGAGACGGTGTTGATGACAGCCGAGTTACCGCAAATGCAGGCAATGTCAAGGGGCCCACATGAGCCAACGTTGTTGCCGAAGCAAGTTTGCTGTAGAAGATTAATTGGTGTGTCGCTCTAAAAGGAGTTGCGTGAAATGGGCACGTACAGCACATTGGGGGATCTGGGAGAGCAGGTTGCCTTGAGCCAGAGCTGATGCGCCAAAGGCAGCAACAGCGGTAATGATGGAGGAGCGAAGCATTGTGTCTGTGGAAGTGGAAGTGGGGAGTCTTGGAGGCGTCAAAAAGCGTTGGAGCAGCAACGAGTGTGTTTGAGTGACAAAACCGAGCCGCACCTTTCAGGGCGCCTCGTCCAGTTCTTATAGCCCCGACGGAGAGGTGAGTCGCCCCGATTCGGCACAAAGCTGGGGTAGGTGAGGCCCAAGTGCAATTGGGCTAGCGGCCAGACTGCGGCCACTAGCCTCTACTGGCCCTACCAGATGAACACCCTCAGCCCAAGTCTGGCCGATGCAAGAGACTCGACAACTCTCAACGGACCGAGCCTATTTCCGACCGATATTGCAGCCTCGTCATACTACGGTGCTACCGCGTAAGATTGCGCGAAGACTGGATGTGCAGGTGCCTGCCAGGTCTAAGTAGAATAGAATCGCAGCTCAGACCGTCGAAGGGGCCATCATCATCATCATCATCATCTGATAGGGCTGCGCGACGGAGACTTTGACAGTCTCGATGAGATGTTGACATGATAACCTACAGTACCTAGCAAGGCAGGTTACAGTACTAAGGCCTCTTGGCCTTGTGTAGCATAGTACAGTCCACATCCATCTATCTGGCGTGACGCTACTGTCGGAACGAGCATGGCTTGAGATAGTGGTAGACGCGCAAGAAAACCTCGTTGTAAAGGCTTATGCTTGTCTACGTTGCGGTCGCCAGTGTTTCTTCGCAGCTGTTGAGCTCTGCATAGCATAGTAGGGACCTAAAAGAGGACTCGCAAAGACGCCATGTGCAGGAAAAGCATGAGTTCTAGTCCTTTTTGCCCAGCCTCTCCTCCATAGTGGAAGGTAAGAAGGCAGCGATCGGTGGAGGACTCTGTATGGCTTTGTGCCTTGATGTGCGCCTGTTGGTTGTGATGAAGGCACACAGCACTTACTGGGTAGGCTGTGGCTGCCTTGGAGCGTCCAGCGTCCAGCGTCCAGCGTCGAGCGTCCCCCTTTCAGCCTATCAAACCATGCGACATGGTACTGTGTCGGGTCATACCAGTACTTGGTAGCGTGAGCAAGAGAATTGTCCCACTGGTCCTCGATTGTGGTCGGCCCTGTACGATAGGAGACGAATGTGAGTATCGATCTCGCGGCGTGCGTGAGACAAACAAGGCCTTGGGGCGCAGCTTGCCAGGGGAGAAGAAGGCAAAAGGGCAGAGGGCAGAGGGCAAAGGGCAGAGGGCAGAGGGCAAAGGGCAGAGGGCAGAGGGCAGAGGGCAGAGGGCAGAGGGCTGAGGGCGGAATGGTGAGGGACATGCGACACCAACCACAAAGAGTCACAGACAGACCAGAAGACAGGGCAACAACAGAAGAGGACAAAGGCGGTGGTGAGTCAAGAAAGTCAAGAATAGGGATGAAACTGCTGACTGGTCGCTGCTGGTCGACGGTCGACCAGTCGCACTGTGGACTGTGGGAAAATGGAAAGCTATGGGACAAGAAGTGGCAGAACAGAGCAGGGCAGAGCAGAGCAGAGCAGAGCAGAGCAGAGCAGAGCAGTCACCAAGTGGAGACCTTCGCGAGGGGCGGAGGCGGTCTTTCTTTGACCATGGAGACGAAACAGGAGGAGACGGTACCTGCATGCTCTGCACGCACTAGTACAAGCTTGGTTAACCCCCTTTGTTATTCTCCCATGGCCGCCCTCCCAAACGTCACAACACAACACAAAACAACACAACACAACACCACATGCCATCAGTCTCAACGAGCCACAATTTGAGGCCGTGCATGCCAACACACACACACAGTCTCTCTCTCTCCCTGCTCATGGACCGAGTGGCTCGGCTCACTCAACCACTCACTCCACTCCACTCCACTCCACTTACTCACTCTCACGCTCACTCTCACTCGCTTAGTCACCGCGGCTGTTCTTGCTTCCAAGATCGGGCCAACGCACAACAACACATGGAAGGGGCAGAGAAGGGGGCAGAAGCATCATTCATCACATGACGAGCCAGCATCACGACTGGACTGACGCACAGGCCGGCAGAATCACCATGTACCGTCCCTGCTACCCATCTACCGTACTGTAGGTCATCCCGGAGCCGCGGAAACAAACTCCCGTCCGTACCGTATCGAAACAGCTGCGGGCCAGCATGTAAAAATGAAGCATCAAATAGGCTTTCCTGGTCGTAACATCTTATCCTCCAAGCCTCGTCCTTCACACTTGTGCTACAGCTTAGGTTATCAAGCCCAGACGCTGCTTTCGTCATAGTCCCTCTGAGACACTGCGCTCAGAGGCCAAAACATGATTGGCTGCTTGGCTGCCTCGGTGGGTCTGCGCCTTTGTCTTGCTTCCGTCTCCTTTCCTGACAATGTTCTGGATTCATCGCAGAGCAGCGATGCTGTCAAGCTTCACTTTCTGCGCAGTGCTCATGGTTGACGTAGGTACGGAGAGGGCAACAGTGGCCCTCTCTGGCCCGTTCCCTTGCCCCCCCTGCCCTGTGGAGGAAGAGGGAGGACAGAGGGATGTTGCAAGGTGTCGCGGCGAAGGACGACCATTGACTATTAATATGCTGCTTTCTTCTCCCTCCATGTGGCATTGATCTCTACCTATCTGTAAAAGACTAGCTGCTACTTGTGCCTACCTTGCAATCCTTCCTCACCACCTACACCTTGGATACTTTGGCTACCTATTGTACTACCTCATCGTCTGATCAGACCTCTTCTTCTTGTTCGATTCGCTAGCACTGCAAGCAATACAGTGCAGACCTGCAAACATGAAGACCGCCATGTACCAGAAGCCCAAAACCCCCACCAATGGCAATCCCGGAGACGGAGGCAGTAAGTACAACCATGTTGATACTGAGGAAGTTGGCATCTCAGCTAACATGCCTGATTAGGAAAGCCGCAGTCGCAGCCCCAATCAGATTGAGCAACACACCGCAACCCAAACCCATGGTTGTGCCGTGCACGAACAGACACTCCCACTGGGATTTCGAATTGGACTCGAATGCTTTGCATCCGACCACATTCGACCGATTTCGCATGGTCGCACTGCACCGCCGAGCGTATAGTTGTCAAGAACAGCAACCGCTGCTCGCGAGGTGGAGGTGCGATACCTACCAGGAACGGCACACAATCGATAACGTCTAGGTGCGACCTGGAGAGGCGCAGCACCCCAACTTCAATCTCGCGGAACAACATCGAGCTGCGGTCAGCCGGCCACCGAGAAGTGCTGCGCAAAGAGTCACAGTCTACCGGGGAAAACGAGGGACCTTTGTCCCTTTTTATCATCCTTCAAGTCGACAAAGGGGGCCGTCTCAGAGGATGCCTTGCAGGGCGCCGTATCTGTGGCTAGAGTGGCGGAGTCCGAGTCACTCGCTCGCTGTTCATCAGGCATCCACCCGGCGAACGACTTAGCCGCCCCCACTAAGGCTTTCTGCCTGAGATAATGGCCTTGGAATCGTAGCCCGAGAGATGGAAATAGTGGCATTGTTCCCTTTGAGTCTTCGTTCCGGCGGTCAAGAAAACAGTCACCTTCAGACTGCACAGGGGTTCAGGCTTCTAGTGTCCTTCTCGAAGGTAGCAGCCTATTGTCGCCTTGAATTCCATACATCGGCCAATGAGCAACGGGCATCATTCACTTTGGGGGCGCAGCCATTGTCATTTTGGGGCTACTTTTCGAGTCACAATACATGAGTTTGGAGCTTTACATCATAGCCTGGAAAAAGGCAAGCAATTGCCTGGTACCTGGACATGTCTGAGCGTTTGGAACTTGGGGCCTTTGGGGGTGGCTCTGCGATGCTCTTGGGAGTTATATACTTGCGTTGTTATGCCTAAGACATTCATTACAAGACATTTACACCAACACTCCAGTTCAGCCTTTGAGGAATCAATCCATCTTCACAGCCTTCAGCCACATCTATCACAGCATCTCAAAGTTTACTTATAGTCGACCCCCCCCCCTTCACAGCTACAACTACAACATGCTTCTACCGACTTCAAACTTTGTCCTCAACCGCTCTTACCTCGATCCCCGTGACGGAGGTGCACCAAACCCAGGTCGATCATCCTCAACCATGACTACCACCATGCCCTCGAACGATGCGCAGCCCCGTGATGGCGGCTAAGGACTCGTCACATCAACACACTGTATGCTGCTCTGTCTTGGGCCCCTTATCGAGCCATCACTGACATGCTCAAGTGTATTCATGCAATCGACATTGCATGAAAGTGGACCGATTCCACAACATCCATCATTCTTTCCACCATCTTCGGGACAGTAGTCGGCAGTATCGATCCGTCAGTCTCGGGGCCGCTATCCTCTTCGACTTGAACGCGCTGCCCTCTTCTGGCTTCGGCTGACGTTCTACATCACATACTATGGGACCATGTACTTCGACGCACATTAGACTTTCCTAGCTCTTTCTTCCTTGAACGCGACAACCGCAGAGTTTCTGTATTTTGGGGGCATATGAGTTGGACCGACCAACCGCTGTATAACATATCGGAAAGGTGTACGTTTTGGCAATGCATAACTGGCGTTTTTTTTAGAGGGGGACAAGGGCAACTCTCATGTCGGCAAGTATGGCATTCAGGACGGTTTCAGTCATTCGTATCTCGAAGGGAGTTTGGTAGCCTGCTGTATTTCCACTTAGACTAGTATCGCAATCTCATCCGTCTTCGAGAGTCTCTCTGAAGGCAACCATTGTCGAATCACGGCGCCAAGCTAAAGTGATGTATTGACGTGCGAACAGACAGAGGAGAAGGGTCAATGGGTGTACTGTCAATTATAACTTCACGTATTTATCTAGTTACGTTGCTAGATTCGTTTGAAAATGAATTGGCCATGGAGCATGGGAAAGAAAGAAGGGGATGATGGATGTTTTGTTGATGCTCTCCCATAGGGCCGTACCGGTAAGCGCCCCCGGCTGATGTTAGACGATAGCATTACATACAGGATTGCTGTTGCGGAACTATCCATCCACGGCTATCTTGTGAACCACAACGCCAGCTTGACAAATCACACACTTCTTCTCCAAGCCGTTCATACTGGACTGCGACTACTACTGCCCAAGACCTGAAAGCGTCCTTGTCTTATCACTACATCCTCTTTGTTCAAGACCGAAATGTCTTTGCCATGACGCACCGAAGAGGCCTCTAAGACCCCGCCAAAGGGCCTATTTGTGACTAATTGAAATGCCAACCCAAAGGCCTCGCACGCACGCACGCGCACGACAAAGGATGCATTCCACCGGGTTTGCATACGCACTGTGGTACCGACATAGTACACGGCAGCACAGTACTCCGTAAACAACGACGAGCTGCCGTCTTGCAATTAAACCCGCGATGGCGCCAGCGAGTTTGGTGCACTGGCGCGAATGTGTGACTGTTGCGAGTCAGGTCAAAGCCCTACGAACGGCTGGCTATCATGTACAGTGTACAAAGCACAAGTCTTGACAGCCTGCCATTCTATTTACGCCGTGCTGATCTGATGGCCGTGGTAGCCAAGCAGGCGGCCAATATAAGAGGCGCGCACAGGGTCACTGGGATCGCGTCATTCCCCTCCAGGCGCCTTTTGTCTGAATTCTCTCGCCTTTGAAGTTTGCGATCCACCTGACGAGCCATTCTCTCTATCCACTGGTATACCCGCTTGCGCCATTGCTAGTGCACAGTGGAAAATCCTTGCGACAACAACAATAACAACAACGCCCGCCACGGAATCATTTGACTGCACGGATACAAGCAAAGATGGCTACTCGACCTGCCGCAGATGTTCGTGTGGCTAGCCATGGTCGCGGAGGCGCCGGTAAGCTCTCAGATTCTTACATGGATAAGACCATGGTCGTCTGGCAATGGCGAGTACTTTGAAAACATGGCGTAGACTGACACGAGACAGGCAACATCGCAAAAGATGATGCTGCCAACTACCCCAAGCCCGAAGATCTCGTGACTCCCACGTTGAAGTCCAAGGCCTACACCACCGGCCGTGGTGGAACTGGCAACATGGCCGTCAACGACCCCGAGCGACCCGATCTTGCGCGCGCTGCGCAGGATGTCGATGCGCCACCCCCGCCAGAGCCGCAAGGTCCTACGCACTATGGACGAGGTGGAGCTGCAAACATTATTAGTAAGGATGGCCAGGCTGCACCGCGCAACAGCGTCGAGGCAAAGCGCGAGGATAACGGTGCCTCCAAGGGACTGTTGTCCAAGGGCAAGGAGCTTCTGAACAAGCTGGGCAAGAAATGAGCGACAGAAGACGACAGTCATCTACACGTGTCTGACTGCGGAATGTCTATCTTCCGCGGACTCCTGGCATGGAGATTATCTTGCGCCAATTGGTCGAGCTGCAGTTGATGAATATACCCAGTACTGGAGTGTGCAGTTATGTGGTGAAGGCGTTGGTACATCACATCTTGGTGGAATGGCTCTGTCACGAAAGCGCGGTTTAGGTTCATGAAGTTCCCATCGATATACCCCCCTACATACATACCTACATATTCCCCCTCCCACACGTTCGTCCCCACCTAATGGAAGCGAAGTAGAGTACCAAGTTTAACAAACAATGTCCTTTGCATGACAAGTCTCAAAACGCTCATCTGAATCCTCTCCTTTAGGAACTCAACTTGACCCAAGCGAGCATGCACCATGGTGGGTCTCCAGACACCGCCATCTCCAATATTAACAAGGCAAACTCTATCTCTAACAGACAGCTGTAGCCTGCAGCCTTATATCTACATGCCCCCCCCCCCCCGTATATCACCAACCAAATCTGGAATACAGTATGTACTCTACCGAGCAACGGCTTCTACCGTCGCTTACCCACCTACGTACCACATCCGTGGAAGCACCACAACACGTGCTATCCGAGGCACAGGCTCGTTCCTCCGCTGCCATCATATTTGCACTCTGCTCACGCAATTACGCAACTTCGCACTTGGAATCATTGACCAGAAGAGCCCTGTTCATATGACGACTCCCTAGAAAGTTTGCCTGTCTGGCAAAATCCTCTCCCCCCCAACGACGCACACAGCCATAGCAAAACTACGCTTCATTACCTCTCTCTCCGCCATGACCAAAACAAGGCCTCCCGACCCAATGGAGCTTCCTATCTGACAATCTCCCCCATATATGCAGGTCATCAATCTCATCCACACACATCCGCCCCGCTTTCCCGCAAAACGTCGATGCTGAGCCTAATCCGGGTCTTTGCCCTGCTGCGAGTTTTCCTGGGCTGGCTCGACGTGGTTCGTCAGTACTGGCTTCTCGGGGTGGGCTGGAGCATGGGGGTCGATGTGGTGTGCGCAGGGGTGGGGGATGCTATGGATTGGCTTGGGTTAGATTGCTGGGTGAAGGTGGGTAGGCATCTGTTTGGCTTGAGGGAGCTGGGTTGTCATGAGAGTTATTTCCGGGAACTTTCTCTCGTTGTTCGGGTTATTGGTGAGGGATAGCTGTGGAATTCCCCCTTTTCCTGCTCACCAGTCGATTCGATTCAGTATATTCCACATTGATCCCATGATGCTGCCTACAAAAACACCTGCACCACCATACCAGCTCGAAGAATGGGTCCACTACCACGATGGCGGAATCCCCGGCCGTCGACGCATCCTCCACGGCACCGCAGCGCAAAAGACCTTTGATGCCGTGCCCAAAATCGACTTTACACGCATCTACTCTGCCAACCTCGACGATCGGAAAGAGCTGGCAAGGGAAGTCGGGGCAGCGTGTCGAGACGTTGGCTTCTTCTACGCCGTGAACCATGGTGTGGAGCAACGGGTCCTAGACGATACGTTTGTGGCGCTGGAAAGGTACTTTGCTCTGCCTACAGATGTCAAGATGGAGACGCATAATCAGAAGACGGAGAGGTTTAGAGGGTATGAGGCTTTTTTGGAAGGCAGGCTGGATCCGAACACACGTGGAGGTGGGTCGACCTTTTTTCTATTCTGTTATTCTATGAGACACCCACCCACCACATCCTCCTTGAAATGGGATATATTCATATGTACAGAAAAACCCCACTAAAAACTTCCCCCCACCCCATCCAGACCTAAAAGAAGGCTTCCTCATGGGCGAAGACTTCACCGACCGAGAACAACTCCCCCTCCTCCCCTCCCCACCACCAACCCCCCTCCTCAAGAAACGCAACCAATGGCCCACCCACCCTTCAGCCCTCTTCCTCCGCCCAACCCTCTACACCTACTACACCGCCCTCTTCACCTTCAGCAAGCGCCTCCTCCCCATCTTCGCCCTCGCCCTCGACCTCCCCGAATCCCACTTCGACAGCATAACCACCCACCCCATGACCAACGTGCGCGCGGTACACTACCCGCCGCAGCCGCCCGACGCCACCGCCGACGTCGGCATCGGCGCGCATACGGATTTCTGCTGGTTTACCCTCGTATGCCAGTCGTGTACTGCGGAGCCGGCGTTGCAGGTGCTGAATGCAAATGGGGCGTGGGTGCCGGTGCGGGCGGAGCCGGCTTCGTTTGTCGTCAATGTTGGGGATTTCTTGAAGTTGGTTACGGGGGGTAGGTGGCAGAGTACGGTGCATAGGGTGCGGAATGTGGGAGGTGAGGAGAGGTATAGTTTGCCCTTCTTCTTTAGCCCGGATGAGGATGCGAGGGTGTCGGTGTTGCCGGGGATGAGGGAGGAAGGGGTCGGGTATGAGGAGTTTGGGGTTGGCGAGTATTTTCAGCGGAGATTGGATATTGATCGGAGGACGCATTTGCATGGGGACGAGGACAAGGTGTAGGGTGGTTGGTGGTGACTATCTTGGGAAACATGTTCATGATGTGTTGACCATCTAGGCGAAAAAATTGAATCTTGCATTGATAGGGATAGAAATGAGGTTCATGAGCTCTACCAAGACGGACCAACATCCAGTCTCGGGCAGTCCTCGTTTCCATAAAACTGGTAGGGTATGGAAGATGCCCTTGCTCCTTAGGAACTCACTAGAGCGCACCAATCCTCTCCGCCAGCCACCTCCAACGTCCCTTCCGCTGACTAACAGGCATCGCAAGTATAACTTCCTTGAGCGAGTTCCCGTCATACTCCAACTTCTCCATGGTGATTGCTTGCAAGATATAACTTTGTACAGTGCTCAGTGAGAGTGGTGGTTCACGTAGATGCTCGGCAATCGTCTCCACGGCCAATTGCTGATGGTGCCACATGTGGTAGGCACGCAGGTGAGGAATCGTTGCACGAAGACGTGAGGGTGTCGTGGCTGTAGGCGAGGGAATTGTGGCTCGAAGGTAGTCTTGTGCCCAATCTGTTGCTTGTACGTACTGGGGTGACTCTGTCGTTTGACTCTGTTTCAGATCGGCACGCACTTCGCTGGAGCTACCAACATCTTCGCTGCGTTTGCCTGCATCAGCCAGTAACTTCTTCTCATCCTTGCAGCCTACAGAAGTAATCTGGAGAGCACCAGTGGCGAGTGGTGACACCGTCGACGAGCCACGCTCTTGTTCATTTTTATCTCTGCAGGCCTTCGCCCTACTCTCTTCCAGACATCCGTTGCTGTCCAGTGTCAGGCCTTGAAGCGCTTCCTCCAGCTCAGCATCGGCGAATTCATTGTCACTCTCGAGTTCGGCTGACACGACTGCTTTGTAGACGTAAGTCTTGTCAAAGTTGCTCGTGGAGCTAGTCTCAGAGACGTCATCATCTTCAAGTTCGCTCAGTAATGAGCTTTTCGTTGAATCTGGAGTATCAGCTCGAGGCAGCACAGGGTATGCAGGATCAGGACCTCGTAACGTCGGCAGCTTGATCCGGCCCACACGCCTGGTGACAGAAATATCGCTGCTTCCTGTGGCATCGCTTCGTTGCGACGAGAGTACCGAATTGGTATTCTTGGGTCGTTGACTGGTCATGAGTTCCTGAGGAGCCGTTTCATATTCGTCACTCTCTTTGTCATCATCCTGTTCGATTTCCACCTCGTCGACTGTTGATGTGGCTGATTCATCGCTGGTATCTTTGGTTGCGACTGTTTTCTTTTTGGTCTTCCGGGGGCTTTTGGGCTTTGGAGCTTGGTCATAGTCACACACCAGGATTGCAGAAGGTGTAGGCTTTAGTTGTGCTCTCTTCCGTTCCAACGCGTCGTACAATCGAAAGCCTGCATAGGCATCGGCTGCTGCATAGTGAATCTGCGAGAAGCCCAATGGGAGACTCCAGTCACTTTCACGGACACTAGAGCTAGTTTCTGGATCATCGTCTAGTGGTTCGCCTTTGTACAGTGGTAATTGCAGGTGTTGATGGACTTGTGCGGCAAGACCCACAAGCCTATTATTAACCTGCTTTGGATCTGCCTCGTAATATTGCACGAGGTTGTGGAGACGGCTCAATTCGAATACACCCCTGGCCTGGATTCCAAGATATCTCGCGAGGCGGCTGAAGTCACCCTTGATGGCGACACCCACTTTATAGATGTCCGGTGACTCTAGCACGGCCTTTAGACTTGGTGGCATCAGTTCTTCCACTGCTGTACCTTCGAATAGGGAAATATGAAAGAGGGCGATTCTGTCCTCACAAGCCAATTGTATCAGAGATACATTTTGTTTAATTGATGAGGGGATGCCAAATGGCTTCCATTCAATGTCGAACCCCAGGACTTTCTGGTCCAGAAATCTCTTTGCGACACGTTCTGCAACGTCTTTCGACTTGCAGTAGTGTATTTTGAGAGCCTCGCCCTCTGGCCCCTGGTAGAGTCTCGTGCTCCAGTAGCTACCGCGGGTCTTGGGAGCTGCGAGCATGGCAGCCCGTAGCCTGTCCTCTGGGATCTGATAGGAAAGGGGCTCGGGTGCCTCTGGTGTGTCTTCGTCGAGCTCTTGTGTGGTGGTCTGGTCTGTTGACTTGGCGGGACTAGCTGGAGCAGACAGTCCTTCTGGAGCCTCTGCATTTGCTGACATGGCTGCGCCATCCAACGGGAGGCTGCCTGCGTCTCTGGAGTCATTTCTAGGATCCCATTGCCCCGTCTTTTCATCGCTCTGCTTCACTTTTGGGCTGTGGGGTGTCGATGTTGACGGGACGGCGTTGATGCGGCCGACTGCATCATGGACATGGTTGTCGCACAGAGGCCCAGCATCTGTGCCTAGTTCTCTGTGTTCGGTATGGTACGTTTTGGCAAGAACGCCTGGGGCGAAGCGCAAGCCTTGAGTCGGGTCCCAGAGCCCTGGTCGCACTGTAGCGCCAGAAGCCGGTACTGTCGACGATGGTTGTGCAGAGGTCCCAGAATCTCTGCGAGGACTGAACTTGCTGTTGCTGATGCTGCTGCTCGAGGCAACGGGCCGGCCACGCTTCCATCGACAGCTCGATATGGGCGCGGCAGCAGAAACGGGACGTGGCGGGGTCGTGTACATTGCGCCTGTCGAGTAAAAGGCTCTCAGCTCAAGTCTATATGCAAATCTGTAGCAGCCCAGTCAGTAGCCATACAATGCAGGCGAGTGGGTTGGGTTCGCAAGTACCGGCACGGGATGACATGGCATGCTGGCCCACTGTGTCGACGTGTAAGTGCAGCAGCCTCAGTGCAAGCGCGTCGCGCAGCATGTGACGCGCAGAGCAGAGAGGCGCGTTGTCTGGAAAGCATAACACTCCATGACAGTGCTCCCGCTTGGCAAGTAACTGGTAGTAGGCAGCAGGCAGCAGGCAACAGGCGATAGGCGATAGGCGATATACGCACGACAGGTAATGGGCGGAAAGGCGCAAGGACAAGGTAGATTGAGATGTGGGGGATATCCGAGATACAGTAGGTTGGGCGGCTCCGGTCTGGTCAAAGGTCGACGGTGAAATGGAATGGGGGGGGGAGGGGGGGAAGTGAGTGTATGGTGAAATGGACCCTGAACACTTTTTGCGACATTGGATTGGCTTAGCGTGACCTTGTGTGCCATGTTTGTCCGCACGCCCGCCCGTCCACAGTGGCAGTCCACGCAGATTTACACTTACACTCACACTCACACACACGAGGTCCAACATAGCCTCATTGTACCACAGCCACCCAAAGCGCTCTTCGAATCTACTCGCCTGCCATGGCTCTCGAGAACCTCTTGCCGCTTGGTCAGTTGAGTGTGTGCGTGTGGTGTAGAGACCAGCTAACGTTCTGGCAGAGCTCATCGACAAATGTGTAGGCTCACAGATCTGGGTCATCATGAACGGGGGAAAGGGTACGTACGAAAAACCGGTCTTCTTCCCAATCCGTGGCCTTTATGCTTACGTCCTGCAGAATTCACAGGCAAACTCGTTGGCTTTGATGACTATGTCAGTGAGTGACCACAACCGTCACTTTGCTCCACGCCTAGACCTGACCAAATCACAGACATGGTTCTCGAAGATGTCACTGAGATGTACGTGTGGGTCCTGCTAACATTACGGGCGTTTCTCTGTATTTTTTTTAAAAAAAAAGAAAGCGTATTTGCATGACCTAACAGGTAGCAGAGATGCTAGTGAAGGAAATGTCAAGCTGCCCAAGATCCTTCTGAATGGCAACAATATCTGCATGGTAAGAGACTATTCTATTCTGACAGCCCCATGAAAAGAACTTTTGCTGACCGTTTGATAGATGGTTCCAGGAGGCGATGGCGAAACAGTGCTGGAATAGAGAGTGAGAGGCGGGAATGGTTGCCTGATAAAATGGCACAAATACTTCCGCCTCCCGCCTTGTTTGAATAGGATGTGCACAGTGGTGATGGTAGTGATGACAGTGGTGGTGGTAGTAGTAGTAGTAGTGGTGGTGGTAGTGGCGCTGACGGCTGAGCAACATGCGGCCAAGCGCAGCAATCGGCCAGAACGGCAACGAGCAATGCGCCAACCTGGAAGAAGGATGCAGGCACGCCTGACAGATGCAAGTTCGCCGAAACTCTAGCCATGGAAGATTGGAGTGAGTACACAGCGCATCTTGCCAGAATGGCATGAACCCATATTTGTTATTCGCGTGCGTGGATTGGTGTTCTAAGCCTGGCTAAGAGTATCTACGATGCTATAACTAGTAGTAGGTAGCAGCTAGGCGTACTGTACCTAGAGTACGGTACGCATGTCAAAGTGGGGGTTTCTAGGCACTATGCAATAGTAGCCATGTTTGCAACCATGGATAAACCTAGCTACTGTACAATACACACAGATACCTACACAGACACAGATGGAGTACTACAATGATAGAGTACAATGATAGGATACTCTAGGTACCGTACTATGATGGGTCTTGTGGTCCTGTCCCGGTAGTGGTAATTAGTTGGTGTTGGCTACTCGTCTATGATGGCAGCGTGTGACAAGTCTCGTCTGTGATTGGCGCCTTGTTCTGGGGCCTGGATTCTGGACTGGACTGATCCTGCACATAGTAAAGTGACGGCAAGGGTCGATTCGCCATGTTGAAATGCGATGCGGAGGATTTGCCCATGACGACAACGTGCGACGAAGATTGCCATGGGGGTGCCAACATGGCCAACTCGACGTGATTCGTTATGTACCGCACCCCAGTACTACTGCTCTCTACCCTACACCTACTCTAGAGTACTCTACCCTACCCATCCTACCTACGCTACTTACCTGCCTACTCTATGTACGTCCCGTACCGTACGTACGTTATGTAAATACTATACTGTACAGTATCTACCGGTACCGTACCATCTACCTACCATACATAGCATACTAATGTACGTACCAGGCATGCAGAGCCTACCCACTCTACTGACAAGGGACAGCCAAGCTGAAGGGGAGGGGGGAGGGGCTTTGGAACCAATGAAGAGAGGCGTTGCATTCACTTCCCGCTCCGCCGTCTTCTGCTGGAGCCGATGCTGGATCGACACAGGGCGGAGAAAAAGTGCACTCGCAAGTTGTGCCCAGACCCTCCTCTCCACCCTTGCTCCCCTTCATGCTGGCTCGAGCATCTCTGTCCTGTAGGTACGTATGAGCTACTGTACCCCTACCATACAATACCTGTCCCATCAGACGGCCGTTTCGTCCCGTTTCCTTCTTGCTTCCAGTCTCCAGTCTCACTGGCCTTGTGCCGCCGTCTCACTTGTCTCCCCACTCTGTTGTGTTGTTGCTGTCTCAACCGCCTTCAGCGGGTTCCCCATGCACCTTTTTCCTTGTGATCCTAGACGATGCTGCCGACCTCGCCCTTCACCAGAGTCAGTCGACAAGTGCCGATTGCGAGGGCTTCCCGCGGCGATGCACCTCATCGATGATCCCACCGCCGCCCTGTCTCGCTTGCCTCAGTAGCCACTCAAACTTTGACGCTACAGTAACGGCATGGTGATACTTCTGCCTCGCTGGCAAATCAGAGCGGGCCCTTTGCGTCCAAGAAAGCCAGAAGCATCGTGCGGCCGTGGTGTTTGCCGATGATTCTGGCCTGACGACAAAGCACAGCACCGCACCGCAGAGCACAGCACAGGTCAGGTCAGGTCAGGCAGGTCTGCGCGCGGGCAGCCCATCGGTGTCGGCAGCACAGCAAGCACAGGGGAAAGCGGGTTGCGAAAGAAATGGCCTCAGCATCTCTTTCTGCATTCTGGCCGTCTTCTAGCCTTTCTGCGGGAATCTGGGCTTCTGGGCTTGTACAATACGCTTTCTGCGCTTCTGCATGCAGGCGAGCAGCTCTTTTTTTCTTTTTTTCTTTTTTTCTCTTTTTCTCTTTTTCCTCTTTTTTTTTCCTTTGGGTGCGTAGTGACGAGGACGGCCCTGGTTGCTGGATGGTGCTGATGGCTGCTAAATGGCTCGACTTTTCCCGATTGCGTCTCTGTCTGCGATATTCTGTCCTCTTCGCGGCGTCACCCGCACCTGCGCCAGCCCTGGGAGCCTGGCACTAGGCCTTGTCACTAAGCACGTCTCTGCGGCGAGGGAGAAGTTCCGGAAGTGTACCGGTACCACTCCCCGTATGGGCCTGGTCACAGAAAAGTCGCTGGTCGTGCTGATGCCGTGATGGTGCTGCCCTCGGCGCCCTGGCACCCTGTCTTCCTGTAACCCTCAGGCTTTGCCGATCGATGCTCTGACCTCACCTGCCTATGTACTCTATTCCACCATATTCCACGCTTGCCCTGTCCTGTTCTGCCCATACACCCTTTTCCCTCCCAACCCCCCTCCTCGCAACCCAAATCTCTGCCCTCCTGCTTTCCACAACAAGCCAACAGGCCTTGCGCCCTCATCATCCCCCCATATGTACATGTCGCCTGACTCAACTCGCCGCCATTTGCCCGCCATGCGAACGCCGAGTCTTAATTGCTAACCTGGTCCCATCTTTCGGGGGCTCCCCCATTGCCAATCATCTGCGTCTGGAATTTGCTCTCTCACACCGCGGTCACCTCTCTCTCTCTCACTCTTTTCCCACGCCCCCTCTTTCCCCCCCCCCCCCCTCCCCCGCGCCCCCAGTGCCTCCCGCCGTGGACTGACAATTGCCTGCGACGTCTATCTGCACTGCGCCCAATGACCGCCGGTCGCCCACTGTCTCTCGTCGGCCGCTGTCCTGGTCGTGCCTATACGAGGCTGCGTCCCTATAACCTGGGGGCTGCCGGTACACGCTTCCTCACCACCTAGTTGCCGTACAAGTACAAGTACAAGTACAATACAAACGCCTGCTGCCTCAGACCCGAGGACCCACTTTCCCCAATTCCACGTTGCGTCCCTCCGCTCCATGGAAGAGTGCTAGTCGTCGACATCCTCCTCCACTTACTCTTCTTGCGCTTCACGGCGCCCTGCAACACTTTGACCCCTACCTGGTTTTTCGTTACGGAGTTGCCGCCACCGACGCTTGCCGCGCCAATCAAATCGCATATACCCGATTCCTCGTCATACCTTTTCTATCCATCATTTGTGCACTACCTCTGTCCCCCAAACAGCCGTCCAGGCACGTCTCGACCCAACAGCAGTCGTCGCCACTGGGGCAATAATTATCTGCAGGTCGGACCAAGTCTTCCGTTCGATCTGCGGCTGGTAAGTGGTAGCTAGGACTACCTATTCTTAGTCCGAATCTACCACCGCCGTCTTTTCTCGTTGTTCTCATCACCTCACCACACCACCACTTACTCGGCTACCCACACGCCGTCCTATATGAGCGACTTGAAAGAGCGTCTGGCGCGATTGGGATTGTCCCAATATCACCAAGTATTTGCAGCCGAAGGTTTCGACACCTGGGAAACAGTAGTCGACATCACCGAGAGTGACCTGTAGGTTGGCGCAGTCGTCATGTGAGAGATTCCAAAGCTCACCCTGTATAGGAGTCACCTCAGTGTCAAACTTGGCCATCGACGGGTGCGTTTCTTTTGTGTTGCTTATCTCATGGGCAAGGAGACGAAGAAGAACAAAACAACTAATTTGTACGCAGAAATTACAGCGTGCCATAGCAGAGTCACGGGGGCAGTCCTCTGATCGTCCATTGCCACCACCCGTTGCCAGAGCAGCAAGCCTTGACAGGTCCTATCGAAGCGATGATTCAGGGCCTGAATCCAAAAGCAGGCAGGGCGAGCCTTCTGTCACCGGCACGAGTGGAACCAGCACCAAACGGAAATATCGTCGACACCCCAAAGTTAGTTGTGACTCCAAAAAAGCATCCCATCATAACACTTTGGTAGATCACTTTCTAATTACCTCTAGCCCGATGAGCACGCGCCGGAGAGACCACCATCAGCTTATGTCATCTTTTCGAATCGTAAGTCCATCTCCTAACCCATGTTACTCTTAGCTAACTTCGGGCAGAGGTGAGGGAGTCTCTGAAAGGTCAAGATCTTTCTTTTACGGAGATAGCCAAGGTCGTCGGTGAGCGATGGCAAGTGCTACCGGCTGAAGAGCGCGAGGGTTGTGAAAGACAGGCCAATGGCGCTAAAGAGAAGTACTATGCGGAATTGGCCGAATATAAGAAAACACCCCAATATGAAGCATACCAGAAGTACCTCGAGGACTTCAAAGCGAAACATGCTGCGCCCACCAAAGGTCTGTTCCACCACGTCACATCCACGTCCAACACATCATTGATTGGTTCAGAAGGCAAACGTTCCAAGTTGGAAACGGAGACGAGCAGATCTACTCGTAGCAGCAGCCGTGACCACCATGAACGCACCAGAAATAGAAGGGCCAGCTCTTTACAACCCGACAACCCTCCGACTGCGAGCCAAAGGGCCAACGCTAGTCCACCACCAGGACCGGGGCGATTTCCACCCGGCCCGTCTCAGTCTTCGAAACCGACATCGCCAGTTGCCTATTCTCTCTCTGGATACAACTCTCCGCGATTGACCGACCATTTTTCCCCCATTTCTGCATCGCCACGTTCTGTAGGCATGCCACAGAGAGATGTCCCCTTCGATGCGACATCTACACAACCTGGACGAGACCTTCGGGGTCCTGCAGACGCGAAAATGCTTTACCAACCAGCACCCTATACTTCAGATGCCCATCTTCAGCCCAACAATGCAGCTGTTTCACCATATCTCTATGGCTCGCATTATCAACATTCGATAGATCTCGTGTCTCGGCGCACGATGCGTGAGTCGGCACGACTGCCACCCCTTAGCCACGAAGATACTACGCTATCATCCGAAAGTGGGCATAGTGGTCGTAGTATCCCACTAGCACAATTGTCTGCGCAAACTCTGCCCATGGATCCCTCCAAGTCATTCCGCATGTTGCCACAGCCAGTGCCCAGTTTAGGGCCTTCGCCATCACCACTGGACAGGCCGGCGCAAACACCCGTATCCCATCCGCAACACCAGCACCCCCCTCAGGATTATCGTAATCAGGGATCGCTTGCAGTTCTGTTAAGGGCCGGAGAACTGGCAGCTAGGAAAGCAGAGGACGATGCCATGGCAGAGAGGTCCCCCTGACCGTTGCCTACTTTTCAGCCGGCTTTGATTGATTGCCAAGGAAGCTTCAAAGACCACCAAGATTTACAGACGACATGGTTGAATACGTGTCCCCTCGAGCGCGCCGTGCGAGTAAGCACGCTTCACAGCGCCATGGTCAAATCTACCCCGCTTGTAAATGAGTCAGCCACAGACTACGCTATGATACCCGATACGAGTTGATGATGCATCTCTGAAAGGAGGAACGAGATTCCCGCGTAAGAAAGGCTAGAGTACATGTTATTCAGCGTGCGTGCCTTGCGTTGGAAATTAGCAGACAAGACATTCTATAGAGAACAACACCGTATCTATGTGGTGATTAATCCTCCAGTGGTGCCCTTGGAAACGCTGTCGGTGCTAATTGGACACCAACGATATACTACAGCCCAGTCAGTAGCCTTCGGCTTGTGCTAGTAGAACAGGTCCGCGGGGGTGAAAGGCCGTTGGCGACAGTCTGACGAAACCTTTTGGGTGCAAAATTCCTGGCAGTGTAGACGCTGTATGCAAGGCGATCATCGATGTAGTTCAGATTCGATGTGTTTTGCCACAAACGCCTCCCAGCGGCCCGCGGGAGTGCTGTGAGTTGATGCGTGCATGTGGTGCAGAAAGGCCCGCATCCAACTTTACCCATTCCAGCGCTAGTTAGTGATCAACCCACCTTGCATTCTGCATTCTGCGGCGTCTGCGCCCCGCGGGGGGAGGGGGGAGGAGGGTTATCTACTATGGGTACTCGATGCTACTACTCTAGTAAGCTGCGGTCGTCATGGCATTTTGGCAAACAGCATGACGCGCCCAATGCGATTCATTCTTCCTCGCAGGATCGAGCCATTTCTGGGTCGAATCATGCCCGAGTTGAAATTCCTCCCCTGATCGGGTGCTCAGACGTTTGGCCATCGGCTGCCATGGAACCGTAGAGCCCAGCGCTACGTGAACCGCCGCCGCCAGTGTGCCTGGCTTGCTGGCCACCGTTACCCCCGACACATATTTTCGTGCTACTGGTGTACATCAGCATCTACTCTAGTCAGGCATGCCTGTCATGGGCTTCGGTGAGCGTGAACGTTTGATTAGGTCTGACCCTGACTGTACCTTCAAGACGGGTAACGACCGTCTCCATCGGCGTGTAACGTAGGTAGTCAGTCGTATCAAAATTCAAGTTGACGTAATCAGTGGTATTGAGCCGTGCTTACTAACGTTCCGGGTCGTGCAGCTCACGTGCGTCCCTTCTTGTATCGAGATAGGTGGACTGTTGCATGCAGACGACCCAAGGACGTCCGTCCGATTCAGCATTTGGTTACCGGTAACTGAGAACATCCTTGTTCCGCTACGTACGTGCGATCAATGACTTTGGACGCGACCGCCACCGCGACCTCGGTTGCAATTCCTCAAGCGAACGCATAATTCCAGTGCAATCTCCTCTTTCTCAAGAAACCACTATTCGCAAGCGTCGTCGTAGGTATAGGATAGTACGGTAAGACGTATCGGACATGGCAAGCACGTTCCCCGGCATCATTGACGCACATCATCCCCAAAGTTGTTCTTTGAGCCTCCAAGTAGAGTAATCCACCCATGATGATTACCATCCCCAGATTGGATATAACTACCGCCTCCTCATATTCGTGCAAACATCCTTACGGTCTTGATGACTGTCGTTTGGCCGATTCGGCCTGATCACTTGCCCATCTCGGTCCATCGTCTAATCTCCGCTCGAATCGCTCTCGCTCCACAGCACTATACCCGCGGGATTCTCCGGACAATCACGCTTTCTAGAAGTGCGAGATCTTCCAAGATGCAGCTTACTTTGCTAGATCTTGCTAACGTTTGTACCCTACAGGCGGGACTATCGACGGCCTCTTTGGGGTACCGGCCCGGACTTTTGTCAGCGGTCTAGACTCTGGTTGAAATCCGCTCAACGTTAACAGACGCGCAGCAGTCCCACTGTGCCACATCAGCTTCCATACGGCGTCTTCCAAGACTTCCGCGCCCTCCCCATCCCAGACAATTCGCCATGGCGGGTCCCACCGTTCATCAGCGCCGCGACTCGGGTATCTCTCAGTATCTCAATCTCAGCCGGCTTGGCCTCAGTCATCTTCCGCCACACCCTGAATTCCCTGAGTCGCTTCGTAATGATCAAATCAGCCTGAGCCAGTTTCTCAATAATCTAATTGCAGAGGTTGGCCGGGTGAAGTTGAATGAGGATTTCACAGAGTACGGAACATGGACTCCAAAGGATTCTGAAAGCCCACTCATGCCATGTGCGTGTGACTGGTTCCACCCTTTGATATCAACGCTGATGAGTTTCTGCAACGCTTGTAGACATTATTATGCCGCCGCCGTCCAGTAGTAACCTTGCAGAGGCTAAGAATGATCCTGTCTCTTTCCAGAGTCATGGAACCGAGACCATCAATGTGCCAATTGAGGTTCAGAAATGGGTGAAGCGCATGAATAACACGTCGTGGTCAGGCAGAAGTTCGCATCATCTTGGGACTCAAATACAATACAAAGAGCTGGATGAACTCCTGTCACAGGACCATGGTCACAAGGAGGCCCAGTATACGCCGAATCTCTACGACGCCAATGAACTCCTTGCCTGGAGCTCTGAAGACCTAGAGAAGGCTGTGGCAGAGCTGACCTGCACTGAAAGGGCTGAGAGGGTACAAATGTCAAGTGAGTCACTCGTGCGAGATTGCACATCATCGTCCCCGACTGATTCATGCCTAGTTTTCCAAATGTTTCACAAGATGCCGAAAGTCGCTGGTGCTCACTTTCTGAACGATCGCGTTTTCCATGTCCTCATTGTCACTCTCCATTCAACCTTTGTGCTCCCAAACCCAGATGTTTCCGTGACGAGACGACAATCTATTACCGTGCAATTGCCGATCGACTATGATTCATTCCGTAATGTCGAGACGATAATGCGAAGAAGTCATCTGCAACAGAAAGGTTCTGGCCGCTATTACCTTCCCCAAAGCTCGCCTCAATATCCGATATCTGCAAAGCAGAAGAAGAGAAAAGGGAACAAGCTCGTCGAAGGCAACTACGTTTCGCTGGAACATTTGCACGAAGCAAACTTGGACTGGGACGCTGCACGGACTGACAGAGAGGCTTCCACCCAGACGGACACTGATTATTGTCACGAGTGGCGCATGATGACATTGAGTACAGCAGGCGGGGTCACACGTTATGCGCCACAGGGAAAGCAGGTGAAGGAGACACTTGAAGCCATTGCGGGAGATGTGTATGAGGCTATCGAGTGTATACAGAAACAGAGGTATGCCAAGATAGGCCTGAGAAGGCCTGAGAGACAGAGGCCGTTCACATAGAAGCGGGACGGTTATGCAGCCTAACTTATGCTTGATTGATCTACACCGGTACTCCATCGCGAATTGGCTATCGCACATGGCCTTTTTCTTCTTCTCCTTTCTTTTAGTAGCGATGGGAGCTTGAGGGCGTGAGTCTTGTGACTGAAGTCTGTTTACCATGGAAGTTCTTGCATCAGCCAACTGACACGATACTGTACTCATGTGCCAAGCTGTGAAATGTACAAGCTTCTATTCGTGGAGATGTCCAAGCGTGGTGTGCACGAGCTAGATGCGCTTCCGGTAAGGCGAAGCGGGGAGTCGCGTGGCTGTGAGATCGTCTGAAGAAGGGATGGGAGTTACTTGGGTAGTTGCATGACCCGAGAACTGTGGCAGGGCAGGACAGGCTGTGACTTGTCCTGTCTATGTATATCTCTACTCTAGCCATACGATATTTCGAACCGTAATCAGAGCTGTAGTTTTGCTCCTCTTATAGTGCGCCTTGCGCTTTCTGCTGTCTGACCCCCTGTACCGGTACATGTTGCCCACGAACGGAAACCGATCGATGACTAGGTACAAACCACACACACACAACTACTTACCTACTCTACCTAGCCGGCCTCGAGCTTGCGATGGTGACAGGGGTGAGATAAACACATTCACCCACTGAGAGCAGCCCTACACTCTCGAGACCAACGCCAAAAGGAAGGGCTGATATTCCCCCACGATGCAAGGGTACGGCCAGGCATCAGAGCAGCAGCGGCCAAGCAGTGTAGCAAGCTTCACAGGGCAGGCATCGGTCGCTCCTCCACTACCCCCGCGAACATATGCAGGCATGCGCTCTTTCACCATTGGTTCTATCAGCATCAGGACTTGCTAACATGTCATGTATATAGCCTCGCCAGCATACCAATCCCCCACTCCCCACGCTCAGAGTGGTTCATGGGCACCACCCCCACCCCCGGCCTCGAACTCGTGGGCCCCGCAGCAACAGCAGCAGCAGCAGCAGCAACATGTAGCTGGGGGATATAATACGGGCACATATGGCGACGTTGGACAAGCAGTAGGTAGCATCTGGAAAAGCAAGATATGGAGATTGTGCACTTAACAAATCAAATTGATAGGCTTCGGCGCCGCAACCATCGTATCCACCACAGCTTGAGCCTCCGCCTCCACCTCCACCTCCGAAACCTCAAGGCTTTGCGGCTGCAGTCCACCGACAGCAACAGCAGTATGAGCAACAACAACAACAGTATCAGCAGCACCAACAACAACATATACCAGCATTTACCCCACAAACACAACAGGGAGACTATGCAGCGCCAGGAGCATCGCAGCAATATGGCCATGTTGCTCCTCCGCCTCCCTCAGCAACACCGGGCGGATCCTACTTCCCACCGGCCCAAGCAGGACGCCCTGGCTCCATGTATAGCGCAAGTCAAATTGGAGCACAAGCGACCCCTCCTCCGACTGGGCCTCAACATACACATGTACCACCTCCAATGAATGTGCAAAGTGCTTATACCACACCGGGAACTCATGCGTCTCAACCACCACTTCCAGCATGGCAGCATGCACAGTATGTCCCTCAACCGGCAGGGAACACCAGTATTGGACACACACAACCCACGGTAACCCCAGGATTCCAAACGCCGGTCCGCCAGGACGCACTGTCGCGACATTCACAACAAATACTGCAGCCCCATACATCCTATGGGATACAGCCACCACAGCCATACAACCATCAAGCCCAGAATCAGTACGTGCCACCGCAAGATCAGCATGGCCATCATCCATCGGCCCAACAGGGGCCTTATGGTCAGTCTGTTCCTCCGCAGTATCCAGTGCAACAAGAGGTGCCTCCTCAGCCGGCATATGGCCAAACGCAACCAAGTGGTATGGCGCAACAGGTCTACAATCCAGGCCATCAAGCTCAATGGCAAACGCTCCCGCAACAGCAGGAAGGCCCTTCAACACTCAACGACTCGTGGCAGACAAGCCATCAAGTGCAAGGTTCATTTCCTGTGCAGCAACATGAAGCGTCGAACACAACGGGTCGGTCTAACACCACAACACCACAACATTACAACCGATTAAGTCCACAGAGCCAACCTGTGTCTCCGATTGGTCCATCACAGAGCATCAGTCCTGGCTCTGGGGTGCATGATAATCGTGGGCGTTCCGAGAGTATATTTTCTAGCATATCGCCTGATCACCGAGCACAGCAACCCAGTCATGGCACTCCTTCTACTACACCAGTACCGTCTCGGGAAGATAAATCGAGGTTCAGCGCACTGGGAGCTGGTGGTCCTTCTGACTGGGAGCGCCTTGGTGGCGACGGCGAAGAGATCGATGACGAAGAAGCTTTCGGTAGCAAGAAGGAACAGGAAAGCACCGTCACGCGTCCACCGGAGAGCATAGAATTGCCTGCTCATGTTCCTTCACCCCCATCTACGCATGGCTGGTCAAGCCCTGCACAGTCGAATCCCTCACATTCTCGTGATCGTAAAAGCACCTATGTGCCATCTCCTCCATCTGCTACCGAGCCCTCCTTGAACGTTACGAAGTTGCCAACACTATCCACGATACCAGGGGCCGCCATGAGCAATGAATCGGGCGCCTATCAGCAGACCCCCACTCAAGCCCCAGCTCATTGGAATTCGCATGTCAACGAGCAGCACAAGGCAGAATTGACAGCGAAAGATGAAGCTCTTGAGCGCCTACAATTAGATACCGAGAAAGAGAAGGCCAACCTCGAGGCTGAGATTGGAAAGCTCAAGGTGGAATTGGAGACTACCAAATCGGATGCAGTCGACGAAGTGAGCCAGCTCCGCGCGGAATTGAATGCACTAAAGATTACATCAGAGCAAGTGGCAGCGGAGCTTGCTACGGTGAACGCGGAGAAAGACGCCACGATAGAGCGCATGAAGGAGGATGCAGAAGGCAAGGAGCATAATATCGATGAAAGGGATGCTATCATCGCCAACCTCAGAGGCCAGATCGAAGCCGAGAAGCTCAAGGAGATTCCCAAGCCTACACCTGCCGACCTGATCCCCGATATAGATCCTTGGTACATTGGATCGCTGGAAAGATACATCGCCATGCTAAGGAACGAAGCAAACGAACCGCAGGTTGAAGAAAAGATCAAGACGTTTCGAGCTTTCTGCAAGGCAGAGTCGGAGATCAGAGGTATCAATTATTACGATGCTCCACCACCGGCGCCTTCAAACATCTCACATATGCAGCAACAACTGGAGCAACCAGTAACAGAGGATCTAAATGTCAATATACCACGGCAGCCGCTGCAAGAAGACGATGATGATTACGACTTCAGTCCTGGAGGGCGGCCCATATTGAAAAGTTTCCCCTGTCAAGCAGCAGCTGGGCGAGCTTCGACACAGTCTCAAACGAACGCTTCATCGCAATCAACCACAATCTTGACCCCAACGAGTTCAGTCGAAGGGGACGCAAGCAAGACCCCGGTTCAGTGTGTAGCTGAGGAAGCCTCTCAGCCACAGTATAAGGCTTATGTGCCAGCCGCTAGCGTTGCAGATTGTGCCCCCCTCAGGCACCGGTCCGCATCCTCCTTCTCAAGTACCCCTGTCTTGTCATCCTCGTCAGGTCACAGTAAAGGACCCGATGAGATATTCTTCGGGGCTCACAACGAATCGCGACCCAAGACCAACAGTCGGCCGACCAGTAGTAGCGATAGTCCCGTTGCCATCCCCGCCCCGCTCAAGTTTGCATCGAGCCGGCCAGGATCCATAGCTGCACCTTCGAAACAAACTCCAAGCGATGCACTGCGCCACTTGTTACCGGAACGTCTCGTGCCTGTTACTACGAGCCGTTTCATCGATGGAGCCCGAGCACGATTTGAGACTGTGAAGTCGAAAGCGGTAAGTGCAGAAGAATTGACGAAAGCTTGGGAGAAATCGGCATCTCTTAACCGACGAAAGAGGGATGATGCTCGCCGGAAGCGTCAAGAGGAGAACGAGGAACACAACGATGATCTCTTCAACAACGATGAAATCTCATATGCTGAGATGAACCAGCGCGAAGAGGCTTTCAAACTAGAAGAGGCTCGATTAAAGGCCCAGGAAGACCGTGATGAGTACAACAGTTATGTCGAGGTAGTCTTTGATCCCATCTTTGAGGCCCTTCAGGTGGATATCAAAACACTTGCGGAGTTGCGCGTCGAAGTAGAGAGCGTGCTCCCGACTTCAGTATCCGGCATACAGGGTATGCAAAGCAAGGATGTGCCAAGTCCAAGAGAGTGCCTTGAACTTCTGCGGGATATACACGAGTTGGCCGAAAGAAGACATGCCGCTGTGTTCGAAGCAGTCATGGAGCGTGACAAACGCTACAAGAGGACCGAGGTCCAGCCTCTGTACGCCGCAGGCCAGATAAGCAAGATGAAGGAAGTGGAGAAGCATTTTGAGAATGCGGAGAAGCAGGCAATACTGCAGGCCAAGCGCGAGAAAGCCGAGCGCGTAGCCGAGTTTGTCAAACTCACAGAGGAGGTTGTCATCGACGCTGTCGGTATTGAGCAAGGCGAGATTGACCGTATTGTCACCATTGTGAAAGAATTCGAAGACGGTCAAGGCGATGCAGGATTGCTGGGGCGAGCGCATGATGCCCTCATATCGCTGAAGGTTTCGTCCAAGGCGCTTCTTTGCCTGTTCAACAGCCTCGAGATATCGCTCAACGATTCTGTCCTTGACGCTGAGATTGCACAAGTCCAGGCACAAGGCGGCACTGCTGGTCGCTTGCAGGAACTCGAGAATGAGAAGAGGGCAGGTGCGGCAAAGATGACGGCGGAGTATGAGCGCCGTATCGCTGTGTTGGAACAGGACAATGATGAGATTGAGCAATTGATATTGAAGAAGAGGGGGAAGACAAAGGTGGATGAAGGACAGGAAAGGGGGAAGGAAGAGAGATTAAAGGCAGCGCTTGAGGAGGCGAAGAGGAGGAATGGCCAGGCGTGAGAGACGAAGGGCGTTTGGTTCACACAATACAGCTTGGCGATCATATGATGAATGGATGTGCGAGACCGTTTTGCCCAATCTGTGCATCAAGTGAAGCCTGAGAGACATGAACACGGAGGCTTGAGTGTAGTACCCACCACGAGCCAAATCAAAGGTTCTTACTCCCCAAACAGGCTAGAGTAGAGAGGGAGAGGGAGAGGGTTCCATGTTGACCCCAGGCCTTAGGCGGTGAGTGACAACTGTAAGCTAAAAGGGTCTAGCCCATCCCTGCAGGTGCCGCCCGCCCCCTCCAAAAATATCCACTTCCCACCAAGAAAGAGACATCCCCCTCCCCTCTGCCATTGCTCCCTTGCCGCTCCCCTCCTAAAAGCCGAGAAGAAGTGTATTTGAAGAGCACGCTGTTGCATTGTTCTGGGTGCCATTTTTTGTCTAGTTCTGGGAAAGGAAGACGTGGTTTTTTTGTTTGTTTCTTGATCTCCAACTCCTCTGCACAGTTTCCACGATTTCCACGATTTCGCAGTACAAGACGAGACGAAATGGCGGTTACAGCAGCAGTTTATCCTCCGCTTGAGGAGCGTCCGTTCAAGGATACTGTGCTTCTTTTTGATGTTGATGATACCCTGACCAAGCCCCGTCAGGTAGGTCGTCCAACTCCAGCAAATGCCTCCCACTAACAAGCTCATTCCTCCCCCAGCTCGTCAAGCCTGAAATGCTCCAAATCCTCTCCGAACTCCGCCACAAATGCGCCATCGGCTTCGTCGGCGGCTCCAACCTCGTCAAGCAACAGGAGCAGCTCGCCACCCCAGACGTAAACGTAACCTCGCTCTTTGACTTTGCCTTTGCTGAAAACGGGCTCACTGCCTACCGGCTCGGCGAAGAACTCGAGTCCCAGAGCTTCATCGGCTGGCTGGGCGAGGAGCGCTACAAGGCCCTTGTCAAGTTCATCCTGCACTACATTGCCGACCTCGACATCCCCATCAAGCGCGGCACCTTTATCGAGTTCCGCAACGGCATGATCAATGTCTCACCCATTGGCCGCAATGCATCGACCGAGGAGAGAAACGAGTACCAAGTCTATGATCTCGCAAACAACATTCGTACCACCATGGTCGCTGCGCTCAAGGAAGCCTTTCCAGACTTTGGCCTCACCTACTCGATTGGCGGCCAAATCTCCTTTGATGTCTTCCCCACCGGCTGGGACAAGACGTACTGCCTCAAGCACATCGAGGCCGAGGAGAAGCGGACGGGGATCGTGTACAAGAATATACACTTCTTTGGTGACAAGGCGTATGAAGGTGGGAACGATTGGGAGATTTACAGTGATAAGAGGACGATTGGTCACAAGGTTAAGAATCCAGATGATACGTATGCACAGTTGCAGGAGTTGTTGAAGAGCTTCCAGTAGACTTTTCTTTTTGCGGTGGCTGGAAATGTTATTACGATTTACATTTTATGCGAATGTCGTGGTCTTTTACTCAGGTCACATCTTGTTGATGCTGGATCTTTTGGGTCTTTGCGCATACCATAACGGGTTGATGGGCAGTACACATTTTTTATACATGTCTGCTTGGATTTTAGAATCGTTGCCAATGCTTGAAGACCAGCATGATGCGAGGAGTCTAAGAGATTCCCAGAATACGTGAAACACTGTTCCCTTGGAATCAAGCGTCTTGATGGTACATATGATACACGCCGCATGACTTGATACAACGTCTTCACTACCTTGCCTTGTCCTTGTTCTCCGCTGCTCTCCTCTTGGCCCTAACCTCAGCCTTCCGCCTCTCACCACCATCCACCTTGTGTCCTCTCTTAATCTCCCAAACACCCTCTTGCAGCCTTATCCGCGCCCTCGTCCCATTGCTCCCCTTTACAGGCTCTACAAAGCTCCCCTTGATCGTCTTGGCCCCCTTCAAAACAACGCCCTGCACTTTTGGCAACACCTCGACGGGCTCTGCGGGCGCCTCAGCCCCCACAGGTACATTGACAACAAATTTCCTCGTCCCAGGATCATGCGTAGCCGTCGCCGCCGCACTCCTCGGACTAATCGTATTCCCGAGCTGCGGATTCGGCGGCACCGGCGCCTCGACGATTTTCAATTCCGCAACCCCGTCCACCACATGCTGGCAGTCGCCACCGATGCCGTACTCGCCGTTGCGGAACTTCTCTCGCCAGTCGAGCAGGTAGCGGCGTGAGCGGGCGGGCTCGACACCGAGTTCCTTGAGTTGCGGAGAGGTTAGGGTGAAGAGGGCTTCCCAGGAGGGGATCTTGGTTGCGTGTGCCGACAGGCCGCGGCCTATGGCGCTGAGGAAGGCAGTGTGGTCCGGGATGAAGGGGATGGGCTTGGGTACGGGACGCATGGGTATGGAATGCTGGAGGTTGCGGACGCATGGCTTGGATATCGAGACGGCGGTGGTGGTCGCGTTGAGAAGTGGGCGCCGGAGGATCATGGTGGGCGGTGCTGAGAGGGGTGGGATTGTCAGGGGGGGGGGGGGGGGGCGTAGGTGTATCAATTGTCGGCACCCAGAGATGGTGTAATATTTCCTGGTGGTTGCTGAGGGTAGGCACAGAGATTGTTCTACGGAAAGTGTGCCCGATGTGCGACAGACCACTGTTGCGGTGATGTTCTCAACTTTTCGGAGGAGCCAAGATGTCCAGAAGAGCCCGTGCCCTCGGTCTACCATGCTCCCCCCAGTAGGCATCTCCAAGCCCCCCACCACCCTCCAACTCGTCATCACCACCCACTCACACCCTCACAAGACGCCAATTGCAGTAGTAGAGAGTCTCCTATTGCAAATCACCAACCCCTCTCACCACCACCATGGCCAGTCCTGACGTCCACCATCTCTTCCACCACCCCATCGCCGACCACTCCTTCTCGGCCGACCGCCAGACGCTTGCCGTGGCCCGGGAGAACAATGTCGACTTGTTCACCAAGAGCGGCAGTGGATACAAGCTGCAGGATGAATTAACAGGCCATGACAAGACCGTCACGGGCGTCGACATTGCCCCCATTTCTGGCAAAATCGTGACTTGTTCGCAAGGTTAGCAAGCTTACACGAGCTTCCCAATGGCATCGAGAGAGAAAAACAGGCAGCTCACATGGTCAACAGATCGCAATGCCTATGTGTGGGAGCCCTCACCCCAAGGATGGAAGCCCACCCTCGTCCTCCTCCGCATCAACCGCGCAGCCACGTGCGTGCGCTGGGCCCCCTCGGAGACCAAGTTCGCAGTAGGCTCTGGTGCCCGCCTCATCCCTGTGTGCTACTTTGAGGAGGAGGACAATTGGTGGGTGTCCAAGCATATCAAGAAGCCCATTCGCTCAACCGTCACCTGCGTCTCCTGGCACCCCAACTCTGTCCTCCTGGCCGCCGGTTCCACAGACGGCCACGCCCGCGTCCTCTCCTCCTTCATCAAGGGCGTCGATGAGCGGCCGGAGCCCTCGGCTTGGGGCGAGAGACTGCCTTTCAACACTGTATGTGGCGAGTACTTGAACAGCACGGCTGCCTGGGTCCACAGCGTTGCCTTCTCGCCCTCGGGCAACGCCCTGGCCTTTGCCTCCCACGACAGCAGCCTGACGGTCGTTTACCCGAGCGCGCCCGAACAGGCGCCCCGCGCCATCCTCAACGTAAACACCCAGGTCCTACCCTTCATGTCCCTCCTCTGGAGCTCCGAGTCTGAAATCATCGCCGCCGGATACAATTGCGAGGCCTTTCGCCTCCAGGGCTCCGAGGACGGCTGGCAGCTCGTTGGCTCGCTCGAGTCCAAGAGCCGGCCGGGACTCATGGACCAGCGCGAAGAGAGCGCGCTGAACATGTTTCGCCAGATGGATCTCAAGGGCAAGTCTGGCACCGATGACACCAAGCTCAAGACTGTCCATCAGAATACTATCAATACGATTCGCAGCTTCCAAGAGGACGGGGGGAATGTGAGCAAGATTAGCTCAACGGGCGTGGATGGCAGGATCGTCATTTGGTCCTTGTAGATGCTTTCATCTTTGTTGTGGACCTTGCATGTATCTTGTAGGAATATCTCATGCGATGATGGAAATTTGTACCAAGATGGCAATCCAAACTTTGCAATACCATAACATGTAAACTCTCTCTCTCTCCCTTGTCAACCATGATCCCAGAAACAAATCAATCACCAAAGTAATCGATTGTTGAATAAAGATACCTCTTGAAATCATGATATCAAAAAACAAAAACCAGATGCGCACGATTCACGAAACCCCCGCGGCCCCGCCACTCCATCTCTCTATTCATCTTTTTTCCGCAACCCATAAGTGAGCGTACTCTCTATCCAACGATGCCAGATTTCTCCAACCCCCGCAATCTCCAAGCCATAGAATCCGCATCAAACGAAAGAACAAGTCGTCATGAGTTTCTACATCTAGCAAACGATGCAGCCTTGATGTAAACAACAACATCCGAATGGGATGAAAAGCAGGGGAAAGAAGAGACATGCCGCCCAAGCGAACATAACTTGCTCATGATACATATACACAAAACAGCCGCCAGCTCCTTCGACCTTCTCTCGAGGCCTCTAAAGTACGGGAATTCCCCTTGACGGAGTATGCACCACGCCACAGCAGCTGATCAGCCAAAGCCAGTGAAACCCTGGCCACTAAACACATCCACCGGCAAAGCCTGGGCCGATGTATTCGAGTTAACCGCCTGGGAAGTCTGTGCGTCGTTCAAGAACCATGACCAATCCTGATCAATGTCCATGGGCATATGCTGCCAGCTAAAATTATTTGTTGGGAGCGGGAAGTTATTCATGCTGTCATCGTTGATCTGGGTATTTATCCCCGCCTGGGAGGCGGTGCCGGAGGCCGTGTTGGAGGTGGTGTGGGCGGCTACAGGGACGGCTGTGCCTGCGGAGGAGGCGGCGGCACAGGAGGCGTCATCGCCATTGAGGTTGTTCCAGTTGTAGAAGCCGTCGTAGGAGACAAAGGGTAAGGGGTCGGTGATGTTGTATCCAGAGGTACCGGTGCCGGCGGAGATGGATGTCTTGGGCGTGACGCTGAGAGAGGGCGTGGCTTGGGAGAAGATGTCTGAGGTGCTGGACTGTCTTTCCGAGGGGGGCGTAAACAGCTGGGACTGTGCGGGGGATTGCGAAATGTTGGAACATGCAGGCGAACGAGCAGGCGGCGAGGGTCCTCGGGTAACCTTCTGACCCCCTCGCTTGAGAGTAATGGTGCCAAAGTAGGGTATGACAAATTCATCGGTCTCGTCGGCGCAGTGGCTTCTGTTGGGGCTACAGGCGTTTTTGAACTTGCTCATCATCTTCTCGAGCACTTCAGCGGATTGTAGGGCTACTTTCCCACCCTTTTCGCTCGAAGCTCTCCGGAAAATGTCAATACTGATTTCAATGAGGCGAACGTCTTCTTCATTGTTCTTGGGGGAAGGCGGCTGGCCGTTTGCACCGTTGACGGTCGTGAAGTTGAGGAGGCCAATCTGGATGAGTACTGCAGCGGTGAAGCCGATGAAGTCAATGGCTTTGCACTCGTAGAGGGGCTGCACGGTACCCGTGCGTAGTGCCTGGTACAGACGGAGCACATCTCGAGAGCCGTTGAGACACGCGGTGCGGGAGTATGTGAAGCGCGAATTTGAAGCCGACTTGAGCATGAAGGGGAGATGCAGGTAAACACGGATCTGGTGGAACACCATCTGCCCCATCAACCGTTCTCGTAATTCTGCGGCGTTCTTTTCTGGGTCTGCGAGCAGTTCTGAATAGTCGAGCCATGCAGGATCCAATCTCTTCCACAGGTCCTCAAGTTCCTGATCGAGTTGTAGGGCCCATGCGAAAGACTGTTCTGCTATTCCTTGGTTGCGATCAATGACGCGCCCTGCTAGCTGTGACACTTTGGAGATGGCATTCATATGGTGTATGTACTCGCCGTCGCCGAGTTCTGGCAGGGTGAGATCACAATGCGCATCGCTGATACCGTAAGGAAGACCTAGAAGTAGTGACAGGAAACGGTCTCCATGGTAGAGTGCCCACCAAATACTTTCGTGAGCTGCTGAAGATGTGCGTTTCCGGTGAAGACCCTTGGAGTAATCAGCAAAAGGGGAAGTCGAGATGGGTTTATGAAACTTACCATGAGTTGAGCATACATTAACCCCTTCCTGTATGCGATCCAGGCTCTTCGAGGCTGTCCAACATCTGCATACCACTTTGACTTCAAGATGAGACATTCCATGCCTTCCAGACTGGCTGCGTATTCATCATCAGATAGAACCCATCTGTCAACAGCCTCGATATAGCGCTCCACATCATCAGTATCATCTGCAGAGCATATGCCAACCGACAACACAACAGTACCAAGGGCACCAATGTTGCCATTCGCCAAGGCTTTAAGTGCAAACTGGGACAGCGTCTGATCGGGTCCCGAGGTTCCACTGCACTTTCGTCGCCATGTCTGCCACCAATCGCTGTTATTGTTCAAAAGCCGTGTAAGCTGTTCATAAGGTGGCAGCATGGCGATCAGAGCTTGTTTCGCCCTCTCTTTTTTCGCTGAATGTGATACATTGCTGCCGTCAATAATGTTGTCATCGTGTCTGTTTTCAAGCGTATATCGCTCTTCAGCTGTCAGAGCGCCATCTGCCGTAAATCGGGCGTGCGATGGGTCTTTGCGGACTTTGTTCTGAGCTTCCGCATCGTTGAGCTGGACGAGCGTTAGTTGTGGGAAGGAAGAGGGCTTCGCCTCGTGACTTACAGCATCTTCGAAAACAGACAGTATTGGAACATGATGTCCTCGGTCTGATACAGCACGCTGATTATGTTGGAATGGATTTGATGTAGACTCGGAGGACAGTGGGGTGGGTGGCAAGGCGTCTCTCGAGAAGACTTGAGGTACTTTTGGCGAGGCAGTGTCGGCTGTACTCTGGCTCTGACTACGAGCCTCTGATTTGATGGTCTTGTCTTCAAGCAACGTGTCTACCAAAGCTTCCAGTCGCGATACTCTCTCACGCAGATTTTTCCTGTGATCGACAATCACTTCTGGATTGGCATGTTCCTGATCGATGCACCTGCTGCCACGTGCAAAACATTCTGAGCAGACATCCGGGTTGTCAGGTTGAAAGATGCATCGAATCTTGCGCCGCCGACCTGTATGCTATCAGATGATGTCTCAAGAGCAGATATCATGTAGAGATGAATAAAGATAAGAAGGAGAGCGAGGATGCACAGTAGGGTGTGGAAGTAGAATGTAGGTAAATTGTGTGTATGGGTGTTCATTTGCATTTGCATGTGTATGTATTTGTGTGCATGTCAGCCACACTGCATGGGGTCGAAGACATACATTCAAAGCAACTATGCGTCCCCTTGCGCATCTTTTTCCGGCTGGGTAAAGGTTCCTCCTTGGGCATTTTGATCGGTACTTCCTCACTGCGGAACCGGTTGTCTCCAACTCTTACAAGTATTCGTCCGTGCTAAGGGGGACGGGACGCCCACCATGGACGTCTGTACAAAGGCTACTTCTGCGGAGAGACAGGAGAGAGGCGTGTTCAGCTAAGGCAAAGGCAAAGGCAAAATGCTAAGGTTGAGGGTGATGGGTGTCAAAGTGGGAGCCGGAAGGAGCGGACCAAAGGGTGTCCGAAAAGTCCGAGTCTTATGTCAGCAGGGGGATGATGAATAAGTCGAGAGCGGATTAGTGATAGCACAGTAGTAGAAAGGACGCGATTAAAGGCGCTCGATCCCGGGGCAGTAAGATTTTGGTGTGTATGTCCTTGTGTACTGTGTCATGTTTACTGGGTAGGTATGTACAGTAGTAGAATGTAGGAGAGTCGGGCATTGTCCGGCCTCGGGCTTATTGGAGTCGCGATGCTGTGCGGATTGCGAGGATGGACGCGCTTCTCACTCGGAAGCTGGAAGGAGATTCAGCGGCGGCTGGACCCCCGGCTGTCTATCCGATCGGGAACGTCAGTCAGACAAGACCCGTCACAGCGCACACGCCACGCCTCACGCTTACGCCTACGCTCACACTCACACCCACACTCGCGCTCAATGTCTATACATACCCAGACATTGAGCGAGCTTCTTGTTTGAGCTGTGAGTTAAAAGAGTCTGTAGTGTGTCGACACCAGAGAGGTAACATGGCCTGTTGAAACTGTGTGAATGTTCCTGCATGGAATGTGGGTCCACGTTAGTCTGCAGTAACTGTGATACAAGTACTATGTACCGGTACAATACTGCGTCATACTGCGCCACATGTGCACACATTACCAACGGGGCGTAAGTATCGCTTCAAATTCTTCAGCCGGGTGAGATGAAATAATACCACAACAATGGCCTCGACAACCTCACCACCCGAAATGGCCAGAGTGCAGCTGCCGCCCAGTCCTCCACCGTCACCACAAGTGACGAGACGCAGACCTGAGAGGAAGAAGAAGAAGGCTGATCCCTTTGAAGAACTGGCCTTGACACCCCTGCCATCTCGACCCTCAACAGCGGAAAACTTACCTGGGCAAGAGGACGAGTCCATGCTTGCCACCGTACGCTAAGCCCAAGGATCACGTAGACTAGACAGAGTACAGGCCTAGGCTAACGTTTCAAGATCATACTCACACCAATCCTCTTCGTCTCCTTCGTCGTCTCGCTCTTCTGGGTAAATCGTCGCAACCGAGCACGACGTAGTCAAGCACATACAACGCATTCGTCTCTTCTTTCTTCCCTGGCACCGTCCACCTGGCTTGATCCAGAACCATATCAAGATCCTACCGACTCGACATGGGGGCAAAGAGGAGACGCACCGGGGCATCCTGAGTCATATGATGCGTTAAGCCAGCCGAAAGGGGCAGGCGGGCAGAGTCAGGAGAACAACAATAATAACACCAAAAAGAAGAAGAAGAAGTCGTGGCATCTCAACAAAAAGATTAGGAAGGTGGCTAAGCTGGAGGTCAGCGATGCATTCGAGATGCGCGGGCGTGTCATGGCGATGGTCCTATTCCTCATGCTACTTGTCGCTGTGGCCATCTGGACGGTTTTGAAGTGGATTGTCTTGTCCATGTCGAATATGATAGCCGCTGTCAGATCATGAAGAAAGGGAGCTCCACCGAGATGAAAGCTATATGATCTAATGGGTTATATTTTGGATTCAACATCAAAGGCAAATTGTGTCGAAGTGGGGATACAGGCAAAGAAATGGGCTATACTATTGTGCCTGGACATGAAATCGGTAAGACTGACGACATGACGAGATCCATGGGGAAATGGATGAATGATATCACGATGTAAATCTGCTTTATGTTAGTGAGACGATATGACGGCCGAAGAAATCTCTTTGAAAGAATGCAAAACATACTACAACATATGACCATGTGAACTCGTCTATCATGACCTAAAAGGAAAATTGGTTCGACTTCTGTCAATCTGTACCTTCGATGCAGAAAAACACGGCAGGACTGCTTGCGGAAGGAAACTCTACAAGACCACCCATACTTCACTCAATGTGCGCCATCAAAGCAGCATTATAACTCCTTCATTCGACGAGTAGAAAGCCAAAGGAAAGTTTCTTGATTACTCAATAAGTCATTGTAGCTGCAGTACCCACAACATCTACCTTTCAGTAGCCACTTCACCATCAAATCAAGCTCACCAGCACGAACCAACGTCGCACCTATATACACCCAAACATAATACCCATACGTAGTCTCCTCCACTCAGTCCACCTCCATCTCCATCTTGTCGTCCTCCTCCTCAGCCCGCCCAAGTTCCACCTTTGCCCTCGGCACATGCCTCCTCTTGAACCTATCCTTGTGCCGCCTTTTGCTTTCAGTCCTAAACCCCGCCGCCATGGCCTTGTCCTTAGCCGGAGACCCCGTAGCCGCAACACTCAACGCACCGCCACTCGCCCGCTTTGCAACCGCTTGCTTGGCTCGACGCTTCTCTTCCACATACTGCCTGCACACCCAATTTTCATTGATCATATCAATGTTTTCGCTCTGTGTGGTATCATGTACGGACCAGAAATCCTTGTATTCGGCAGCCGGCAGTAAAGCAACGAATTGCTCGCGCTGCTTGTCAGTCCAACACTTCTGCTCGTGCCCAATGGCGGCCGCAACAACGAGTTGCTGAATGACGCTGTCTTCGTCGGCGCAGATGCGTGTGCTGGATCCTGGGGCGGCGAAGACTGCGTCAACAGTCTCTTTCAGGACGGAGGGGTCGCGACCGCGTTGGCGGATCAGCAAATCGGTGAGTTTGGCGTAGGCGGCAGATTTGAGAGAGGGGTATTGCAGGTCTTCGCCTAGGTGGTATATGTGCAGGTGGAATATACAGTCTTGTATGCCGGCTAGGGCGATCATGGCAGGTGTTGGTGGTTCTATGGGTGGGATGAAAGTGGCGTTGTGGAAGGTGAAGTTCTGAGCCGAGAGTTTTGTTATAGGCTTCGCCCTCGAGGTACTGATCGTGTAGTCTGACGTATATACTGTGTGAAAGAATTGCTAATTAGTATATCTCCTAATATGAACGTTTGAGAGAGTTTGGCGTACTAAAGTTCACAATGCGGTCCATGAGGATGGGGTGAAAGTGAGGTGGCAGAATCACATGCTTTGGCGGGTCTGAACGTAGTGCCTTGGGTAGATCAGTACTGCTCTAGTCTGAGATGCAACAGCACCGGTGAGAGCACCCTACATCACTAGAGAAGAGTTCGTCCTGGAGCGTCTTTGCTCCACCGATCAGCATAGTGGAGTGAACCTTGAACTCCACGCCAGCAGCCGTGATCAGGTTGAAGTCGCGACCGATCGTTGTCTTGAGTAGAAAGTCCACATGTCTGTTTTGCGTTAGGTACTGTGTGTTCAGAGCGGATTGATTGCACGTACGCTGTCCTCAACTTCTCTACTGTGGTTGGGCGCTCCCAGCCTTTCTTAAATACGCCCAGGAGAAGGTTACGGGCACTACAAGGGTGCGGCTTAGGCGTAGAAAGGGAAGCATCTTCGCGCTGAATTCGGCGCACAGCTCGTTCGGGCGTCGAATTAGTGATGACAGCTGTGTCAACTGAATCGTCCGTCGCGAAGATCGGGCCAGGTGTGGAGATTCTGATGTTGCGGAACACAGTCGTCAGTCTACCTGGGCTGTCCATTGTAGCAAGCAAAGTGACGAGCAAGCTGATGACTGTGTAATCGCACAAAAGAAAACGAAAAGAAATAGAGGACAAGAGGGACGGCGACTAGGCGACGAGCAGGCAATTGATGATTGTGTGATCATACGACAGAAAACGAAAAGAAACAGGGGACAATGAGAGGCGGCGAATGAGCGATAAACCGAATTTTATGCGTTTGCATGTTGATATTCAGGGTCCAAGATCAATAGCGGGCCAGCGGCCAGGTGAAGATGAAGCAGACAAGAGCAGCACAAAAGAACACCACATCAGCAGCTACGTTACTCGTACAATCATCATGTTCAGCACCCCAACTTTTAGAATGTCGGCCTCGTCCTCTCGCCTTTCCAGAAGCCCATTACCTCTCCAGTCTCTCCTACCCACTCCTTTACACCTGTTACAACGGCCTTGGCCATGCCCGCGTTCGTGCCGCTCCTCGCCCTCCGTTTGCTCTCCATGGCGCCTCCAGGTCCAGCTCCAACACCGCCACCATAGCTCACCGATGGTACACCTGGACTGATGTAGCTGCTGCCCTCCCCAGTCGCGTATTCGGAGCCCATGGATGGCAGAACGTTCTCACCGGCAGACAAGGATACGAAGAGGGCGAAGGGGACAAGCCAGACACATAGGCCAAAATATGATGCGATCTCGGTGAAGGTAGGAATGTTGTTGTTGTGTGCATAGGGGTTATATGGCGAACTCGGAGGGGGAGTACTAAAGTGGCGAAACCAAAGGTAGTGGTTTGCAATGACGAGGGCTACGTATAGTCAGTATGTTGTGCAGGGATGCTGATGGAAGCAGAGGATGTTATCATACCACACGATAGTAAGAACAGCGGATCCGTCAGCTTTACCACTGGAAAGCGTCTCAGATTCTGCGCGTAGATGCCATGCGACACCACGCTGAGTACGCTCAATCCAATGGGGAAGCGGTCGACGACCACCAACAGCACCTGCAGAGCAACAACACCATAGATCAAGCGGTACAGTAGCTTCTTTGCAAATACGGTGTGTTCTTCCACGAGCTCAGAGAGATAGTACAGTCCCGAGGCTACATTGCAGCGTCAGTGCTTGTTCTCACACCTGTAGTATGTTGGGTAGGAGAGCGCAGAGGCATTGTACCTATAGCCAGCGTCAGGAAGGCAAACCCCAGCGCTACGCCAATGTATCCAAGAAGCGGCAATATCCACATGGTCTTTACTTGACGCTTCAACCGTGATGGGCTCTGGACTCTGCGCGATGAGGTCAGTTCCAAGGTGGTTTCAGGGTCGGAAAAAGGAGAGGCCGGCCGGCCGAGGGGTGGGCTGCGACAGGGCTCTTGCTTACCTAGGCATCCCGCCAGGCTAACAAGTGTGCGGGGTGGGTTGAACACCAAAAAAGTTGTCGCATCGGTTCAAGTCTTGGCTCTTGATTTGATATTCGTTCGCCGATACAAAAATTCACGTTTCCTGCAACTATTCGACACAACATTCTGATGATCATAGTCGCACCATTGACATATTATACCTCGTCCCAATTTGTCACATAAATCACACTACGAGTGAACCGCCATCATGTCGCGCCCCGAAGACATACTGTGCGCACTTCCACCACCCTCATTGCTCGCCCACCTAATACTAATAACACTATAACCCCAGACCACCCGACCTCTTCTATAATGACTCCGAGTCCCGAAAATATACGACCTCCTCTCGTATCCAGAAAATCCAATCCGACATGACCCACCGGGCCCTCTCCCTACTCTCTCTCACCGGGCCCTCCCTCATCCTCGACGTCGGCTGCGGCTCGGGGCTCTCAGGCGAAATCCTCTCAAATGATGCATCCCAAGGCACACCAGGCGGTCCCCACATTTGGGTTGGCTTTGACATATCTGCCAGCATGCTGGGCGTGGCGCTGGAGAAAGAGGTGGAGGGGGACTTGCTGCTCGCCGATGCAGGACAGGGTGTACCGTTTCGCCCGGGTACGTTTGATGCGGCAATTAGTATTAGTGCGGTACAGTGGTTGTGTAATGCAGAGACGAGCGAAGAGTCACCTGCTGGGCGGTTGTCGAGGTTCTTTAATCAATTGTATGCAAGTTTGAAGAGAGGTGGCAGGGCAGTGTGTCAGTTTTACCCAAAGAATGATGAGCAGAAGAAGATGGTGTCGCAGGCAGCGATCAAGGCGGGGTTTGGCGCGGGTCTCCTGGAGGATGACATGGGCACAAAGAATGCGAAGACGTACCTGGTGCTCACCGTGGGTGGCGGGGCCCTGGATGGAGATATCACGGGTGTTGTGCGAGGCATGGATGGCGTGGATGTCATGGATGCACGGAGAAAGGCAAAAGGTATGAAGCGGGGAGAGGAGAAGAAGGGGAGCAAGGCGTGGATCTTGAAGAAGAAAGAGCAGATGGAGAAGCAGGGCAAAGTAGTCAAGGCTTCGTCAAAGTACACCGGTCGCAAGAGGAGGATACAATTTTAGATATACCCACGACATCATGATATTATGCATAGCGAGGCGTTCTGTTCAGGCTTGGTTCGAGAGGGTATAAGAATATCGATTCGATCATGCAACATGCTATATACCACCTACACGTACAGCTCTATTCACATGTGGCCATCTTAGTGTACAGGTGCAAAGCCGCCATTCATCAAGAAAATCCCATGTCCATATTACTGCGCAAACCGAAGCCTTGCCAACGGAACCGGAGCAATGCGGCAATATCGCACTATATGAGAGCTTAGCAGATTGAATACGACGATACTCCTCTATGCCTTCTCCATTTGGTTCAGAACTGCACGAGTGAACTCGTTGGTGGTGGTGTTGCCTCCCATATCACGAGTGCGAACACTAGAAACTCGTTAGTTGCATATCGCAATGTCTGGATCTTCTTCAACTCACCCATCAGCAATAACCTTGTAGACGGACTGCGAAATGCGGTTGGCGTGGTCGTCAAGCCCAATGTGTCGCAGCATCATAGCAGCAGACAGGATCAGTGCAGTCGGGTTGGCCTGGTCCTTGCCCTTGATGTCGAGACCGACGTGACGGCATCCAGGCTCAAAGACGGCGACGTTGCGACCCATGTTGCATCCAGGAACGATACCGGGACCACCAACAAGGCCAGCACCAATGTTGGAGAGGATACCTCCGTACAAGTTGGGCATGACCATGACGTCGAACTGCTGTGGTCTGGATACACACTGCATAGAGGCGTTGTCGACAATCATGTCCTCAACATCGAGGGATGGGTAGTCCTCGGCAACCTTCTTGAAGGTGTTGCGGAAGAGACCATCGGCAAGCTTCATAATGTTGGCCTTGTGGATGCAGGTAACCTTTTGGCGATTGTTGGCGAGGGCGAAAGCGAAAGCGAACTTGGCAATTCGCTCCGACTTCTCACGGGTGATAATTTTGAGCGACTCAACAACGCCGCTAACCGACTGGTGTTCGAGACCAGAGTACTCGCCCTCAGTGTTCTCACGGATGATGCAGAAGTCGACATTCTTGTGGCGCGTCTCGTATCCCGGGATGTTCTTGAGGAGGACAATGGAAGCGTAGATGTCGAGTTCTTGGCGGAGGGCAACGTTGAAAGAGCGATGTCCAGAGCGCTCAACGGGCGTGTGTAAGATACCCTTGAGACCAAGCTTGTTGCGCTTCAGCGAGGCAATCGACTCGCGGAGGAGCTCTTCGGAGTTGACGTTGCCCGAGTCGACACCGGATACATTGACCTGCTCCCACTCCACGGGCACGTTGTCTGCCTTGAAGATCTCCTTGACCGACTCGGAGACTTCCGCACCGATACCGTCACCTGCAAAAATGTTCAATAGGCTGTCCTGAGCGTGTCTATGGGCGGATTTCGCAGCCTACCAGGAATGAGGGTAACGGTGTATTTGCCGCCGAACTTGGTGGGCTTGAAGATGTCCTTGTTGACTGTGGCCATTGCTGCAAACAAGTCAACTCCTACGTCATCATGCGAGCTATGTGCGCTTTCGTACTTCGTGCAGCCATCGACGGGCGGCCATATCGCGATGCTGGCTGAGCGCCCCGCAGAAGCGTCTGTGTCGGCGCATTAGCATTAACCCCTCCTCACTGCGCATACAATCGCCACGCCAATTGGGGATATAATCGAGTGACCGTACCTGCGCCGTTCTTTGAGAGCTCCTCGACAACATGGTGGGTCGCGGCGGGCGTGCGGGCTGGTGGTGAGGGTTTTGAGGTGGAAGAACGAGCTCAGGCTCTACCTAGGTAAACGCCGAAAATGCATCCTTGCCAAGCGAATGACGCCCGCCTTCTTGCCGCGGCCTTCTTACTGTCTCTTCAACATCATCTATATCGAACAGACTCTGCCTTTGATCTTGTTATGGGCACTATCTACACATCTTCTACATCTTTTACTATATTGGGACCGTTTTTGTAGGCTGCGCAGCCTGGCGTCACGCTACAACGGTGCTGCCATGTTGCTAGTTGATGATTGATCGGCATGTGATCGTGACAAAGGGAGGAGACTGGAGCATGAAATGCATACACTCAACTTCCTGCGATGACATATCCAATTCTTACATAGAACAGGTAATTTAACTATCAATTCTGCCTCTTTTGTGCCATGAGACGTAGAAACGACGATAGGTGCACTATTTTGTGCTGTCATGAAAGTTGGTTCGAAAGGCCCAAGTGGCTCACCTTCACTTACCCTAACCTTCACTGCGCCTTCACCTTATAATTGCCATTACTTATGCTTGACCTCGCCGACGCCTACTAGATTACAGATTTGTTCCAACACAATTTCGTAGCCTGCAACTTCCACTTCAGATTCTATCATTGACTACCAAAGTCTGTTTCCACCATGAAGGTTGCTGAGAAAGCAACGGATCGAACCGCATACGTGCACATCTATGTAGAGGGCAAAATGGAACCAGTTGGTGAATATGGAGAATATGTCGATCCAGCAGACAACGCCATTTGCTGTTACGTTCCTCTCGAAAAAGGACAAGTGATCAGGATCGGTGGGAAGTTCTCAGGCACTGTAAACATGCACCTGCTTTGGCATTTATCACGCTGAATTATCATCTGTAGACCCTAGCAATCGCCTACGACACTCTAGTGGACGGAGTATGTCGCAAAACTACTTCATCGGCTGCTAAGACGGTCCATTGTCAGAAGAACAAAAAGCTCGACGCCGCAACTTTTCTGCATAAGGCTCAAAGCGGTACAGTTGATGCAAAGATGATCGTCGCACCCCTCGCAAATTACAAATTGTCGCAATGGCAAGAGACGGAGACCATTGGAACAATGGAACTACGTCTTTACATCACTCGACAGCTTGGTGTCACTCACAGGGTCAAGAATATGAACATGTATTACATTGCGGACACTCGATTTGCAGATACCACCGAAACGAGTGTGTTATACAACCAGATTGCCCCAAGTTTCCAAATGGCGTTCGAACAAGATACGGTGGTTTTGGACGGACAGAAAGCATTGCGTGAGCAACGCAAGATGGACTCAGTTCGCCCAGGGAATGAGGCCTGGGCAATCTTCCGATTCCATTATCGCTGTCTAAGTACGCTTTCCTCAGATCCGCATCACTCCTACTAATCATGTTAAAGATGCAATCACCAAGCATGGTTTTCAGATGAACTTCGACCCAAGGAGAAAGGAATCTGAGTGTCGCAACCTTGTGCTTGATCCCGTGCCTCCCCTTGTTCCTGGTGGCAAGGCTCCTAAAGATGATTGGGACACATTGACACTATGCTCCTCCCCTACGCCTTCTGAGGCACCTCTCACTCCGATCAAAAGCTTTCACAAAGGGTCAACTATTGAGGTAAGAGAACTTCGTCTTTCATTCCGCGTTCTGTATGCTTTGATCATGCAATTTGATACATACTACATTACGCCACTTATGCTAAGTTCAACATAAAAGTCTCCAATAACCGCTATTGAACGACCGTTGAAGCTAAGATCGAACACGGAACTTGCATTTGGCATAGACACTGTAGCCTTGCAAGACCAAAACATTAGCAAAGAGCTAGAGAAGAACGAGGATGGGTATAGCGTCATATCCGTGGTCGCTGCCGATGGCGACAGAGTCAATGGCCCTCAATTAACCAAACCACCGGCTCGCAATGCCGACTTGTCCGGTCTAGACCAAACAACGACAGAGTTCACCAAAATCTCAAGTCAAAGCCAAAGCACTGGCAGCGACACGGTCATGGTGGCTATGCCCAATCTGAAGACTAATGATGCTTTGTGCAAGTCAAAGGAAACCAATCTGCGGACATCTACTGTGAGGCCCATGAACGACACTACAGTTATGATCGAGACTTCCATCCAGGATACTATCAAATCAAATTTGCAGCCATTCTCCAAGTCGACTAAACAACCTAATATTAACCCTACACTTGGTGCTATAGACACCATCACGACCATGCAGAAGGCGATGTACGCGCTTTCAACGCCCATCATTCCGGCCAAGCGCCCCGCTCCCATATATACCCCTTGCACAGTCGAATCCAAGCGCACAGATTTCCGCACCGAGCACCCCAAAGTTACACAGGTCGGAACGCCAGGTGGCTCTGCCAGCCCGAAGCCCCTGTCCATCGAACGCCAGATGACTGAGCAACGCAAAAAGCTCCAAAGCCTGCGTAAGAAACGCGCGGAAATGGCTGAGAAGCAGAGAATAATCGATATGCAAATGGAACCGTACAAGAAACGCATGGCGGAAGAGCTGGAGCGTCTAAATGCGGATATGATGGACGAGGAATTGGCTTTCACAGAAGAACACGATCATTTTGCTGCTAGTTTGGAGATGTTGAAGGAGTTCAAGCAGGCTGAAAGTGGCAAATAAGAGATTGCTGGCGATGATGTTGGGCCATGTTGGATGCTCGGGAGGTTAGTACTTGGATGAGTTCAAGTGAATACAAATTTTGGATCGGCTTTGGCAGATCGACGGGATCATGGTCGTGCGATCTTGATATGAATGTGGCACTTCAGGTATTACTGCAGAAATGTCTCGTAGTCAGTCACCTCAGACCTCAGGGCGTTTCAGGATACGGCAAAGACAGTTAGGATGCCTGGCGTGACGGATTGAAGCAAGGACTTGCGGCGACCTGTTTCCCTTGGATGGACTTTGTGGATGACATTGTTTCCATGAGCGAGGCTACTTATGGTGCACTAGTGATCATAGGATGATCGAAAAAAATTATTGGCACTGCAACTCCGTCATTCATTCTCCGTGAGTATGGTTCCGACCGCGTCAACTTGCTTGAAGTGCACCATTTGAGCTATTCAAAAGGATGGGTAGAATGGGTATCAAAATTATTGCCAAATCGATCGTCATGTTCTGCACGATGGGGATCTATTGTCCGGGTGTCCTCTCGCTGACTACTCTCATGTTTGCCTTGACGCGTTCCAAAAGCTCAGCCGTTGTAGCAAGAGGTGAGGGATGTAGGCTCCTCTGATGTCATTGTCAGAATATTAGAACCTGACCTTGGATAGCCAGCCATCAACCGCCTTCTAATTGCAGCCTTCCCATGGGCAGAATAGAGAGACTACGATGAGTGTTTTTACTTACATGTTTGAGCCAAGTAACACACTGCTCGTGGGTCCATGTCTCTGGGTCTGTGTGTCTAAATCAGCCAGATTGTATAGGAAAATGCCGGGAAAGAATCAGGACGAGATGGTGACGTACCTCCAGTAGGGTCTGAGCTGGGAAAAATGTCCTGGCCCCAAATGCTCCATGCTGCGACACCAGCAACGATGGCAGCAAATGCGAAGAAAGGACCCTATGAAGTCATGAGTATATTTGTAAAATGCGGGTTAACTTTGCGTCGTTGTGCAACTACCGGATACTTACACGTTGAGCCGTAGCACGATCGAGAGGGGTAGGCATGTTCAAGGAATATCTGGGGAAGTATTTTAGAAATGAAGAGCTTAGGATTCAATATAGGAAGAAGAAACTGTGTTCAGTCTTCCAAATTCAAGACCATCAAGGCAACAACCCTTGAGGTTGCAACGACACCCAGACTCGCGCCACACAGACACACAGACACTGTCACCCGCACCATCCCTATGCGGCAACGCTTCTGCAGCCCCTTCGCGGCCCGTGCTTAGCGAGCGTTCCACTCCACAACGCCTGGTCCAAATTATTACGAACTTCACGATCCTGCTAATTCCGTAACGACTCGTCAAACACACAGCCGTCAAGATGCCTTCCGAAGTCTCCGATATCAAGCAGTTCATCGAGATCTGCAGGCGCAAGGATGCCAGCTGTACGTTTTCCTGGACCTTCATGCCGTCGCAATCATAAGAGGAGGGAATGGATTTAGAGATGGGAGGCGCACGAGGCGATGTGTGGCCACGAGCGATTGCGACGGAATGGCCATGATACATCTGGATCGAGCTGGACTGACCGTTTTCTAGCTGCCCGCATAAAGAAGAACAAGAAGGTCAACAACATCAAGTTCAAGGTCCGATGCTCGAAGAACGTATACACCCTCGTTCTTAAGGACACCGACAAGGCTGAGAAGCTCAAGCAGAGCCTGCCTCCGGGTATGCACGCTTTCCATGTTTTCCGCATCTTGCGCATGTTCTAATACCGCTTTTAGGTCTTGCCATCTCCGATGTTGGCAAGAAGAACCCCAAGGGAAGGCACGCTGCCGTTTAAACGGATCATGATGATTGAGGAGCTTGGAGCATGAATGGCAAGAAGAACCCAACGCACGATGCGTATGAAGCCGATGGTATTGGCGGACGGCGTCATAACGGATAACCTTTGTTCGATGGCATTGCGGAACCCCTCTCATAATGGGTTACCACCAGGAATGAAAAAATGTCAAACACCATTTCAAACACCACAAGCCTTTACGATGCATAATGGGGCACTGTTCTGATGACTTATAACTGAATTGGGACATAGAGACTAGCGTTTATTGAATTCTCCGGCCTTGTTGCACGTTGAACTTGAATTGATCTTTGCGATCTAGGTATACGACCTTTTCGTCCAGGCCTGCTTCACGTACTGCTTTCTTGAAATCTTCCAGCGGACTCAGAAAGACATCGTAATCGTCGTAGTGGATTGGAATTGTGAGATCAGGATTGATGAGTTGCATCATCTGCACGCCTTGCTTCGCGTCCATGGTAACCATGAGTAAAGGTAACTTGGGGCCCGGGATCGTCGTTCCACCGAGATGGATCAACATTAGATCGATGTTACGGTCCTTGTAGCGCTCTGGTATCTCTTTCAGTTCGTCGACCATCAACGTATCTCCCGAGATGTAGATCCGGTAACCGTTCTCGAAGCTGTCCGGCGAAGACGAGTTCGAGTAACCCAGCTCAATCATCCACCCATTGGTTGGTGGTACCGCGCCGAGCACATCATTTGCAACAGCCAGTGCACCGTCTGGAACATGCTTTCCTGGCATACCTGTGACTTTGATACTAGGCTTTAAACTACTGCCATATGTCTTGCTAGCTGATGCCACGTCCAGAATCAGACTCTCCCAGAAATCAAGAGCATGAACACTAGTGAATGATTCATCCCCCTTGTTCGTCAAGCACTCCTTCGCATGAGGCGTCGTGACAATTGGAATATTCTTTGTCAATTTCTCCTCCACCTCCTTATCAAAGTGGTCTTCATGGTAGTGTGACAGTAAAATAACGTCGATCCTTGGTAGTTCCTCCAAGTCGATTGCAGGATCTGTTCGTCTTGTTGAACTCACGCCTGGCCCTAGGTGGACATGGTCACCAGCGTGAAGGAAGTTGGGGTCTGTTAGGATACGCAAGCCCTCCCATTCTAGGATGGTGGTTGCGGTTCCGACGAAGAAGAGCGAGGCGTTGGTGTCGGATGATTGGGCGTTGCTGGGGTGGATTTTGGTTTCTTTGGCAGAGGGGAGGGAGTCAGGAACGGGTATGTTGAGCTTTGTGGGAGGGACAGAGGTGTTTGGGGTTATTTGGATGCGCTTCATGGTCATGACGAGTTGGATGTGTGGTGGGATTTGTTCACTAAACGGAGACGTTTTGAGAACACAGAACGAATATGGTCAGAACTTGAAAGAGTTGTAAGTTCACGTCTCGAAGTTGAACGTTATGTTATATGGGCATATTATGTTAGTGACGACACAACGCCGTAATGACAAAGTGCAACAGGATGCTTGGTGATCCATCGACAGCCCGTGTTCATCGGAACGTCCCGCTTAATTGTCTGCCATTTTCGTTGAGATTAACTGAAAAAGACCAGCCATCTCAAGCCGTTCGTGACAATGCGTGTGTTCACCACAAGCCAAGAGTTGAAGACTGGTGGGTAGGTTGCGTGAAGAGGCGCTGGCCAGGTAAAGTGGAGCACTCCCGTGTCCTCCGCGTGGCTGACAGGGACAGGCTGGACCCCTGTTTCGCCAAGCCATCAGCAAAGGGAGAGGAACGAACACCTGGCGTATGGGTAAGAAGAACGCTGGCAATCACCATTTCCAAATGATGGATAAGTTGGACGGACGATGTCTTTTGCCAGGAAGCTTTTAGAGGCGCAAAATTAAACCCAATCAGCCTCAAAATCCAGAATCTTGGAGTCGCACACGCCCAAGGCTTTCCAGGGCCGTCCAGAGTCGTCCAATGAACTCAACACGCGACCCGTTCAACATCCGCGGAAAAACATCACCATCCGCATTCTCTCTCATCCAAAACGCTGCCTCTCACACCGCCTCTAGAGCCCTTGAGTCCTCGGTCAAAGCAGTCGAGGCTACAAAACAGGCGATCCAGGACTCCGACATGTCCTTCGCCGTCCCGCGCAACGTACCGAACTTTGAGAGTGCGCAGCGTCGCTTTGAAGATAATGTCTGGAATAAAGTCACGGGGAAAGAGAAAGGCCTACCAATGTACAAGGACAAACCCAATGGCTATGGATATGGAGGCGGGGCAAGGGGGCGCAGGAGCTTCGTAAAGAGCAAGGGAGGGATGGGAATGATCGCATTGGTACTCCTCGGACTATTATACTGGTTTGGGTGGTCAGGAGGTTCAAGTGCAAGCCTAGAGGGCGAATACCAAGACGGCAAGACCAATTGGGGGGCGGTTGTAGGAGGCCAGATAGGAGTGAAGAAGGGCAAAGTGAACTGGGAGAAGAGGAGACAGGCCGTCAAAGATGCTTTCCTGCTGAGCTGGAATGCATATGAGGAGCATGGTTGGGGCTATGACGAGTACCACCCTGTTTCGAAGAGCGGTCGATACATGGCACAACCAAACGGAATGGGCTGGATCATTGTCGATGCCCTGGATACCTTGATGATCATGAACCTCACCAAGGAACTCAACCACGCGCGCGAGTGGATATCGACAAATCTGGACTACGAAAAAAACCAAGATGTAAACACCTTTGAAACAACAATACGAATGCTCGGTGGTCTCTTGTCAGCACACTATCTCCAGGACACACTCCCAGGACTCAAGCCCGAGAAAGCCAACGAAGAAGACTTGTTCCTTGAAAAGGCCACCGATCTAGCAGATCGCATCCTCGGAGCCTTTGAGTCCCCCTCCGGCGTCCCTTGGGCCAGTGTCATCCTCAAAGATGGTAAAGGCCAAGCCTCGCACGCCGACGGCGGGGCCTCGTCAACCGCCGAAGCTACCACTCTTCAGCTCGAACTGAAGTACCTCGCCTACCTGACTGGCGAAGCACATTACTGGGAAAAAGCAGAAAAGGTAATGCAAGTAGTGGACAACAACGGCGCCAAAGACGGACTCCTTCCCATCTTCATTTACGCCAATACGGGCACCTTCCGCGGCTCTGAGATCCGCTGGGGCAGTCGTGGCGACAGCTACTACGAGTACCTCATCAAGCAGTACCTACAGACATCCAAACAAGAGCCCGTGTATCTGGACATGTGGAAAGAATCCCTCAACGGCGCAAAGAAGCATCTCCTCACCTACACGAAACACAGCCACTTCACCGTCCTCGCAGAACGTCCGGACGGGATAGAAGGCCGTCTCCACCCCAAAATGGACCACCTAGTCTGCTTCCTCCCCGGCACCATCGCCCTCGCCGCCACCGGCGGCGCAACCCTCGCCCAAGCCAAGAAACAGCCCGACTGGGGTAAACAGCAGGAAGAAGACATGCAACTCGCGCGCGAACTCGCAAAGACCTGCATGGGCATGTACAAAGTCACCGCCACCGGCCTCGCCCCTGAAATCGCCCACTTTGAACTCGACGACCCGCCCAAAATGTACCGCACCGAGATCCGGGCCTCTACCTCCGATCTTGATACCCAGGTCCCCGACGGCGAGGGCTGGAAGTCGGATTTTGTAATCAAGCCTGCTGATGCGCATAACTTGCAGCGCCCGGAGACGGTCGAGTCGCTGCTGTATATGTGGCGCATCACTGGGGACGATGTGTATCGTGAGTGGGGGTGGGATATGTTTCAGTCGTTTGTCAACTATACCATGGTCGAAGGGGGTGGGGGGTTCACTTCCATTGGTGATGTACGTACCATTCCGCCGCCGCAGCGCGACAACATGGAGAGTTTTTGGCTGGTACGTGCTTTTTTCTTCTTACTTTCCCCTTTACCTTACACATCCTGGACTTTTTTTCCCTGCGATTCCCCTGCTTTCTCTGTCCAAGCTTCGACGGGTACTAATGCGTCATGACACAGGCCGAAACACTCAAATACATGTACCTCCTCTTCGGTCCGGACGATGTCCTGCCGCTTGACCAGATCGTGCTGAATACCGAGGCCCATCCGTTCCCGAGATTCGATGCGAGCAGGAAGAGGTTTAAGACGGGGTGGGAGAGGTTACCTAGGGATGCAAAGGGGAATCTTATTCAGACTGCAGCTGCGGCTTCGACTGGGGCTACACCGCCGCATTAGATGGAGGGCCGAGCCGAGCTAGGAATGTATTGCTCTTGAACTACATCATATTCTTTTAATATAGCATCTCAGGCGTTGTAGGGCTATGTGCGCTGGGCTTCTGCTTGTATGTAGCAAAAGCTTGCCTTGTTGGGGGGATTAGATGCATAATATTTGGGACGGGAGCCATGTTCAGTTTGTATAGCCTTTTGATCTATATTGTAGCTCCATTCGGTCTTCTTGCTTGATGTCGTTATTTACATAGAGTGCGTAAACTCGTATCTCATCTAATCATGAAGTTTTAGCCTCGGTTGCCGAGGCGATGCATTGCCCGCTTCATCTTTGCCAAGGTTGGTTTTTTAAAGGCTGTGTTGGAATTTGATCTATTGCTCCAATGCTCATGAGCTGGGAAGTACGGTGAAGGAAGCAGATCTCTTTGGGTAGCTAGGGGTCGTTCATGTAAATCTGCTTTATCGCAGGTTGCTGGTGCGGCTGTCCATACTTTGGCGAACACCCTGGGCATTTTCTGGCTGCTCGGCACCGATGCGCGGTGGGCTCTTGGATTGGGCAGACTTTGGACGCCAGGGTGAATGACTGCGACTACAGGACTTGATGAGCCACCCCGTCGATTTACGTCGCACCGGGGATTTGGAACTTACGATCGCCGCCTCTCGCCTTCTTTCTTCCTTTCCTCGATAATCTTGAGCATAGTCTTTCGCCCGTCTTTTGCATTGATATAGGCATCCCTCATACTCATGCTGACCTTCTTGCTAGCGTCTGCCCGCAAAAGTCTCTTCAGCAACAGATGTCTCATAAGCACACACACGAAAACGCCACAGTCGCTCCCATTCTCTTGCTGCGGACTGTCGTCCATAGGTATAAACCTCAATCTCTTTCCAAGCAGCTGCTCCATTTTCATCGTTGTGTTCCGGGCTTCCCGTGCATTTGATTGCGACATGGAGTCATAGTGAAACGATACACCGTCGATGATGGATACGAGGAGTAGCGACCAATGCGATCCTCCTTCTGCCTGTGTGACGTCCATGTTGTCATTTATGGGTAGGAAGACGTGTGTGGTGGTAGCGAAACTTGGAAGGACCTCTTTGAGCGTGAGAGGGTTGGCAGTCTGCATAAGCATGTAGGACATGGAAGGGCGGAGGAGGACGATAGAGGCTTTGGGAAAAGCGGTGAGCTCTTCGCGCTCGAGGAATCTGACAAGAGTTTTCAGTCTACAATCTTTCTGCAAGAAATCGTCAAACTGACTCTTGCCAGAATGCGATTGCCTATGAGTGTGGTCAGCCACGATTGCCCTTGTAGCATTTAAGACTGTTCTAATGCGCACATTGTCTGTAAGCCAGTCGTCCTTGATACTATCGACGTCTGCTCTCATGACTATATAGTCTTAGCTTTGCATTCATTGCTTATGTGCGCGGTACGAGCGCAAGTCAAAGGGTTTGGGCGAGGCATACACACCCCTCACATCATGATCTTGCACAACTGTCAGTCCTCGAGTCATATGCCGTGCACTGTCCAGCACTCACAAGATAGATAGGCCTCATCTGGAGGAGGATCACCTAGATGTCTCCTGCCTTTCTCTACCAGTCTGGAAAAGCCCATATCGTAGCAGGACAGTAGTCGATCTGGGAGGGTGTGCGGTGAAATCGCGCACACTGTTACGCTCGAGCTACTGTGCAAGCCGATGGCAATCAGAAAACGGGAAACGGGAAAAGGGAAAGAGTGGAGAAGAAGCAGAAACAGGATATGCAGGGCAGACGGTGGAGAACCGAGAATCGAGAGTGCCTGGTCTCGTCGACGGTGCGACGCGTTCCCAAACCGAGACTCGGAGTGGGCTGTCTGTGGGGAGCAGGGATGACGTCGGTCCACGCTTTACCCGATTGGTTGGTACGATGAGCGAAGTGTGGTGTTGTTATAGTATGTACCAATCCATAATCATGTCGATCAAAGACGAACCGGCGACCTTCATGGACAGTTCTTTGTTGGCTCATTACTTATCGGATGGAAATTTGGGGTGCTACATGTTTACAGTATGTAATTTTTTTTTAGAAAAAAAAACAATAACCCCCTGCTGCGCAAGTAGCGTCTAATGACCTTTCTATCTGTATAACTGGATCAATGCAACACGACAACAAAACCACTCATGGCAGTTGCCCGACTGTTTTAGCATCGCCATTCCCTTGTGTCTTGCCGAATTGCTCTGGCTTCTCGACCTTGAACAACCAATTCTTCTTGTCCTCAATCTTACCTTGCTGAATTCCCTTGAGCGTTGTGAGAAGCTTCGCGCATACAGGGCCCGGATCTTTCGCCGCGGCGGGGTAATGGAATTTGTCACCCTTGGATTCCAAATGAATTGACTTTATAGGGACAAGGGCAGCCGCTGTTCCAGCAGCCAGAACCTCGTCGAAGGATTTGAGCTCATCGTAGGCAATCTGTGGGTTGTCAGGACGCCGTTCGTAGCGCTTAAGTGGAGGACCGTACCTCTCGGGACTCGGTTTCCCAGCCAAAGGACTCCGCAATCTGAAGTACACTGTCTCCCGTGACACTCTTGATGATATTCTTGCTGCTGGATGCAACCAGCTTGATCTTTTCGCCGTCCTTCTTCACACCAATGAAGGCTGAAGTGGAGAATTCATCGACGACACTCCTAGTCTTGCTGTCGAGATGTAATGTGATACCGTATCCAGCTTTGTAGGCCTTCTCGCTGTGTCTCAGGACAGGTGCGTAGTTGCCGCCGACCTTTGCTGAGCCGGTGCCTTCGGGCGCGGCACGGTCAAAATCTTCAAGGATGAGTGCATCCACTGGTGCTGTGCCGTGGTAAACGCCGGTAGGGATGCAATACACCACGAAAGTGTACTCCTGGGGCGGATTCAAGCCCAACTGCGCGGAACTACCAAAGAGCAGGGGGCGAACGTACATGGCTCCACCTGTTTCATGAGGGGGCACATACGCCGCATTCATACCTACAGCCAGACTACAGCAAGCGAGGAAGTGATCTATAGGTACTTCTGGGATCGAAATGAATGAGGCCGAGTGCTGCATCCGCTCAGCGTTCTTCTGTGGCCGGAAGATGTTGATTGTGTTGTCTGGCGCACGGAATGCTTTCAACCCCTCGTAGCACTGCATACCGTAGTTCAGGCCTGGAGCCATGCCGTGAATCCGCAGGAAAGGATCCTCTACGAACGTGGGGGCCGACCACTCCCCTGTTTCCTTCGAATAGTGTGATTCTACATGGCCAGCCACTGTGAAGCGTCAGACTGAGCTCAGACTTCGTATTGTGCCTGATTATGCCATCAGACGCTTTATACTCTCTTTTCCCTTTCCCCTTGTTTCTCGGCGGGTATACACGTCCCACCTCTTCTACTCAAGGTGAAAACAGCAACAATATCTAACCTACCTTCTCGAATCTTGAATCCCATGTTATTCCAGTCTGTAGAAAGGTTGGTTAGCGGAAGCGTTTCCGAGGTTTCCGAATGAATGAGCAATTCGGGTAGACAAGTTGACATACCAATTGTGTTGACTGGTGGGGGTGGAAAGTCTGCCATGATTGTGATGGCTTTTCTTGAAGTAGCGCACGCAGGTGTTGTTAGGTGTTGTTGAGGTACGATCTATCTTTTGTGCGTCGCTGATTCAATGGCAAAGCCTTAAGTTTTAAAAGCTTAACGCCGTGCTGTGGAGCTCAGCTCCGAGAGCGATATCGGTGACGTCTCCCCGCCGATATCCTCCCGCAACCGTCACGAAATATTAGGCGAAAGACAAACATTTCCTGTTCACTCTACTCTCCGTCTCTCACTTGTATCTAGTATATGCGGCGTGAGCGGACTGCGACCATGGTTTTCTCTCAGCTGAGTTCAGCTTTGTCCCTGCAGACGACAGCTTTACCCGCAGTGGGCCAAACATGAGGTGACATTGGACAATCTCTCACACGAGCGATTGAGGCTTGGCATGACCTGAGGCATCTCGCGCCTCCAAAGTCTGTGCTGAGTACCAGACCTTGGACCACCAACACGACAGAACTATGGAAGTATTGCCTCGGCGCTGATATCCTCTTCTCCTTTACACTTGTAGCCTATTCAAATATGATTCGCATCACCACTTTCAAGGTTCCCCTTATCGCCGTTTTCGTGCTCGCCCTCTTCTCGTTCCTCTGCCTCGGCCCGTATAGAGAGACTTCAGGACACCTAGCATCAAAAGCGACGCTCTGGAAGTCTCGAGATCCTCCAAACCCGGCCCTGCTCAAGGGACACGCTATTGCGCCAAAGTTAGGCAACGCGACGGCCAAGTATGTCCACGAAACATCCTAGTCGAACCCTGGCCTGGACACGACGACAGCATAGCATGTGGACAAACAGCTGACTTTCTGGCAGGGCAGAGCTGGGTCGCGCCGCATGGAAAGTCCTACACACGACATTTGGTCGCTTTCCTGAAAAGCCCACAGAAGAGGAGCAGGAAGCGCTACGGTCATACGTATACCTGTTCCAGCGACTGTATCCTTGGTATGTCTCAGCCCATGCGGTGCTATGCACTTGTAGATCTGGAGTCATGCGCGAGCTGACCACTTCCTTAGTGGGGACTGCGCCGAACACTTTGGACAAGTCCTTGCCAAATACCCTCCTCAAGTATCGTCGCGAACGGCAGCCGCCATGTGGGGTTGCTATGTACACAACATTGTAAACAAAAGGTTGAAAAAGCCTGAATTCGACTGCAAGAACATTGGGGATGCATACGATTGTGGCTGCGGCGAGGACGAACCGGAAGCATCGGCTCAGAGTCCAGCTGCATGAACCTGGGGTAGATGGCGCTTACGCCAAAGCGACATGACGAGGTGCAGAGATGCTCCCTCGCAGGTGCAGATCAAGATAGATAGGATGGTCTCACTTGACGCCGTGTGTCTCTATCACTGTTGTGTATCAAGACACGAAACATGGAGGGGCTGTTGCGTCCTTTGCTCGATGTTCCGTTGTGTGGCGCGGTGAACTGTGCAAAGCTGGACAAAATGGCATGCGAAGCAGCTGTGTGCTAGGTACAAAGGATAGGTTATTTTGGCTTCAGCCGGTACAGTTTCCGCTTTGCGACTTTGTACCTCGCCGCAAGCCGCACCAGACGACAAAGCAGCGAGACTTGGGCGATTCTAGGTAGAGTAGTGACTAGTCTGACTTGACTTGTGCGGATGGGCCTGCTGATCGCGACACCTGCATGGCGGCGGGCGAGACAGGCCGTTGCTGTTGGGACGATGATGGGTTTGGCATGACGGAGACTGTTTACTTGCGACATGCCATGCGCACTCGTATCAGTAGAGGTCTAGCCGACCAGACAGTAGAAAACAAATGCTGCCATGTTGTTATGCGCGTGCAAAGGCATACACTACTACTGTGGCCGACTGGGCATGCGACAAAGCGCACCCAGGACCACTTTACTACATACTCTATACTCTACACTACCCTACCCACCCACATGCATGCATCCATTGAGAGAGGAGCACCACCAGTTCGTCGCCCCTGACCTCTCTTTCCCCGGCGCGTGGCTGGCGGGGGCTGCAAGGCGTGATGGGCCCCAAGTCGTAGTCGTGTGACTATTTTAGAATGTCGCCAAAACTGCGAGCCGCGAGCCGTGAACGCGCGTGGATACACACAATAGGTTGTCAGGCATTGCAGACTGCACGGTGATGTCAGGTTGCTAGGTAGATGTAGGCATAGATGTTGCTTGGTTTAGATCGTACAGCCGGCGCGGTTCCTCCACTTGGCGCTCTGTTGCTGTCAGGGCGGGCGCATTTTCCGAGTTAGCCCCTAACAACAGTGAAAAGTGAAAACGCATCCCTCACAAAGTGAAACATGTATCGATGCCATTAAGGCCCTTCACTCGCTGCTCCCCCTCACCGACTTCCCTCCTCTTCCCTTGACATTCGCCAGCACACACCGCCATTCTGCATATTCACTGCTTCCGACTGTGAGAAGAGAAGCAACTTGCTTTGGCCAGCACCAACCTAGCCATGGTATCCTTTTCTTGTGAGGTATGCTGTTTACACCCCCCCACCCACCACATGCCCAAAACGCCCAATGCCCAATACCGCACCCTGCAGCTCGCCAGGCGGGAACCGGCCCCCTTCTTGTTCCTCAACTCCCTCTGAATACTGACTGCGAACACTATAGAACTGTGGAGATGTCCTCACCAAAAAGAAACTAGACCCGCATCGCAATCAATGCCATGGCGCTTCATACACCTGCCTCGACTGCATGGTTCACTTCCCTGGCACCAGCTACAGGGCCCATACGGTAGGCGCCCCTCATTGTCTCTCACTTTTCTCTTACCGCAACCGCTGCTACACCTTCCTCCATGGTGGCTTGACCATAGTCCAGCATGTCGCTGTTCGCGCAAGAGTCGCGCGTCGAAAATTTTCGTACCTCCTCCTCATGGCACTAACACCGTTCGCTTGTAGGCTTGTATCACGGAAGATCAAAAGTACCAGGGCAAGCTTTACAAGGAGAAGAAGCCCAAGGGTCAACAGCAAAAGAACGATGACGCTTCCCGCAACAATTCCCAGGCTCTCACTGCCCACAACGCCCATGTCGAAGATGCCCCCAACGCAGATAATACGTTAGCTGTCGTGGATGCCCCTCCTCGCTGTCCCACCCCTCCTCCCGCGCCCTACTCGCTAGGCTATCACGAGCAAGCAAGCCTTCAAGCCCCGAATGTCTTTGATTTCTTCGAAGGTTCAGAGACTCCCGCTGCCCCGCGAACATACAGGCCTATGGATGAATCGCGCATGCTTGAGGACAGTGAGCCACCTGCGTACAGCCAACCAGCGGCAGGTAAGCAGGATCATGCGCCATCTGCCACCGACGCCATGGCCTACCAGGTCCAAGATGAGAACCAAGGCTTTGCGTACGGCAGCGAGCCTCTCCGTCCGTCAAACGAACGCTACGACTCGTACACGACTCCTGCTCCCAAGTCGAAGCACATGAGAACCAGGTCACGCGACACAGATGTGGAGACCACCAGCAAGAAGACTGATCGCAAGCGGAAGCGCAAGAGTTCACCCACCGAACTAGACTTGTCGCTTGTTCGCGCTCGCGAGCAAGGGGACACTACGATGTCGGATGCACCTCCCAGTTTCCACACTGGCCTCACTGGTGGACTGAACCGACTGCTTGCTCGCCCAGAGTTCCCGCCCTCACCAGATGACTCTGGCGAGTTCGCCAATTCACCCCTGAGCCCCATCAAACGTGCGAAACAAGGCGACTCAAAAGCTCTTTTACGCGCACAAAAGGATTGGGAGGTACAGCAACCAAAGCAACGCAAGACCGAAACGAAGGCGCGTGAGTCGGGCGAGAAGAAGGAGAAGAAGGAAAGGGGTCGTGAGCGCAACCGTGAGCGCATCGAGCGCAAGAACGGCACAGCTCTGGTAAAGATTAGGCCCAAGAAGAAGCGCGAAGAGTCTACGAAAGAGTCGCGTCGACAGCGCCGTCGACAATACTCTTCCTCTGTCTCGCCGCCACCGGACCGAGAGGCTGTCAAAGCCATCGAGTATCGCCCTTCTGGATCCGACTCGCCTGCACCCAATGTTGATGGTCAACTCATGGTTCGCCCCAACGGCGACCTTGCATCTATCGTGCCCGATGCTGACAGCCGAGCTGGCTTGTTCATGTCCTTCATCACCAAAGGACCTGACTCGGAGCGCGGGATAAGCATCAACAAGGCCTTGAAGAGATATCACCGTGAGCGCAGTGATCATCGTGAGCGGGTGCCCTCGAAGATGGATGAGGAGAAGGAGCTTTGGAAGGATCTGCGCCTGAGGAAGAATGAGAGGGGCGAGATTGTCCTCTTCTATGCTCCGCAAGAAACGTCCTGACTAGACGAGGATGGGGACATCATCCTCCGCATGCGAGGCTGGTCCTGTTCCGATCCGTCTCCAAGTCGAGAATTGCATGAGAGGGATGATACACGACAAAGTATAGCTGTTGGTATGCTGGTATGAACACATCTCGTAGCTTTTTTCCTTTGTGGTCGTTGCAGCCACTTCCCGCTTGTTTCACATCTTTCCTCTTATGGTTGATACCCGGCTTGATGTCCATGTTCTTTCGGGTTGGCTTGGGGTCTATGTTTCGCTGTATATGCTTGTGTCGATTCTGCACCAATGTATCTCTTTTGTGGTCATGTCTTGCTGTCAGCATATATAACTGCAACGTCCATTGTTGGTCTACGGTTCGCGTCTGGTGTCTCGTGGCCAGATTGGCTACCCTTGATGCTCCGGGGCTGGACTGGACCCGTTCCCGTCCTTTGGCGTTGGGCATGAATATGGATAATGGCATGACTACAATCTGTGCTCGACTGTGAGCTAGATGGAAGACTTTTTATGCGAGATGATGTGTACTGAACGCAATGATGATGGCTAGTCAAACTAGCAAACCTACTTTGCAACCTCGAGCGGATTCCGGATGTTGCCTCTGCCGTCAAGGGCCTCCTGTCGGGCACCTCCGTCGCAGGCTTGATGCAAGTTCTGACCAGTTTGAATGAGCGCAGGAAATGGCGCAGAGCCGCATGTTGGAGGAGAAAAGTGAAGCTCGCTAGGCACAGACGCCCTGGACGACGTACTAGAGGTACTGGGTAGGGTAGGACTCTCGGTTGTTTGGTAGCGTTGGTACTCTTAGCAAAGCGTCGCCTTTACGGGCCATCTGTGGGCGATGTGGCCATGCGATTAGGTAGTAGAGTGGTACCGGTAGAGTATGCGCCAGGCACTCTGTCAGGCTGCTTCGTGCTTGGCTTCACGGTATGCGGTCACAGAGCGCTGATCTTGGGTGGGGACCTCGCTTGCCCCAGTCTCTCGCGATCTGTGCTGTGCAAGGAGGCGCTGACCCAAGTGACGGGCAGGCGGCGGGATTCACCACCATTACCACCACCACCACCACCACCACCACAACCACAACAACAACGGCAACAGGGCGTCGGGAGATGATGTGTGGTTTGTGATGCTGCCGAGGTGGGTATATGTGGCTGCGCAATGGCGCAGCGCATGCGTGCAGACAGTCTGGAGAAGGCCCGCATGGCTTCACAACTACCGTGAGTACCGTACGGTACCGAAGCTAAGTGGATGAAGCGTGTCTTGACCATGCATCTCCCCATCCCCCCCATTCAATGACACCATGCTATGGGTTGTGGAATACCGGCAAACCTAGGCCTTACCGGCAACCATTCTGCGTCTCCTTTGCGAGCCATTCCCTGTCTTGCCCTGCCTCGTAGCCGGCCTCTTCTCTTTCACTGCCATCCAGGCAATGCCCAGTGAAGCCATCATCAACCATCATGCCAGCCAACAACAAAATGTAGGTGAGATGCTTCCTTTGTGGTGGAGCAGATGCATGTTTGCTGCCCTGGCCGCACGCATCCCTACCTGGCTTCCCTACAGCCACGATGCGGCGGCGAAGGCTTCCAGAAGACTGCCTCATGCGACGACCGTGCGCTAAATCCCGCAGCCCGCGCCGAACTGATTTGTAGTTGTGTGTACCTACAACAACAACAACAACAACAACAACAACGCTTGTGCCGCACATCCTCCCACGTCGTCAACTATGATTCGATCTTCCCATGCGCCGTGTATGGGGCGGATGTACTATCCGTCAGCCCATTCAGTGACCGGTCTGCTAGTCGCTTCTGCATTGTGTGTCAGATGTCCCCATCGATGTTCCAATCGGCTAGTTACCATGATCCCACCCTCTCACTGCCCTGTCTCGACATGTTAGCTTTGCGACACACAAACTCCCCACCCCCCCTACCAGCCAGAGCAAGCCTACGGGCCTCTTGACACGAGAAATACTGTAATCGACTAATCAAAGGACACAACGTGATAACACCGTGGACGACTACTCGTCAATTGCCCTGTCCAGTCCTGGATGCAAGGCAGCGAGGTCCATGCTGTCAGCCGCACGTTGCAAAGGTTGCCCCCGCATCACTGGCCTTGTATAACTTGACCACATTTCAGCCTGGACTGGTTCCAACACATCTGCCTGCTGCCTCTCATGTTCTTCCCCTCCTCCTCTGTCCAGCTACCTCATTTGGTCACGTCTCCATGACGGAATAACCGATTCGGTGAACTAGGAAGGCTGTTCATCGACCGACTTTCACGCCTACACCATTTCCTTTCAAGCGTGTCAATCAGGCATCTCAAGGACCGTCAAGATGACCATGTCCTACCCACCCTATATCGACTCTCCTGTCGACGATTTCGAAGACATCATCGACTGGAGTATGGGTGAAACCTATGACCCCATCTTTGAAAGCGGTGGCAGCTTCCTGGACGGACATGGCAACAGCTTTCCGGATAGCTACCACGTCCCTGAGAGCATCGCCTCCGAGCAACAATTCACACCAGGACCACCTTTGCTATCAGATGGCCCGCCATCAACGGGTTACACCGTCTCTGGCCCACCATCGCTTCTTGAAGGCCACTCCTCATTCGGCCACATGTACGGTGCCTCTCCGTCATTCGACACCACAGCCACATCTCCGTTCGTGGATCAGAGCCATGAACAGTACTCCCGGTCATTCGGAGCTGGTGATGGGATGATGTCGCCTCTCTGCCGCATCAGTGAATCACCCGTCCTCGATACACGCTTTGCTTTCATCCCAGATGGCACACAGCCGCCGCCCGAGTCATACGAGACTGCAAGGGATACCGTATTCAACCCGCACGTCGCAGGCTCATCCAACGCTTTCAGTGGCTTGGACGTCCGGATTTCCCAGGTCTTCTCCAATGTTGGTGGCTGGGCAGATCAGCCCCAGATCATTGGACCAATTGCAGAAGCGGAGTACTGTCCAGTCGAGTCGTCTCCAATTCAAATTCCTCAAACTAGCCCAAGCTTCCACCCGGCGACGACGTATCCACGCTCCGAACGAACACATGAGTACCACAACCGAAGTCGGGCAGTCACTATCCCCGAAGCAGCTCAGGGAGCGTCAAGCTACAACCAAAGTACTTCGCACTCTCGACGGGCTCAGAGAATGGCACCTACGCTATCAAGCTCGCCAGTGGCTCACCGGCTAGCCAGGAGCTGTACATTGTCTCGCGGTACCTCACAGTCTCGGCGAAAGCTGGCCACTCCATCCCCCACCGAATCCTGGGGCTGGGTATCCTATCAGCCAAACCCAGTAACCAACAGACTAGCACCCACCAGTACTGAGGGGATGCAAGGAAGACCACTGAGAGGGCGTAAGAAGGGTCTAACAGCTGAACAGCGCAGACACGCCGCCTTGATGCGGATCGTTGGGGCCTGCACCAACTGTCAGCGTGGGAAACGAAAGTGTGACGAAGGCACGCCATGCAAGCCGTGTATTGAGCATTACAAAGGAGACTTGGTCAATCATCCATGTCGTGATCGGCTTCTCACCCACCTGACCGACTCTTTCCTCTCCGAGCGTCTTGGGTGGCACCCCACTCCTAGATCTCCGGGATCCTTCACTGCACCCGGCGGTTTTGATGTCCTGGCGGGTATTACATATACGATCCCATTGATCTTTGGCTTCGGTCCAGCGATTCTTGTTCCTGTACATCCCTTGCAACTAGAGGATAGTCATACACTGGTACACGATCACATTGTATACTCTTGGCCACCGGATAAGTCTCCAGAGACATCGCACCGTCACGCCGTTCTGCCTGCTGTCATGTCTACAGACAAAGCCTTTGACCTTGCACAAGTTCTAGACGACCACCTTTCCAAGCTAGTCACGCACCATTTCCGCGGATTCCCATTGTATTCCTCGCCCCTGCGAATCCTCAGGGAAATCTACATTTTTTCCCGCTCCATCTCCCCCTCCGCAGCCCACGCCCACACCCTCCACCAAGCCCTAAAACTCCTCGTCCTCGTCCACATCGGCGGCGACATTACGCTGGCCCCGCAATCCGAACACCCGATCCTCGCCCAACTCATCCGCCACACCATGGACCTCTCCTCCTCCTCCACATCCGACCTCACCCCAACCCCTTGCTTCCTCCGCGCCCAATTCGGCGCCATCATGCCCACACTCGCACAATCCCTCATGAAGCACGTGCTCTCCTCGCTCGAACAGCTCTACCTAAACCGCGACTGCGACGACTGGCCCATGGCCCTCGCAATCACAATCACCATCCTCATGACCATCGAATCAATCCACTACCACGCCGCTAAACTACCCTACCACCACAATCTCTCCTCCTCCACACCACAACCACCACCAACACCTGACCTCCACGCCGACGACCCCGCCATCCAAACCCTCCTCACCTTCTACACCACATGCTACCCAAACTGCCACGCCCGTCTCAACCCCACCTGCAGCCCGGACCCCTCGCCCCGCACCCACCAGTCCAGCTCGGCCGAGGACGCGTTTGTAGAGCGGGTGCGGTGTGCGGTTGGCCAGGCGAGTGGGGCGGGGTATTTGGCGCAAAAGGCGTATGAGAAGAGGGCTGAGGGGGATATGGGTTGGTTTTTTGATCGGTTGGTTGGGAGGTTGGTTGGGAGGGGGGGAGGGGGAGGGTGAGGGGGTGTGGTCTTTTTTTTTATATTCTTGTTTTCGGCATTTTTTCTGCGTCTTGGGCGGATTGGGTGTTGCATTCTGACTGGTTTATGTTCACTTGACTCGACGCATATCCCCTTGTTCGTTTCCATCATACTCTGTGGCCTCGTCATTTTCCGTTTTTTTTTTCAACCCCGTTTGTTTCTTTCCGCAAGCCTGGTTAGTTTTTTTTTTCGTCTTCGGGATACCATGATAGATGGATGAGTGACGAGTGTTATGACTAGATTAACGGATTTACGATTTTTTTTTGGCAAAGATGGATGTATCTGCGTAGATGTGAAGATATGTACATGTATTGATATATGTTTGTGTGTCATCTATATGCAATCCCTAGTTGTTTCCACTCAACCCGACACAACCCCTCGAAAATCCCCCAAGCAGAAAAGCACGGGATATTTCACCGCGGTATGCGGGACTAGCGAACCTGGGTTATAAAATCATATGAGTGTGGTGAAATGGGATGGCCTTGGGGATGGAAAAAGGCAGGGTACAGTGAGCCAAGGGCATATTGGCAAAACCAAATCGATTGGAAGCAAGGGAAGAAGATATATAAAACCAAAGCAAATGCTCATGCCCCGCTCATCAATGCAACTACGCTATCCAAAAAAAAACTCCCTCAAATCGTCAAAAAAAGGACGAGGAGAAAACAGCAAAAGGGAAGGAAAGAAAGAGAAGAGGGAAATCTACAAAACCGAAGAAAAGGACAAGGACGGCGTCCAAGTCTCTAGGCTAACACTTCTATACTTCTCCCACCCACCATCCTTCCGCAACCCCCCGGATCAAGCTAGAACAAACAACATCTACAAAACCCACCCCTCAATAAACCGAACAACTCGTCTGCGCACGCGTCATCGCAGCCGAAAACATGGTCTGCATAGCCGTGTAATGAAACACGATGCCACCCAAGACAGCAAGGTGCCAGATATTATGCGAGCAGCCAATGTAGTCGAAGAAGCCGGGGAAGAAGCGTTCGGGCGTCTTGCTAGCGTACAGACAGGCGCCCGTGACGTAGACGGCGAGGCTCTTGGCGAGCGGGGCGTAAAAATAGTGGGCCCAGGCCAGGCCGCGGGTGTAGGCGAGTTGGCCAAAGGGCAGGAAGCCCGTGAGTGCGAGGGAGCAGTAGAAGAGGACGCGGGCCCAGGCCATGTCGGAGCGGTTGAAGGTCGGGTGCCAGGGGAGGAGGACGCCGCCGATGCCGAGGAGGGCGGTGATGCCCATGTAGGCCCAGCGGGAGACGGGCTCGCAGTAAAACGCCGCGTATTCGGTTGTCATGATGGAGGCGGCGACGAGGAGCGAGATGCCCGTGTAGTCGACGCAGGCGAAGCGTTCGAGGAGGGTTTGGTGCGAGATGGAGTTCATTGTGTGCCAGATGGTCGAGCAGGCCAGGCATTTGACGGCGGCGAAGAAGAAGACGGCGGCGATGAAGATGTCGGCTTTGGTCGATATGCTGAAGTTGTGGCTCATCGGGTAGAAGTAAAAGGCCATGGCGAGCACCATGACGAGGCCGATGAGGTGCGTCCAGATGTTGATGAGCTCGTTGTGAATGCTGACGACGGATCGGACGCATGCCCATTTGCCTTCGGAGAAGCGGTAGCCCTTGAGAATGTGGGGGTTGACTCTCCAGGGCTCGGGGAGATCATCGTAGTGGATGAGGCCATGCTCTTTTGCGCGCTGGAGGGCTTTTTGAACGGCGTGCTCGACGGTATACTCAATGGCTTCTCGTGCTCTTCGCGCCTTGTCGAGTCCCCCATCCATGACCCCCTTTGCAATCTCCAGACCCTCGTCCATCTTTCGCCGACCGCCTTCGTAGAACTCTTGTGCATACGAGCCGATTGTGCCATCTCTTAGTGCGTGTGCTCGACTCTCAAACTCGGTCAGATAGGAATCCATGAGGAGGATGCCCTCGAGCACTTTCTCCCCAAGGGTTTCCTTGCGTTCCAGTGCATCCTTGTAGCGGTCCTCTAGCGTCTCGACGAAGACGGCAGCCTGACGACGCCCCGCCTCGATGGCACCGTCTGATATTTTCGAACATTGCTCGCGCACGGCGAGAAGGGTGTTGTAGGCGTACTCTATGCCTTCGTCATACTTGAGGTGGCCATACGACTCCAAAAAGTCCATGCGGCAATTCAACTCGGTCAGGAAATTCCGCAGCTGTGCCAAAAGGAGGGGTTAGCCATGTGTGGACCAACAAGTGGGATGGTAGCAAGTGGGATGGGTGTGTGGCGTACCAGAATGTGGAAGTTTTCTGCTTCGTGAGCGCATGGCTTGGTGTGCCATGAGTGCCGCCGATGTCGCGAATCAAAAGTTCCGTAGCCTCGGTAGGTGGTCCGCGACGGCTCTTCTTGCGATGTCATGACGGCGGTGCTCACTGCTGCACTCGACTGGGAGCGAGGAGGCATGGCGAGCGTGCGAGACATGGCTGGCTTCACACTTATACATGCAACGAGGACAAGTGTGCGCGGGGTTGTTTGCAGTGTGGCAATGTGCCTGGCCCCCGAAACGGCCAATGGAAGAAGGGTGGTGATGGGGAATGAAGAGCTACCCACTCGACACAGTCTGGTAGACAGCAAGACAAGGCGGCGCTATTGGATAATGTGTGCACATGCGCGCTGCTCGTGGCTATGGCTGGATGAGCTGTATGGATGTTGAGGGTTGGCACCAAAAAAAAAGGATTTGGTGCGTGGGTGGTGGGTCTTGTGCTCGACGAATGAGTGAATGGAGCGGAAAGGCGTGGGGTTGCTATGTGGCAGCGGGACGAAGAAAGATGGGGGAGTGGTGGGAGGGGGGAATTTAGGAAATGAGATTGAGAGTGAGCACCCCGAGGAAAGGAAAGGAAAGACTGGGTCAGTCTACTTGGGTGAAAGGGACATTGGCAGCGTCATAGGTCATCACTTGGCCACGGCAGCTATGTAGGTTATGTACTCCTAGGTAGTAGAGTACTCTCTACTCCTGGTTAGATGCTCCGTCCTTTGTGCGCTAGACAATGCTACACAATCTGCCACTCTTCCCCCAGCGTTGTTCAGCGCCCTCATCTGCTGCCAACCGCCACCCTGCAGCTCGCTTGTCTTAGTTTGCCATGTCCCTACCTACTCTCGATCTCCAAGACTTCCCCGTGACAGCCGCGCTTCATCAAGCTTGTTCTCGGCGATTGTCCGTTGCATTGCATTGCCCTGCCTTGTTCTGCATTTTGCATGACTGAAGAGTGGTTTCCCGCCTTCCGGAAATGGCAACATGGTCTGCTTGGCGCTAGGATGGATTCGGATCACCGGCCTTGGCGGCTTCAGCCACCCCTATGGTCCTGAGCCCAGGTGGTTGTGCTTACAGAGACTTGTGCTTACAGAGACTTGTGCTGACAGAGACTTGTGCTTACCAGTACTACAGAGACTCGACAACTGGAATCATGCATAGCACACTGTCTGTGCAATTTACAATTCGGGTCAAACGATGTATAGATGGGAGCACTTTGGAAGTGCTAATGCATGTCCCGAGGTCCCCTCTTGAGCTAACTTGGCATGGTCTCATGACTAAAGCTACCCATCGTATTGCACATGTGTTGTGTCTACCTAGTAGTAGAGTATGCGCTGCTTTTCTCAAACGTCAAGCCTTGGATGCTTCAATGCTGGATCGAGGCCCAGATCAGATGCCTGCAACCACGTGTGGTCTGGGGTGTTGTTGGCGTCACAGGGTCCAGCTGCAAGACCGCGTGGGCGCAATTGCGACCCAACGCTGACCCGGTTCCCAAGTTTGAAAAAAAAACCTTCCGTGACCGCGAGACACCCTTTTCCCCACCCGATCCCACCAGTAGCAAAATGGTGCTCCAAGCAATCAAGTACTCACGAGGCCGGCTCGAGATTCTCGACCAGCTGAAATTGCCCCACAGTGAGGAGTATGATTCCATGTACTCGTCCACCGATGCATGGCACGCCATCAAAGACATGAGAACGCGAGGGGCACCGGCGATTGCCATAGTGGCCGCCTTGGCCCTCGCCGTCGAGCTGGCCAATATGAAGCTCTCATCCATAGCCGAGGAAGTCAAAGTCTTCGTCACAGAGAAGCTGGACTACTTGGTCACCAGTCGGCCTACGGCTGTCAATTTGGCAGATGCAGCGGGCAAGCTGAGGAGAATCACCGAGGAAACTGCCGCCAGGGACGGTGCAGATGGGGAGTCGGTCAGAGAAGCATACATCGCAGCAGCAGAGCAGATGCTGATCGACGATGTGAGCGACAACCAAAACATTGGAAAGCATGGAGCAGAGTGGATAGCGAAGAATACACCGGCGGGACAAAAGGGACCCGTGAGCATGTTGACCCATTGTAATACTGGGTAAGTGTTGAATGCTGATGATACATGTATATATAATCAATCAATCAGTCTAACTCGTCAGCTCTCTGGCAACCGCAGGCTACGGAACAGCGCTTGGCGTGATTCGATCCCTGCATGCTGCTGGCTCCCTGAAGCACGCTTTCTGCTCAGAGACTCGACCCTACAATCAAGGCTCGCGGTTGACTGCTTTTGAGCTCGTCCACGACAAGATCCCAGCCACCCTCATCACTGACTCCATGGCTGCCGCGCTTCTCCGCCTGCGAGGTACCAGCGAGAACATGGCTGCTATTGTCGTCGGTGCAGACCGTGTGGCAGCCAATGGAGACACGGCCAATAAGATCGGAACCTACTCCTTGGCTATCCTGGCCAGACACCACGGTATCAAGTTTCTCGTCGCAGCTCCCCGTACCACGATTGACATGAACACCCCATCTGGGGCTGACATTGTCATTGAGGAGCGACCAGGCAAGGAAGTCACGCTGGTCAAGGGTCCAAGGTACGACGGTGTTACTCTAGACCTCGCTGTGGTGGAGACGATCAGCATTGCCGCCAACGGTATCAACGTTTGGAACCCGGCTTTCGACGTCACCCCTGCAGAGCTCATTGATGGTATTATTACCGAGGTTGGTGTAGTAGAGAAGGATAGCGATGGGAAATTCCCATTGGCCAGCGTATTCGAGGCGGAGGGGTTGAAGGTGAAGCCATCTACGGTCGGAGGGTGCTGAATGAATCATGGTTCGCAAGGCAAAGAAATGCCTGTGTAGATCGAATGGATCGAATGGATCGAATGAGGACTATAAGGTTGCTGCCTGTTCTAATCGAACACTCCATGTGGTCCACATGTGTGTGCCAACCCAGCCCCATGCAGGCGGTCATCGTTCCTGCTCATGCTCTGAATAGCTTCGATGTCTTTAGGCAGTGATGATGGTGTTGCTCTATTCCCATGTCCAGTAGCATAGTATACACTATCACAACCAGGCTTGCACCCCTCTAGGATGAGTTCTTTGTGTTGGGCTTCGTTTCGGATGCAGACTGCTCTTCAGCATCTGCCTCGGCCTTTAATTCTTGCTCTGCCTTTTCTGCTTGCGCCAAAATTTCCTCTATTTTCTTTTCAAGGGAATCGAGGTGACTTTCTAGGGCGGCAGCCGTCTGTTCGCCACGCTGCAGCTCTTTGAAGGCCTATGACAACTGTTGTTAGCATCACAATCGCGCGACCGTGGTATACCAGGGACAGATTTACCTGAGCAAGGTCTGCATCCGACTGCGATCCTGGCGCATCGCCCTTCTGAGAATTCGACATGTTGGTTAGGCAAGACGGAAAACGGAAGACAGTCGTGGTCGCAGAGGCGAGAGGTCGGTAGTGGTGCCCTGGGTAGTGGAGCTGACCTGGAAGATGACGAAGCTTCGGGGCAATCAGTCAAGTTAGCGCGATTGACCTGCGCAGGGTGCATGAACTGGGAGCAGTAGCAGCGCAGCCCTACGTCTTCAACCTTACCACCTCTCCCGACGCAACCGTTCGTGCGCCCCTTCCTGTATATTCCTCTTACCATACCTCTCCCCGTATGCGCACCCTCAGACCTTGGTAATCGATCCGCGATCACTTGGTCACCATGTTCTCGGGGTCCAGTTCCTACTTAGGGGGCGGCAACAGTGCCCGACCTGGGCAGCCACAATATGGCCAACAGCAACAGTCGTTCCAGCAGCAACCTGGCGGCTTTCAGGGCGGCATGGCCCCTCAGCCAACAGGCTTTGGGGGAGCACCATTGCAGCAGCAATTCACTGGCTACCCGGGCCAGCCGCAGGGCTTTGGACAACAGCAGCAGCAGCAACAGCAGCAACAGCCCCAGCAACCACAGTATACGGGCTACCCAGGCCAACAGGGGCAGCAATTCCAGCAGCCGCAGCCGCAGCAGCAACAGCAAGCACTGCCACAGATGCCCTTCCAGACAGGCGCACCTTCACAGCAATCGTTTCAGTCGGGTGCCTCTGCACAACCCCAACGACCGCAACCAACGGGCATGACTTCTGCGCAGATGGCCGACTCCTTCAGAGGGGGCGCTTCATCTGCACCGCCTCCTGTGCCGGCAAAGATGACTAAGATCCCCAACATACGGCTCTCGTTCATCACGGCGCAAGACCAGGCCAAGTTTGAGCAGCTCTTCAAGTCGGCCGTGGGCAGTGCCCAAGCGTTGTCGGGGGACCAGGCGCGGGACTTGCTGATGCGGTCCAAATTGCCTGGAGATGCTTTGTCGCATATTTGGTAGGCGAGTCGTGTTCTCGATCCGATGCATTGCTAACAGAGGCAGGACGCTGAGCGATACCACCAAGTCTGGCCAACTCCTCTTCCCCGAATTCGCCCTCGCCATGTACTTATGCAACCTCAAGTTGACTGGCAAGGACCTTCCCAACTCTCTTCCTGAACGTGTCAGGAATGAGGTGTCGAGCATGGTAGACATCATCTCCTTTGGCGTCGGGGAAGATCAGATTAGCCGTCCTGCTTCAGCCAGCAATGCCCGCAAATTCAACGAGACTCCAACGATCCAGCAGCCCCAACCACAGGCATCAAACAGCCAACTTCTCTCCACTCTTGTTACTCAGCCCACCGGTTTCGGCCAGCCACAACCAGGTTTGCAGCCGCAGCAAACGGGCTATGGGCAAGCCCCGGGAGGCTACAATGGGCCCCGACCACCCATGCCTCCTATGCCTACAGGCTACGGCAACAATTTGGCCCCAAGTCAGACAGGCATGGCTCCGCTCAATGCGCAACCCACAGGCATGCCTGGGCAGTGGGGTCTGGTCAACACTCCTGCAACGGGATTGCCCAACATTGAAGCTTTGGCTGCACGTATGATGCCCCAGACAGGCAGAGAAAGCGGAGTTCATACCACTGCGGGTCTGACTGGTAATGCTACCATCCCATGGGCTATCACCAAGGGCGAGAAAAAATTGTACGATGATACGTTTCGAGCTTGGGACGGCATGAACAAGGGATACATCAGTGGAGAGCAGGCCCTCGAGATTTTCGGTCAAAGTGGCCTTCCGAAACCTGATCTCGAGCGTATCTGGACTCTTGCTGACTCTGCTGACCGCGGTCGTCTCAATCTGGATGAGTTCGCTGTCGCAATGCATCTTATCTACCGCAAGCTCAATGGATACCCCATCCCAGCTCGGTTGCCTCCAGAGCTCGTTCCTCCTTCCACCCGTAATATCAATGATTCTATTGGTGCTATGAAGTCGCTTCTGCGCAATGATGCAGAAGACAGGAAGAATTCGGGAGCATTCCTCCAGCCTCAGCGCACCGGCGTCAGCTATCTCAAAAGTCACTCATTTCGGTCTGGCAGCCCTCAAGCAGGCGGGCGAAAAGATGCGACTGTTTTCAGAAACAATGATGATAACGTCGGTTACAAGTCGAGTGCCAGGCATCGTTTAGGTGCTGGTGGTCGTTCGCCGTCTCCCGCACAACCTGGGTCACCATCATCAGAGCGAGAGGAAATGTCGATTGACCAGCTTCGCAAGTTGGTCAAAGAAAAGCAAATCATCTTGGATGCTATGGACGCCCGAGACGAGAATGCAGCAGACGAAGAAGATGCGCTCGATCGTCGGGACCGCAGAGATGCGGAGGATCTTTACCGCCGCATTCGCAGGATCCAAGAGGATATCGACGCTCACCCTAAGGCCGCTTTGAGATCCACGGATTCAGACGCAGAGCGTCGCCTTCTCAAGCGCCAGCTGCTAGTATTGACGGATCGCTTGCCTGAGCTTGCATCCAATGTGCGACGGACGGAACGAGAGATCGCAGATGCCCAGTTAGAGCTTTTCAGGCTGAGAGACGCCAAAGCCCATCCAGGATCTGCGTCTACGATTGTAGGCACCGGTCCTGGTGGTGCTGTGACCGAATCAGATCGATTGAAAGCTCGTGCCAAAGCCATGATGCAGGCACGCTCCGCTGCTTTGACCGGACGCCCTGCTCCTGTCAGCGATGATGGCGGTGCAGCAACTGAACGCTTGGAAAAAGAGAACTCTCGCATCCGCGCGGAAAGAGAAAACAACGAACGCATGATTCGCGAGGTCGAGGATAGTGTACAGGAGTACAGCAAGGGTCTCGAATCAAGTCTCAAGGAGGGAGGACATGACAACACCAGTGAACATGAAAGACGCAGATGGGAGGAAGCTCTAGGAGTAGAGGATGAAGTCAAAGACTTCATCTTTGATCTTCAGCGAAGCAGCCGAGCGGCGCGTGTTCGCAAAGACGAGTAAGTTCATCCTTGAAGATAATCAAGGCTATGACTAACATTTCTCAGCTCGTCCCGTGACAATTATCGTCCATCTGCCCGCTCAGAGACCCGTCCAGTTGCGGGGTCTCGCGACGTCAATTCCTCTGCTAGTGCTGAGCCTGCGTCTCGACCATCAGCACCATCTGGTGGAGGGTCCTATGCTTCTTACAAGACCCCTGAGGAACGCGCTGCTTTCATTAAGCAGCAGGCTGAACAGCGCATGGCGGAACGTCTCGCAGCATTAGGTATCAAAGCTCCAGTCAAGGCCGGTGAGACGCCTCAACAGCGAGCTGAGCGCGAGAAGAAAGAGCGGGAAGACAAGCTACGTCAAGCTGAAGAGGAAGATGCTCGTCGTGAAGAGGAGCGACAAAGACGACTTAACGACGAATCAACAGCTCCCCCCATTGTCTCCAAAGCAAGTAGCAAGAAGCCTGCACCGCCTCCTCCAGTCTCGCGTAAGAGCAAGACTGATGTACATCAGCATGACGTGAAGCAAGCTGAGGCTGAGTCGAAGAGAGTGGACCATGACCTCGCAGAACAGGCCCTTCGTGAGCAACAAGCAGCGCAGGAAGCGGAAACACGGCGCATGGAGTACGTAAAATCCCTAGCTTCAATCGATTGTACTAACAGAAATGCCAGGGATGAAGAGCGTGCCCAAGAAGACGAGCTTGCCAAGGAACGAGAAGCCGCGCAAGCTCGCCTACGAGCCCTTGAAGAGCAAGTGCAACAAGGCAAGCTCAAGAAAGCCGAGGAAAAGAAGCGAAGGGAGGCTGCCCAGAGAGAGGCGAAAGAAAAAGAGGAGCGCTTGGCTGCTCGACGAGCCGAAATAGAGGCAGCCCGTGAACGTGAACGGCAACTGCAATTGCAGCTCGAAGCGTTGGAGGACGATGAGTCTTCTGATGACGAAGGCCCCCAGAACATCACTCCTCAAGACACCACCCCTACCGCCAGCCAGGAGTTGGCACGCGACGCTGCACCGCCAGCTGCACCGCCCATGCCAGTTGTGCATCAAAACACACCTCCGTCATCGGTTGCCAGCCCACCCTCATCTTCTCTGACCAGCCCCCATCCTGGACTTGGTGACACAGAGACCAAGAACCCCTTCTTGAAGAAGATGGCTTTGACAAATCAAGAGAACAGCGCGTCTGCACCTCCGCCTCCGCCCAGCAGCACTAGTGAAGTGTCCACGAACCCATTTCACCGTCTGACACAGGAAAATGCCAACAAGTCCACCATACCTACCTTCAACGAGCCTGCTGCTCCCTCAGCTCGCAGGCTGGGGAAGCAAGACGACGACGACTGGTCTGTCGTTGACTCGGACGATTCTTCCTCTGACGAAGACGAAGGTCCCTCGCAAGGTGGCGCCAAGCAACTCGCATCTATTCTCTTCGGCACCATGGCACCACCCCGTCCCCTCTCCTCAATGGACAACAAGAGCCCCCGCGCTGAGAGCCCAGCTGTAGCCTCCCCTGCTGGCATTCCACCACCACCACCGCTGCCTTCAGGCACAGCGCCTCCACCTCCACCTGGACCTCCACCTCCACCTGGCGGCGCAGCGCCTCCCCCGCCGCCTATGCCTAGTATGCCGGCACCTGGCGCCCTACCAAACCGAGGTGCGCTCCTCGGTGAGATTGCAGCTGGTAAGGGGTTGAGGAAGGTGGAGACGAAAGATCGAAGTACGGCGGCTACGGCTGGTAGAGTTTTGTAATATACTGGAATGGGATTGGACGGTGGAAGGAGAATAGAATAATTGGGCTTTTCTTGAGAATGTGTTCTGTGGTACAATTACAATATGGCTCGTCAAGCATGGGTTTGGTAGTGATGTCTACTAGTGAGTGACTTGAAGTGTGGTTTTTGGAATCAGCTACTTCTAAACTTGAGACGAATTGCTCTAATGCTTGAATCTGTGTGTAAAAGATTCGACGCAACAATCATGGCTTGTGTAGCCTCGGTGTGTAATTGTTTTGTATATATAACTGTTTGATCTTTGCTTTCTCTATGGATGTTGCGATTCTCTTTTGAGTAAAGGTAGAACAAATTGTTTGTTGCTGTAGGTAAGAGTAATTTGGTCAAAGACGGCGCTAAATTATCCTAGCAAGTGCAGCCGAAGCTCGCCACAAGCTTCCAAACTAACTCTAATTAACTTCCTAAACTTTACACATCCCCACCATCACAGCGGCACTGCGCAACCACACCACTTGCTTCTTACAAGATCCACTCTTTAGTAATCGAGATATAATCATTTTTTCGGTCGAGCATTTGGACCCTTCGTGGCTGCTACCATGGCATTCAACAACTGGGACAAGCTTTCCAAGGGTCAGCACGATTTCCCAAAACCAAAATTCGCAAACTCTGTTGTTGACAAGGCGTTGAAGAAGCAGCCTAATAGCCCATTTCTCCTGGTAGGATAGCTTATCATCACGTTTCTGATGGTCTTTCTAACGTATACATTAGTCTTGGAAAGCTGAGTTGCTACTATCGTTTGATGACCCTGGGAGAGCTTTAGATAATCTGCTGCTTTGCGCCAAATCACTATCGGGAGGAACTGACACACGTCTACTCGCATATCTATATTCCCTGTCCGTGGAGGCTATCAGAAAGACTGGGAAGGAGGCCAAGGGATTTGGTTCTGTCGGTCAAGATTTTCTTAAGCCGTGGCAAACAGTCGTAAAAGCAGCCGGGCGCAAATCAGACCGACTGAAAATATGGGATACTTTGTTCACTACCGCAAGTCACGAAGATTGTTGGGACGATGTTCAATTCGTAAGCTATTCCTTGATTGATATGAGTAGGTTGAGTCTAACACCACGTGGGCCGTCGTCAACTGCCAGAAGGAAGGGTTGGTCGACAAAAAGCAGATTCACTACATACGGATCTTGGTCACCCATCTTGCTGCGGAACAGAAGCGGGAGCGCCTGGGAAAAGATGACCAAATGACTCAAATACAGTTCAAGGTCGCACGAGGGCAAATGAAGCAAGCGTTCCAAGCGTCTCCGGTACAGTACACACCCTGTTCTACTTACAGAAACACACACTGATGGCATCAGGATGATCCGATAGCGGTCAAAGATATTCGGGATCTCAGATTCATGGCCGAGATATATGCGCGACAGGGACAATGCAGCGAACTCATGGATCTATGGAAGACAGCACCGCAATCCCTAGTAACGGTCATGAAGACATATCATGACGAGCTAATGAATCTCTTGGCAAGGCTCCTAAGAAAAGAGGGGAACTGGGAGCTTCTCGAAGCTCACTGTCTTGGGGTTATTGAAAGTGTCATCTCACACATGAGGGAAACCAAAGAAACTAAAAGATTTGAAGAGCTTAGTGCAGCGAGATGGTTTATATGGGATAGTCTGCTGCATGCTATCATGGAGTTATATTCTCCTTCTGAGTAAGTCGGCAGTTAAAGATCTCTCTCAGCGGTTAATGAGAGTATAGGGCGCAGGAGAAACTCAAGCGCATCACCGAGAACTGTGCGGAGGTGTTCCAGTCAAATGAACGTCCAATCCAACGGACCGCCATGATATTATCCCAAACCCTCAAGGCCGACATGCTTCCCATCTGTAAGCAATATTGGGAATGTTACTCTGCTACTCCTAGCTGCTTCACTGATCTCCGGTCCGCTGTAGAATCTCTCTCGGTGGGGCAGCAGCAAGAGTTTCACCAGTTCATACAAGATCAAACACGGGATCTTTATGCCAAAGCGGAACTGGAAGAAGTATGTGATTGTGAAAATTTAGCTAAGCTATCTTTTGCTAATTCTTCGCAGGATAAGTTCTCACTATGGCAGCAAACTGAGGTGAATATCCTGAAATTCGACTATTTGCTGACGATTGCGATGCCTCCATCTCCAACAACCCATGCCATGGAAGCTCTTGCCGCAAAGGCCATCAGGTTTTGCGCTTCTTGTCCAGAGACAACAGAAGCAGCATTCGTGGCGATATACACACTCCTTCACCTCCACAACGAAATCAGCGACAGTGAGAAGCATGGCCCTACATATGAAGTAGCGCCCAGTACGCGCATCCTTTTGCAAGCCGCAATGCTGGCGCGTCATCTCGGCGTCCGCGACGGTAAAAGGGAGAACAGAACGCTGTCACTGCTAGCTGCAAGATTGCATCTCAATCTCGGACTGGGAAGAAGTGCTTTTAGACTCTACCGTCTCAGTAAACTGAAGGAGATGCTCCTTGACACGCTCTCCCTATACGTCCTTGCTCGTATCTCCATGACGCATCCGTTCGACATCACAGGATACCAAGGATTTTCGGCAGAGGAAGAGCTCGAGAATGTAGTTGATGCAATTGACAGAATGGAACGGAAGACAGACACATTTCTCTACAAAGATCTTCCCTCCTTCATACATGATCAATTCTCGGATACCCTACTGCTAAAACGGCGGTTGAAGTCAAGCTTGACGAGGCAGCTTTGCAATACTGAACGACGCCGTATCGCTCGTCTGAAAGGAAAATCTACCGAGCATATACCTCGACTCAATCATACGGGTAAGTCCATACACCTTAATCTCCAACTCGAGTTTTTTCCTGCTGGATGAACTATGAATTGACTCTCACAGCCTTTGAGCATGTCTCACAGAATTTGGATCTATCGGCCTTTCCGCATTATGGTCAGACCCATTCTCAGGGCCCATGTCACCTTGTCATGCCAAATCATGTGCCGGATGAGTCCTGGATGATCAAGCATAGTGTTGAAGTAGATGCGACAAGCTATTTTGTCTACCAAGAAGAAGGCGTCAGCGATCTCCTTCGCTGGCATCTCAAAGATTCAGAAAACGAAGACCAAACTCCACCAGCCATATCTGCCGAACACATCGTGCAAGACCTCTGGCGTTTCCTACGCCACTACACTTTGGTCGCCAGAAACGACATCGCAACACCCGGCCATGCAGATAGCCTCGGCCGCTTCCAAGCCCACCTAGAAGCAATGCGCAAGGCCATGCAAAGCCTCCGTCTCCCAGAACCCACAACCGCAACGCCCGAGAACGAAGGGGCCCTGTTCAGCGAGACCATGCTTCTAGCCTGCTACACCAAACTCGAAGTCCTCCGCGCCACCCACAAATTCCTCGACCTCCTCAAAGACAAGGTCGTCCCGGCCAAGAGCACCCACAGCCTCAAGAAGATCCTCCCCAAAGGTTGGATTGCCGCTGTGGCTAGCGAAGTAGACCTTTGTTTCCAAGCGATACAGGATCTAGCACAGAGCTACATCTCCGCCATCAGGAAGACAGGTATGGCGGCTATCAAAGCGCAGGTACGATCCGGTGCTACGGGCAAGCAACTCTGCGCCCTCTTGAGCGCGGAAGATATCCAGTTCTATGCGAATGAGTATGTCGACAGTGCAGTCGAAGGCTGGAGCGGGGTGTTGCAGGTTAAACCCCGTTAGTAAGGCCGTGTGGTCAACTGCCACACTGCCTGTACAATATACATCGCGGGTTTGTAGATTCGGACTTCTCACGTGGTGTTGGGCGTGCATGATTGCCATTGCAATTGCCAGTGCCATACATGATACAAGGCTTGACGGGATGGCGGGCTACGGTATGGGTTGGGTGTGGCGAGTGTAACGTAATGTAGTATAATACACACAACCTACACACAAACTCTTACACACTTTTATACAGAAATAAGTAACTACACTTGCAATTCCACCCTCACAACCCAATCCCCCCTCCTTTTGTTCTCTTCTTTGCACAGGCGTAGCGTAGATGGCGCTTTTTAAATGCTGGCGTGTGGGTCGTGGAATAGCTTGGTGTTTATATGTCTGGCTGGAAAATCTGGTTGGAGGATTTTCCCCTTGGTGCCTGTTCGTGGGTATGTAGATTTATGATTGCTGTTGTATTGCACTAGAGTAGACTAGACTATACTACAGTATTCACATCCCATTATATACAATATGCCCTCCAGCACCCCATTTCGACCCTCCCCTCCCCTCACACCCGGCCTCAAAGCCGGAGAAGAGTGACGCCTGTGATGACGTGGTGTTGTAACGTGCGGTAATTCTGATGAGGAGACAATATTAATTACAGTGGAAGCTTGGAACGGGATTGGGAGATGTGTTGAGGACGAGTAGCTATGATTGTGAGAGATGTTCATGTGGTTTGGCTTCGACGCACCTTTACTTGATGTGAGTGTAGGCTACCTTGCTGGCGTGTTCATTGTATCGAATATCACTACAGTCTACAGTGCTCAGTATACAGTCTCCTAGATATTGCGGTGCCAGTAAGATATCGCCCAAAGATGTCCATGGCACCATCATCTCGGGCGTTTGTCATGCGGAGTATCAGTCCATCTAGCGCTGAACTGAAAGGCAAGAGTGACAGTCACAGTCGTTTGCCAGGGCGACCAAAAGTCACATTCACATGTCTGGTAAACAAGCTCCGTCGCCTGCTTTGTTGTTTGTACTTTGTCGCCTACCTTGCGCTCTTTTCCCTTCTTCTTTCCTTCTTCCTCTTCCCACATCCATCTTCTCTCGAACCATTCGTGACTGTACTGCTCATACTAACCCCATGCACAATGGACAAACGCTTACGAAAAAAGGTTTCAAAGTATTTCACAAGGTTCCTGCGAGACCGCTCCGCCGAACGTCCAAAGACCGCGCCGGCTGCGCCAGCTGGTGGTCGCGAGCGATCGCCAGACAGACCGCCAAACCGCATCGTCGTGAACCTGCCCGAAGTACCGTACCGCAGTAACTTGCCAAATATGCCTGGACCCTCTCGAGAGACTGCTACAGACAGTCTGGGCGGTGAAACATCGACCTCAAGCAATCCGTTCAGTGGTGAGACGCACGACAAGTCCGGCGCTGAACCCCGTGGAAAGGAGATGGCCTCTACGCCCGTCGCATCGGAACTTTTGGCAGAGGAGAATATGGGACTTGGTGGCCAGACTCGCGCCGCGGATAACACTGTCACGCTCGGCCTTCGCTATTCCGTAGACTTGACGGCAGCAAATAAGCCGCGGGAGACGGGCAAGGCGAGACTCTTGAAGCCCATCACTGTTGCGGCCAACTCTTACCAACACGCCATCGCGTCCTCTACTCAAAGCTGCGAGATTGGATCAGTCACTCGGAGCGATGGTACCTCTCTTCAGCCGATTGGCAAGTGGGGCTGCTGCAAATGCAAACGCAGTTACGACATTTACTACTTCACCGACGGCGAGCATCCTGTTAGTATTCTGAACTGCGAATGTACTCACCGGTCTTGCGGCAAGTGCTCGTTGGAAGGACAGATGAAGGTCTTCCAGCCCATGTGCGAGCCGGAAGTCGTCCAGCTCACCGAAGATGACGCCAAACAGATCCGCTTCGGTGTCTTCTGCGACGGTTGTGGTGTTTCGTGGAGGGCCGTCGAGGTCGTAGGGGATACTGAAAAGAAGACAATCAGGCAGCAGATCTCAGGCTTACCCAAGCATATAATCAAGCATGCCAACCCGATGAGAAAGCCCCGTCAAGAAGCTTCCATGGCCGACTTGTCTCTTGCCGGACCCAGCGAGGGACCCATGACCTTGTCGTCCAGTCTCAACCTGCGCGAGCTGTCCAACGAGATGGAGGCCGAGGGACACGGCAAGCAGGCTGACCTCGCGACTGTCAGGTTCACCGGCATCACCTGTCTCTGCGGCCTCGTCACTGACTCTACCTGTCTCTGCTTCCAGGTTGTCGACCCGCCCAAGGATGTCTTCGTCGCCCAATTCGAAGAACTCATGGCGGCTCCGCGCAAGGTCGCTGGGTTTGGCACCACCCCCGAGGACCAGGCAAGGGGCCATCAGACACCGACATTAACCTTGAGAGAACGTATTCAGCACCCGAACCCACTTAGGAGCTGCCCCGCGATTGACGAGTAAGCGCGGACTCTCCGAAACTTGTCTAGACAACATGGTTGGGACTAACTGGCCTGAGGAGGATTTGGAGTATACAGCAGAAGGGGACTCAGTACATAAAGGTTGTAGCTTGGGGTTTTTGGTCTTTGTGGAGTGCCTTGGTCTTTGCTGGATAGGCAGCCGTGCGGGTTGAGTATGAGTCTTGTTCAGCCGGTGAGGAGGATTGGGACCTGACTTCCAGCCCCAGGCATTGTTGATTTAAAGTAGGACAAGAAAACCACAGATTTCGACCTGAAATAGAGTAGTATGATTTCCTTGTGCATTGTGAATGATCTTGCGAACTTAACCTTGATGACGAGGTACCTAGAGCCCATGCTGCGTTGCTTCTTGTAGACTTCGCCTTGTGATACCACAACAGACATTTCTTTCTCCCAGTACAGCGCTGAATTATGCTGAGTACCAAGTATGGACGCTGAGGCCAACAATGCTCTTGTTTTGTGATGGAAGTTAGTGTTTGCTCGGGGTACTCGTGGTTGAGGATCGGGGGCTGTGAAGTTAAGGCCACCGATGTGAAGTTCCAGGGTGACCGCGGACCCAATTCTTCCAGTGATGCCTGGTAACGGTACCGCCACGCGCCGGCCAGTTCGTTCGCTGCGAACACCTCAGCGTCGACGTCGGGGGTACTTCCAAGACATCTTGAGGAGAGTCAATGGACATATATCTGTTGTGATATGTAGGAGTTCAGTCGCCATGTTGTTTGCTGATTCGGCCAGAGTTGGGGGTAACTTAGGCAGTCTCAATACAAATGCGTAGTCTTAGTTCCGCTGTCGTGTATGGTATGCCTGCCACAGCTTCATCGGGAATTGCCGATGCTTGTTTCATCGACCAGACATCATGATTCAACGTTTGTCTGGTTGTAGTCTGGGTTTACCGCGCTAGGTCGCGCGCTTATCGAACAAGCGGCTATGAGACAGAGCCCCGGAGTCGGCCGCACCCCTTGCGGATCGAAACGCTTCAACGCTGACTGGGTCAAAACTCTAGATGCGAAGCTAATATACAGGCAGCCGCCATGAAGCGCGGAGTCGGTGTGTAAACGAGCGTCATGTGTCGCCACGAGATGCGGTCAAACAACAGTCACTGTGCTCAGCCACAACTCTTTCCCGCTACCTGGGAAAGGAGGCTGTGGTCAGCCTCAGGCCGGTCTGGCTCAAACCTACATTCACATCACAATGAAACCAGAAAAAGATAAAACATGCGTAGACGTGCGCAGTACCTTGTGCCAATATGTTAAGACCTACAAACAATAAAAGTTTCACCCATACAATCGTCAAGCTCGTTGTCCGTTTGCGACTGACTACTGGCCAACATTCAAGGCCGGCCGCAGTCAGACACCGCGTCATGTCATTGGCCAGGTACGTCGACATATAAGAACGATGCACCCCCCACTGTCACAAGCAGGCGCACAACTGATTCCAATCTCAGCTTTTCATTCCAGCCCTTATACATAAACTGTGCAAGATCAGCTACGTTTCCCACGTCGAAACTGTCTGTTTCTGTCGCACAAAAGATAGTGTGTCAGGTCGCAGGTCATTTGGCGAGGAGCAACACCTTCACAACTCCAGCCAGGGGAGACGCAAGCACCAACACTTCGACAACAACAACGGCTGCGACGAAGCACAACAGAATCACCAGAATGGCCTCTGAGAAAGACACCACAGAATCTAATGCCCAAACATGCAAAGGTAGTGGCACCAAAGAAACTTCGAAACCCTCTGCAAAGCCAAGCGGAGCCGTTGATATCGACCAGGAAGTCGAAGATGTGTACCATCAACTTCCCGCCCTTCCATCACCACTGCCAAAGCCACACCGGGAATTTGCTCACTGCAAGCCTCCTGAGACGCCAGCCTATCGCAAGTTCTCCGTCTTCACAGCCGGCAGCATAGAAATGGGCAAAGCAGTGCAGTGGCAAAGCCAGATGGCGACCATGCTCTCACCACTACCAATCACGGTCAACAACCCTCGACGAGGCCACTGGGATCCCACTGTCACGCCTGAAGCTAAGGACGAAGCCTTTCGGCAGCAGGTCGAGTGGGAGCTCAGTGCGCTCGAGCAAGCAGATGTGATTTGTTTCTTCTTCGACGTCAACACCATGAGTCCCGTCACCTTACTGGAACTAGGTATATGGGCTGCGTCTGACAAGGTGGTCGTGTGCTGTGACCCAAAGTACTGGCGCTCAGGCAACGTACACATTGTCTGCGACCGCTATGACATACCAGTCGTAAACACGTTCGCAGAGCTAGTACCTGCGATTGAGAAGATGCTGGTAGAGAAGGGCATGCAGCTCGACCAGAATGGCGACTTGATCGGAGAGAATCAGCATATTGACAAGCCACGTCCCAAGAAGAAGTCTGTACTCGAGGCTGAGGTCGATGATCTGCAGAAGCAGATTGCAGCTCTGCAGGCACAGCTGGACAAGCCAAAGGTTTCATGATTGTTTACTGGCGTTGGCGGATATCTGAGCATTGTTTGTCTGGGAGGAAATATCAGTCTTTGGCGTTGCTTCTATACCGGTCCTGTCATTTGTATTCCAGTGGCTTCTCACATGATTTTATGCAGACGGTACCGGTAATGCTCTTGCGTAGAATATGAACCTTACGAATGAATGCACGCATCATGCTGATCCATGACGGAGGCATTTCATAAAGATCACTGGGAACTACTATTCATCGCGCACTGTAACGCCTGTATCGCATACCCGGCTTCCAGTCATTCTGTGTATGAGAGAAACAGGAAGCACGTGATTGTGGTGTTGACATATCAATGATTGTCTGAGCCCCTGGACAGGCTGAGCACGTGTGGCGACTGCCTTGATGCAGGGACCAGCGCCAAGACCGATGTCATTTGCCGCGATATCAGATTTCTGGGGAATATCTCCAGAAGCATTTCCCCATCCATCGTCGCACCCGGCACACCTCGCAGCAAGCTACCTTTACATACTGCAAAGTAAACAAGTAAAGGTTACAGTCTTGACTGTCAATATCGTCAACCCTATATTTCGCGCCTAAACCTCCGTTTCCTCCAATTCACAATCATGGCCGCCCCAAAGGAGGGCGGCTTCAAGATGTCGCTAGGGAAGCTAAAGGCCAAACCAGGACTTAAGAATCCTATAATTCAGAAAGACGCGAAAAAACCGCGCCTTGCGCTTGGCGACGATGAATTAGAAGACACGAACAAGCAGCAGGAGATATCAGGATGGGACGCAGCAGAAGGCGGTGCTCTCGAAGTCGGTAGCAAGAAGAAAGAAGAAGGTTTGCGCATCATTCCAGCACCACCGAATCGCGATTGGCGCGCGGAAGCGCGACGGAAGATATTAGCAAAGGCACCGCATCAGCAGGAGCAAGACCAGAAGAATGTGACGGCGGCGACAGAAGCAAAGGAGAAGGCGGCTTCACAGATTCAGTACGGTCTCACGATCATCAAGAAGGATGAGCCAGCAGAGAGCGGGACAGCCGAAGTCTCTGAGCCTATGGAGGTGGAAGTCGTAAAAGACACCCTCACGGAGGAGCAGCGGTTGGAGAAGAAAGCCATGGACGCGCTGTTAACGGGAAAATCGACCGATGAAGACCTCGTCATCCCCGTCCAAACAGAAGAAGAAGCCTTCCATGATGACCTCAACAACGCGCCCGAAGCACCCACCCTCGAAGCCTACGAAGCCCAACCCATTGAAGGATTCGGCGCCGCCCTCCTCCGCGGCATGGGCTGGAAAGATGGCGAAGCCTTCGGCAAGAACGGCAAAACCGCAACCCCAAAACCCGTCAAGCGACGCCCCGCCCTCCTCGGAATCGGCGCCAAAGAAGAAGCAGCCATCGGTATCGAACTGGGCGCCTGGGGCCCCAAATCCGGCAAAGGCAAGAAAATAGCACAGAGCTACAACCCCGTTGCCCTGCGCAATAAACACACGGGCGAGATCATCACAGAGGAGGAACTCAAAGCTAAGCTGGAAACCCAAGATATGGTTACGGAAGACAAGCCAACCAAGTCTCGCACCAAGTACAGCGATGATGACGACGACAACGAGGCCAACAAAGGCCGCAACCGCGAAAAGCAAAGCCACAAACAACATGACCGCGACCGTGACCGCAGGCGCGCCGACGACTACGACTCCGAGCGCCGAAGAGACAGAGAACATCGCCGCGAAAAAGATGAATACAGCCACCACGACAGCGATGATCGTCGCCGCGACAAGCGAAGACATGGAGACAACGACGACTACGACCGCGAGCGCCGCAGAGATAAACGTCGAGACCGGAGTCGCAGTCCCGACGGGCGTGCGGAGAAGCGTCGGGATCGGTATAGGAGTCGTAGTCGGGATGGTGGGGAGAAGCGGGAGAGGAGAAGGGAGCGGGGTGGGAGTCGGAGTCGGAGTCGCGAGGAGGATAGGGATAGGGATAGGGATAGGGATAGGGATAGGCGGAAGAGGAGGGAAAGGGACTACGATGATGGCGGAAGTGACGATCGCAAGAGGAGGCACAAAGATGACAATTATTATAGATGAGGATGTAACAATACCAGCATTTCCTTGGAATCAGGATAGCCGTGCGAAGACGAAGATATAACCATGGACACCATGAATCTACCCTACGAACCAACAATGCCTGCATGGCCCACACGAACCAACACTCGCCCACAAATATAGTGAGGCGACCAAACAGCAACGGCTCAACCATGATTATTTCAAAATTATACATAATTTCCGTAGACCGAGAAATCCACATTCGACACCATGCATGCAAGGGGCAGTAAACGAAGAGAAAAGAATAATAATGCAGGTTCAACGCCAATTCTTCATGCTACATCAAAGTCGTGAACTTCTCTCGAGTTGGGTACACACAAAAAAGGACATGGACACAGGAAAGAGGAAGAGGTGCTTAGAAGTTTCGTGATGCCAGTGCGGCTGGTTCAGCGGGCTTTGGGTAGCCGTTGACGTCGTGAGAGTCGGGGTTGCCGTAGCCACCGGTGTGGCCGTTGGTGTAGGCAGTACCGTTGGTATAGTTGTTGCCATTGGTGTAGCCGTTGGTGTGTCCATTGACTTGCGGCGCAGGCGAAGCCGAGACACCGCGGTAGTACCGTTGGTTGTCTCCTGCTCCATCGCCCATGGTCTGCGGCGGTGGCATACCTTCCTCGAATGCCTGCATCTCGGTCTGCTTGGACTGGTGGTGTCGTGTCCGGAGCGCGGGAAGGAAGTCGATGAAGAAGCTGGCCACATAAATGCAGAAAACGAATGCTACGATCCACTCCAAAATGGCGGCAACATTCCAAATATCTTGTCTCGCGCAGACGGCGAATGCGATTACGAGGCCGAGCTCGGTGATGATGAAGAAGAGTTTGAGCCAGAACGAAGTTCGCAGGATGGAATGTTGACGATGGCGGACTCCCAAACGCTGATACTCCCAGCAGATGAAGATGGCGCTGATGATGTATCCACCGATGAAAACGGCGAGAAAAATGTTATGCAGGCGGTTGTGGTTGCGGTTGTCGTAAATGGTAAGGAGGATAAGACCGGCAGCACCGCCGACTGCGAATGCAGTCGCACAGAAGGAGTAGAGCTTCTGCCAGTTTGACGTGTTTGGTGCAAGACGGTTGGTGTGTCGCAAGTAGCGCTCGAAGATGAAGGCAAGGTCAAATGTCACAACCGTCGCAGCTGACATGGCAATAAACATGGGCTTTAGGTAGTTGTTCCCAATGTCTAGCCATAGTCAGCGCATACTCTAGACACCACCTCCTATGTAGACATACCAGAAATGTAGGGAATCGTTTGCCCTACGTCCATTGTCTCATATCTTGGCTTTCCAATGGCAGCCCAATATGCCAGCATGGTAATCAACATGGACGTCCATATGACCGCCGAGATGATGGGAACGAGCCAATACTGTAGGCCCAACATGCTGTGAAAGGCCTCGTGAGCGGTGGCTTAACTCGAGCAGAGGCGTAGAGGACTTTCGCCTTGATATAGTCGATGCGACAATGAGGCTGTGTCCGCGACGCGTATTCGGTGATATCCAAGCTTGGCTTATGGAAGCGTCGGAACGGGCAACCGAGCACACGAGCGACGGCAAGGATGACAGGAACGCAAGAACGGAAGGAGGGTACAAGTGATGGGTTGATGAAAATGACAAACAATCCGAGAATGTACAATCTCCAGACCGAGCAAAAGGCCCATCAAAACTGGGGCGTTGTCGCGCGGATGAAGATTCGTGCACTGTTATTGCCCGAACATTATGATGTCAGCTTCTCCATTAGCATTGCCCATAAGCCTTGCAAGCTTCCGCGACCCGCCGCGCCCACGGCGACCACGTCACCATCATCAAAGATTTTCAGGGATGAAGATCGCGGACAGATTAGGGCCAGGATTTAATGTCCTTTTGGTTGTTCCCAGATCTCTGAGATCTCTGGTGCCTTTGGGTGAAGTGCTGAGTTGAAGAGAGTGCATGAGGTTACTGGTGTAGCTGCTGTCGATACGATCGTAGCTGCCGTAGCTGGTGTCCATTGGTCGCGCCGGATTGCTGACAAAGAGCCAGCCAACGGACGCCGGCGCCGGCGGCCGAACGCCCAAGTTTCCACATTCAACCCCTCCATACTCGCCCGGATGGAAATTAGGATCACTGCGCAATCCATCCCTCTTTCTTGGTCAAAACCCACGATGACTGTGTGGTCAGCCTGGCATTTGACACTCGCAAATGTCTCAGATGTAAGCATTTCTGCATCGAGTGGAATGGCTAAAACACAAGTGCAGTGTCCTCACACACTCTGGAAGCAGATCCAGCAACCGCTCTACACAACCATTGCAAGGCCGCTTGCCTGAAAGATATACAGTACTAGTTGTGGACTGTGTAAGCGTCAGATCTGGAGTCTCGCCTCATGTAGCGTCCCGATCTTCTGTGGCGGCTGATCCTCGGCAACTCCCCTTGCTTTTTTCGATCGGATGAGAGGCCTCCCCATCTTGTGACGTAGAATGGGCGTCGCAAAGTTCCCCGAGGCAGTCAAGACAGATTACGATGGTACGACGTCGAGATGAAGAAGTGACGCAAGCGGATATTAATCGCAGACGTGTGCTTACGATACACGATTCACAGCTCAGTGCCAGCTCGTGCCAGGCTGTCCGTCTGCTGGCTGCCACAAGTACCGATTTTTGCGCGAGGTGAAAGGTGACGACGTCGTGCGCAAGTACTCATGCATTAGCCAATGGACATTTCCAGACTTCAAACGATGGCCGTGTTTACTCTACTCGTACTCTAGAATCTATGAGTAGAGTGTGGCCAAGGCAGCTGGAGATCTGTTGCGGGCGACTCACGAGCGTCCTGCCGTGTGATATAATAACAGCACAAGTCGCGAATAATGGCAACGGCCGTGGACACGAATCCGGGTGACTTTCCCATCCATGAATACCTAACAGATGTGGATGGGAGAAACACACAAGGGCCTTCCTGCAAATTGCCATGATTTGGATTCTCGGGGCTGGAACGTGCCGATCAGCCGTCGCCTGGTCAGGATTCACAGCTAGGATCCAGGTAGCTTCACACTGTGCATGCATCGCGTCGACCCAGCTTGATTGGCCCGCAAGCTCGTGCAGCCATTTGACATGATTGGCAGGTGAGTCTTCTCCGGGATGCAGAGTCAGTTTCAAGTCGAGCCATTTCCAGGTTTGTTGTGTGTTTACTTGGATGCTCCCCGCCTTATCTGCCATTCATTGCGACACTGGTCATGGGAAGGCCTAGCATTGTGAAATCCTGGTTATTCGATTCCTTTTAACCGTCCTTAGACACCTGCCTATATACCTCTGTTGCGGAGAACGCTTCGATTGCGATCCTTTCTGTCCAGGTCCAGGTATCATTGCAACAGCTCACCTGGCAGATCCGAAGGCCCCGCAGGTCGACTGTGAGACAAGCTCCCCCCAGCCAGCATTCAAGCCTGTACACCGCTTCCATCGTTGTACCTAGTTGCAGAAACGGAAACGGAATTTAGACTTTGGTCATCACTTCCAATGCATCTTTCTGATAGATCTTGAGCGTGGTCGCTCTTTGTGTTCACTTCGAGCTTCCCACAATGGGCAACCATCAGAGCAAACCTCACCAGAATCGCCTTTCGAAACCGAAAACGAACACGAACTCACCAAGTCTCCCACCCAACACAGACTCGCCTGCTTCTTTGAGCTCTCGGTATGCGGATCTCAGCGCAAAAGGACGCCAGCAAATCAAGGATGCGCTTTTATCGCCCGTAAATCCAGAAATTGAACAGGCCAGTGTGCCAGCACAGGAGGAAGTCGCGAGAAGCGTGAACAGGCAAACGCCAGGTGGTCCAATACTCGTCATGTCGAGGAACAACTCTAGAACCAATTCGCGGTCTAACTCCATATCATGCTTCGGAAGTCGACGCGGATCTATGACGAAGATGGGCAGCGTTGCAGATTCAAAGACATCGCCGCATCCAAACACAACTGTGGATATAGACGCAGCGATCAGGCTACTGCAGGAAGTCAAGAAGAATGCCTCTCCAGAGGAACTCGCTGCTCTTCATGAAGTGCTCGAGTCCGCGGACGGCCATGCAGCACCGGCTTCAGAGCACAACCTAAGCCGGAACACGTCGCTGGTGAACAGGTCCTCCTCCTCCCTGACGCGACGACGCTCTTCAGTACAGACTCCTGGCATGGCAACACGTGTCCCTCCTGTCGAATGTCATCGCAGGACCTGGAACTCATGGAAGACACCCCAGCTTCAGCCCGAGGAGGAAGCCAAATGGAATTTCGCTCACAAGGGACCGTCCCCAATAGCTCGATTGTCAGTCGTCGACTCACTTGAGGAGCATCGTGGCCCACCGACAGCGCGTGCACAAACGCCTTCAGATCTGGACTACGGCCATCTTGGGGGCCTTAGACCGGGAACCCTCGTGGTAACCAATGGAGCACCATCACCTGCAGCAAGCACAGTATTTTCAGATCGAACATCTCGCGCCGATATGGGAGAAGATTACTTCCTGGCGTCAGAAGACTACTCTGGATCTTTGACGATGAAAGCGACCAGGAGGCGTGGACATGAAAAAAGTCATTCCGCTCTGCTTTCAACCCCTACACCACTTGATGATGAATCCCGCCCTCCAGCTGATGAGACGAAAGAGAGTGTCGAGTATGCACCGCCATATGCTTCTTCTCTCAGTCAATCTATCGGTTCACAACGGACAACGTGGCCCGCGGGACCATTGCAAATTAATACTGTAGCCACTGATACCTCTGTACAGAGCGCAACCCAGTATGCCCAGAGCTATCTGGCGGAGTTGCCTGATAGCCCCTTTGCCCCGTCAAAGCAAAACCACGGGAGTCTCGGTGTTGATATGGAACACTCTCAATACCATATGGATAGGATCACTCGTACCGTCCAAGGTGCTATCTACGAACTTGATGCTGGCATAGAAACGACTGGACTCAATCTTTCTGCGACAACGCTAGAAGAGCCTGGTCCATCAAGCAACAAAGACAGAGCCGCTCACCGGCCCTCGCCACAGACGTACGACTCGGGTTATTCTTCTAGCGGCAGCTTGAGCGCAACCGATCGTAGAGGCCATGGTCGAGCACTCTCTGATCCGTCTGCGCAGCGCAGGGATTTAAAATCAGAATGTCCAGAAAGCTATAGGAAACCTATGCTCCGGTCGATCCTATCAAGAAACCTGCATTCTCCAGATATGGAACAAACAGAGAGTTCGCAAAGTTCTCCGAGGCCGCAGTCTTTGATGCTCTTGGATAATTATGCACGTTCATCAGCATCAGACTCTACACTGTCGCCCCAAACACCCCGATCGGCTATGTCCAAAGCTTCTTTTGATAGTACGTCTTCAAAGAGCAAAAGTCGGTTACAGCGACGACGTCCATCACAGGCAGAAGTCCCAATCGTACAATCATGTCAACCAATCCCAGAAGGGACGATTCCAGAGGTTCCTGATGATGTGCGTGCGAAATTCATACGTCGATTATCTAACACTCCGGGAATGGAATGTCTGACGAACACTTATCAGAGCAAAGATGATGTCTTAGCAGGCAACCATGTTGCCAGTGACCACTTTGACGAAGCTCATTGGCCATCGCAGTATGCAGAGCAGTCATCAGCTGCAGAATGTCAAAGAGTCTGTCCGACTCCTGTTGAGTTTCAGCACTTGACAGAGATCGAGCCTGAGCGACTGTCCTCATCTCTAGCACACGGTCGCCGTAAGAGCAGGTCCTTGTTCCGGAGAAAGTCCAGCGCTGCCGAGAAAGAGTCCAAGAACGCTACGCTCAGCATTGTTGATCTTGGAACCATTGCAAATTCAATTGGAACCTCTCCATACGATGCTGCGAGCACTGGCACCCGACGGGAATCCGTGACCTCTCCAACTCATCCACATCAACTCGGTACCAGCCATCCAAGAGCAAAGTCTATGGTGCGAATGGATTCTGAGGCAGCCGCCGAATTCGCGCGTATGCGTAGTAAAGACCGCATGGGTGTCGAGCCAGCGACGCCACAGCCATTGCAGCGGCCACAGCAACAACGACGTTGGAGAAGCTACGACAGCTCGATAGATGCTGGCGAAGCAAAAGCTATCAAAAGACGCCCTCAGAGTCTTGTTGGCGATATACCACCTGTCCCTTCCATTGACAGATCAGTACAGGATGCTCGCCAGTACACGGTAATTTCCGGACGAGACCATGAAAGCCAAAATATGCACAAGTCGGAGCTGCGCTTCAACGCTGAACTGGGTGTGCGCCGTCACACAATGAGCCAATCCATTGGGGGAGACAGCTACCAGAAGCAAAACAAGCCAGAGCCAACAGTGGATTGGGATGCGCATGCTGATACTTGGAGACAGCGATGCATGTCAATAGGCGAAGGATTACGTGGGCGACGCGCGCCTGCCGATGCTCGCTGTCCTACTGTAGATGGTGGCATACCATCTCGAAGCAGATCGGAAGTGGAGAGCTGGGGACGCTTTAGCGGGGGTTTAGGCTATGACTACGAAGGGCGGGGCGTTGGCGTTGGCGGTTCGGCAGGCACTAGACAGCTGAACTCGTATGCCAGCACGAAGAGTATGAAGTGGAGGGTTGAGCATGGCGTGGATCTTTCCGATGTTCCGATCATGGTGCAGAGATTGTAGTTAGATAGGCCTCGCTTGCTGTCCACACATACACAGACTCACACATTGGTCTGCTTGGACGGACGGCTGGAGAGCATGCAGGCCCGCCGTTTGGGATGGCTCTTGTGTGCTTCGGTCGCTTTGTGATCCAAGAGACCCACTGGTTCTCACCAAGTACATACTGTTAGGCGTTGGGGGTAAGAGGCGGTGTGCTTTGTGATTGCGATTCAGGCGCCGTGTTTTTCATTTATGTACAGGATGCGATGATGTAGGTATCTTGGGCAGCGTTGCATGCACGGAGCATCTTGCGATTGATGAATTTCCAGCATTCATCCACACACACACACACATGTAGGTAGAGACTGGACAATATTGAGTATCGGTATGTAATGGTATATAATGCTCATACGGCCGCGCTCCAGGGAGATGGAGGTTCTGGGGGCCTGTTCACATGGAAAAAAAGTACAATGGAATGGTTGTCACAAGTTACTGTGTATGGTAAAAGTGACAAAGCTGTTACAAGACTGCCCAACCAGCTGCCGAAACTTGTTGAATGTCAGATACGAATTCGGCAGTGCAATCATCCAAGGTCCAAAGTCCAAATCTCAATCCCATCGTCTGTGGCCTTGGGTCGCTGTCTGAAATGCGCCATTTTTTGGTACAGGCCAACCAGCCTCACATGCCATGTCCGTTCGGCTTGGGCACGATCGATGCCGATGCAGCACATACAACGCTCGCTGACTCCTGAGCTGATTTTCACCGTGGGCCTCGATTCGCCGGTGATGTCAGGGGCTACACTGCTCGGTGGCTGCATGTGTGGTGGGAAGTGCAGGGATTTTGCGAGCGCAACACACCGACCGCGGCTAGGCACAAGCACACTCCAGTTGCTTCCGCGAAAAATTAAAGACTCTCTTCCCCCGCCATCGCCTCCTCTGCTCTTTCCTCTCTCCACCCTTCGCCTCACCCTCACCCTCACCCTCACCCTCACCCTCACCCTCACCCTACTTGCCACGCTTCACTCATCCGCCATTCGGCTGCTCCTTTCGCTGCTGCCCATTGCACCCGCGACAGCCTTTGGTCGCTTCAAAGGCTTTCCCACCACCACGGCTTCGGCCCTGACCCTGCTCAACCTACAAGTTGTATCAGCACGAGAAGCTCCCCACGTCTTCAATAACATCCCGCCCCCTCGTCTTGTCGTCGTCTAAGCAGGAACTTGAGCGTCTTTTCTTTTTGTCTCCCAACCAGACCCTCGTTCCACCCGAACTTCAGCTGCCGCATAGGACGCTCTCAGTGGTTCTTCCTCTCGCGGAGGAAGAGTCGGGGAGACCTCGCCCACAACCAAGCCTCGGCTTCGCGCCTTTTAAGCCGCCCTAACACCGCATTACGGTCCAGACAACTATCTACCCATCCAATCAACCCCTAGCCTAGGAATCACTATCCAGGGCATGGCACCTTCCGCTATTACTCTTACCGAAGAATACCGAGCCCCATTGAAAGACATACCAGTCTTCAATAACTATTGTTTCGGTAGTAACGAGACGGAGAATGGCGCCTGGAAATCCAAGCAGTTGATTGGAGACGCTCTGAAGAGCCGTGTCGAGGCTATTGATACTGATACCTGCGGCGTCGGTGATGAGGATGCCTTCTTCGTTGCCGACCTGGGCGAGGTCTACCGCCAGCACATGCGCTGGAAGAAGAATTTGAGCCGTGTAAAGCCACACTATGGTAAGCTGAGCTGAGCTGCTTGAACCACGTCTCGACGAATGGGTTACTGACAAGGAAACAGCTGTCAAGTGCAATCCGGATCTGCAGGTCTTGCGCCTGATGACCGAGTTGGGCATGGGCTTCGATTGCGCCTCCAAGAATGAGATTGAGACCGTTCTGAAGTTGGGCGTCGACCCTTCCCGCATCATCTATGCGCAGCCGTGCAAGACCAAGTCGTACGTCCGCTACGCTGCTCAGTCTGGCGTCAAGCAGATGACCTTTGACAACGCCGACGAGCTTTACAAGACCAAGCAGCTCTTTCCAGATGCCGAGCTGTACTTGCGCATCCTCACGGATGACTCGGCTAGCTTGTGCCGCCTAAGCCAGAAGTTCGGCGCTTCTTTGGATACTACTGCTGAGCTTTTGGAGCTGGCGAAGAAACTCGAGCTCAATGTTGTGGGCGTGGCCTTTCACGTTGGCTCTGGCGCATCCGACCCCAAGGCCTTCATCAAAGCTGTGCAGGACGCCCGCTTCGTCTTCGACCAGGCGGCCGCTCTTGGCTTCAACATGCACACCTTGGATGTCGGTGGCGGCTTCACTGGCGATGTCACTTTCGAGCCCATGGCTGCAGTGCTCTCTGCTTCCCTGGACGAGTACTTCCCACCGCACATTCGTGTCATCGCCGAGCCAGGACGCTACTACGTGTCGACTGCGTTCACTATTGCATGCAACGTTATTGCTCGTCGCACTGTAACCGATGCCACGCTTGGCACTACCTCGTACATGCTGTATCTTAACGATGGTGTTTATGGCAACTTCTCGAGCATCATCTTCGACCACCAGCACCCCCAGCCACGCGTGTTGAAGAATGGGAACAATGTCTTGTACGATGTTCGCCGCTCCGGTTACGACACGCCTTCGCAGGTCGAGTACTCTATCTGGGGCCCGACTTGTGATGGCATCGACATCATTTCTACCTCTTGCACCTTTCCTGAGTTGCTCGATGTGGGCGACTGGCTCTACTTTGAAGACATGGGCGCATACACCAAGTGCTCTGCCACGCGCTTCAACGGCTTCACGGACAGCCACGAAGTCATTTATGTGTCCAGCGAGTCGGGAGCTAGTGCGTTGATGGGCATGTAAGCACTGGTTTGATGGGGTAGTGTGCTTACAGTATGTATGCAGGAAGATGTGGGTTTACAAAAGTGCTTGTTGTGTTTATAGACGTTCCCTTGTTGCATAATTTGATCCTTGTATGTGGAAGCCATACCTTGCCATAGGCTTGCGTTTACGTGTATGTGGATCAGGTGACTTTTCTTTTCTTGCTAAGCCGTCTTCACCTATACTGTGTCAGTGCATACAACTGTGCTGCTGACAGCAAAACACACAGTGTAACAAAGTATGGTCCAATTCTAGAGACAAGTGGCGTTGCTGCTGTTGTGAGCGACGACCGCAAACGGTAAATGATGGTTAGTTACTATGTACTATGAGGCTAATTGGCCATGCGATGTCCCATCATACTCTCCACATACCTTCTCCCACGACCTTGCATTCATTTTGCAGTTACTCTTGTGGAGTTTGATCATTACATTTGTATATCCAAGAATGATTGCTGAAATGATTGCCACCGCCACCGCCACCGCCACCGACTACGATAACTAACCCCCCCTGGAGTGGCTGGGGCGGAGTGGCTCAGAAGGGCGACCATGGTGCCCGGCAGCAAGTATGCAGCCAGCTGGACATGGGAGGAACAGGACTAGATTGTCGACTGAATACAACCTGTCTACCCTCGTTGTTCTTATGTTCGTCGTCTAGCCGGTACGGTAGATTCTGGGCTCTGGAGAAGCAACAAATGCATGGAGATGCAATGCTCGGTTGCGGGCCGCCACGGATTGGCCAAAGAGTCGAGGTCTCACTGTCTCAGGGAGCTGCGGCTAGGTACCATGTACGTACATAGACATGCAGGAAAGGGTCGAGTCTCTTCCCAACTCGCTACAGCGATACGACGGGGCTAATGTGTGCCACTCAGGTACAGGCTCCTATGGCCATGCGCCCGCCAAGTGTGCTCTGGTCGCGAAAGCGGCCGCAGAGCGCTTATATCAACCACGGCAGCCAATCACACAGCCAGGCGCGTCCATAGCCAGGCCTCTCGAGCCCAAGGTGGAGAGAGCAGGGCTCATGGGCAGAGGAGAGAGGGGGGAGGGGGAAGGGCTGCGGTAAGTTCGCAGCATCGCCTGCACAGGCGCAGGACAGCGTGTGCGCCTGTTTCCCCTACCTTTCTTCCTGGGAGGTACATATACGCTCACCGGTCCGGATAGTAGGCCAAGTGCATTGCAGCTCCCGTGCTGTCTGTCTGTCTGTCTGTCTGTCCATGTCTGTTGTCGTCATATCGAGCTTCGAGTCAGCCTACCCCACCACCACCGTCACCAGCAGTAGTAGCAGTGGCCGGCCAGCCAGCCAGCCAGACCATCCACACTCTGGCAGTACGCCCCGTTCCAGAACAAGAAGTTGACGCCTGTCATCTGCCATAGCCGGCAATCCAGGTACTGCAACACTAAATAGTATCCTTCCACGAAGAGCATTTCATCTCTGCAGACTACACCCGCTACGCCACCCCCTCACCATGGACGGCCGCAAGCAGGGCAGGCCTGAGGAGGAGCTGTTCCTGCGCAGCGACTCAGACAAAAAAGACACAGAGACGGTTGCGCCCCTGAGAATTCAGAAGGGACGAGATGGCAGGAGTCCCCCTCCGCGAACAGATTCGGCGGGCAGCTCGAATCAGCCAGCCTTCTCGCGCCCTCCGCCCATGCCTTCGTTCCCCGCGCCGCCCACCAGCCCGCCCTCCGCTCCACTGCCATACCCCGACTCAGATCGCCCGCCGCGACTGCCCACGCTCGGCACGGGCCGGTACACGCCTGTCAGCGAGCGAGAGCGCCAGAACACCAATGCAACACCTCCACAGGCAGAGGGCCGGCGGAGGGGGTCGAATGCTACGGGCCCGAGTCCCACGTCCCCAGAGCGCCGCGCTCGATTCGACGCAAACGACCCCAACCGGCCGACAATAGGCGGTTACGGCGCGCGGAACCCAGATGGCTCACTGCAACCCTCACGGCTGGCGGAGCGTAGGGGAAATGCGCCCAAGCCTTTGCCCGACTCGCCAGGACCTGAAGCACCAGACAAGGAGGGGCTGTTCCAAAAGGCGCCGCAGCGACATGGCAGTGCGGATGCGACGGTCGGTGCCAGCAGCAGCAATCCATACCCAGAGTACCATCAGCAATACTTCCCTCCTCCTGTGGCAGCAGCTCCAGTCGTACACACTGGGCCGCACCAAGATGAGCCGGTTCTCAAGGTGCCCACCCCGCTGGGAGTCAACCGCCTGAGCTCTACTGCATCCACGTCTACAGTCAGAGCTCAGCGAGGCTCTCCACCGCCTCCAGAGACTCCAATCATACCTCCACCAGCTGGTGGTATCGAGGCGCGATTTGCTGCAGCAGGCATTGCAGGCACATCTACCTTGACCAACCTACAAGCTCAGAACCTACAGAACGCAGCGGCAGCTCAGCGGAATCAAGTATATGCCAACCAACAGCCACGTCCAGGCATGCAGTCACATCCATCGAATCAACAACAGCCACCGAGGAGGCCATGGACGCCAACCGAGCAGCCAGGAAGCAACCCACATGGCCCACCAGCCATCTATCAGGGCATGGATCAGATGCCGCCTACCAGCTCACCTCCGCAAGGTCCTCTACCGCAAGCACCAGGCACTACTCGATTTTCTCCGCCTCCAACAAACGGCGGCGCAAATCATTTGCACCAAGAGATGGGTCGCATGAACATGAACGAGGAGCCACCGCCGGCCTACTCGAGCATCACCCATCCACCAGCAGGCCAGGGTCAGGCTTACCCCAACGACAAGGGTCAACAGCCAGCTGCACAGGGAGTCTCGCTTTCTGACCCCAACCATGGCCATCCAGCGTTTGCGAATGATCCACGCCAGCAGGCGGGTCCCTCACAGCAGCCAACCGTGGTTGCGCCCACACCTACGCAAAATCAGTTCCCCGCGCAGATCCAGACGACACAGCCAGCAGCCCACACACCAAGCCCGGCGCCAGGTCCAGGTCCAGGTCCGGGTCCCGCATCTCCTCCACCACTACCAGAAGGTTGGATAGCACATCTAGACCCCAGCTCTGGCCAGTATTACTACATCCATCTCCCCACTCAGTCGACTCAGTGGGAGTTTCCCAAGGGCCCGACACCGTTGAACCTCAATGAGCCCATGTCGCCAACAGGCACCTTTGTGGGAAATGGCCTAGCATCTCCTTCCTTCGGCAAGACGCCGCTCGCATCACCTGGATTTCCAACTCAGACGGTCACTTTCCCTGGCGACTTTGGTATGGCACCGCTTGCGACTCCGACTACAACGGGATTTACTGGGCCGCCTCCGGTTGCTGGTGTGGACCAGTATAAGATCAATCCAACAAACGGTGTATATTTTGGACCATACTTGAGATACACAAACATGGACGTTGAGCGAGGGCTGTGGCTTGGCTCGATTCTCTTGATTACAAACACTCCTCATCCTCCAACTATTCACATCCATCAAAGCACAGATCTGTCGCCAAACCCCCGGCAGCTCAAGGCCAACCCTATCTACACACATCAGACATGGATCTTTTATCGGTATGATATCGATCTCAGGATGGAAGAGGATCATGCTGCCAAGTGGACATATGCTATCACGTCGCATCTCGGCTGTACAAGATTCGAATTCCTGGTGGCCGGACGCCACGAGACCAGCTGGCGATTCATAGCTCACTCGGGTAACGACTTTGCCCTCAATGTGAACGCCAACGAGAGAGCGAAGCTTGGCGGCGTGGGCCTCATGTGGAAAGATATTCTCCAGAAGAATGCAGAATGTGGCGGCTTCCACGTGCAGCTAGGGCTTGGTGGCCAAATATATGCTGATCGGCTATGGAAAGAGCTCCCTCTTCTCAAGCAATGGACAGCTACAAGCGGTAAGGAGAACCGTAAGACGGCTCCGTGGACTGCAAAGCACGAGGAAGATGTTTGCCATGCCTATTTCCACTACTACACCAGTCATTTCGATCAGCCCCATCTTCGAGAGGCGTTTGCTCAAATACCACACATCCTTACGCTTGATGACCACGACATGTAAGAAAGTATTCACCTTTATATGAACGCGATACTAACGCCACCACAGATTTGATGGCTTTGGTTCCTATCCCGAACACATGCAGTTTTCCAACATGTTCAAAAATATTGGAAGGCTGGGTATCGAGATGTATCTCCTGTTCCAGCATCACACCACACTCGAAATCTTGCGTAATGTGAGCAATGACATGGACCTTTTCACAATCACAGGCACAGGATGGCACTTCATCAAGTACCTTGGCCCCTGTGTTACGGTTGTTGGACCAGATTGCCGTTCTGAGCGCAACCCGCACCAAGTCATGGCAGGGCCAACATATCAAGGTATATTCCCCAAAGTAGCAACGCTACCGCCGAGTGTGCAGCACTGCATTTGGATGATACCTGTCCCTATTGTGTATCCTCGTCTGGAGTCTGTTGAACACCTTGCTCACTCCATGGCTACGGGTAAGAGAGCAGTTACTGGTACATTCAATATGCTAGGCAAAGTGACGAGTTCTGTTGCTGGTGTCGTTGGCGCTAAGAATGTGGTTGGTGATGGCTTTAGTTCCGTGAAGAGAGCCGTTGGTAAATCCGGTCTGATGAGCGGCGTATTAAGTCCTTTTGGAGAGATCGATTTGCTTGATGAACTGAGAGATCAATGGACGCATGACTCAAAGGTAATCACCTCGTCCCCAGTTACGTGGTATGATAGACTAACAGAATGCAGGATCTTGAGAGAACATACCTCATCAGGACTTTGCAAGGCATCGCCCACAACAAGTCCTTGCGAATGACCTTTTTCTCCGGAGCTGTCGACTGCTGTGGTGCAGGTCTCGTCCATGATCCGTCAAGACCGCAAGATCACAAGACAATGTACCAGATTATCTCTGCCTCCGTGGTCAATGGCCCCCCAGGTGCCCTCGCTCTGCGTCTCCTACATAACAACCGTGCATTGTATGTACCGCAGAACGGCCATCGGTCCAATCATCAACCCACCGACACAAAAGAAGACATGATGGAGATTTTCACACAAGACGTCAATGGTCAGCCGCGAGAACACAAGAGGCTCATGGCTCGAAGGAACTACGTCGCATGTGTCATCTACGACCCCGAGATTGTGAATGGAACATTCGGCCAAGCCGTTCCAGGACATGGAAGCGGCAAGCTGAGTCTGGCGGTCGATTTCATGGTGCAGAATGATGGGGGGTATAGTGCGCCTATGAAGTACGGTCCAGTTATTGTGCCAAGTTTGGAGTATGGGAGGTAAGAAGGGGTAGAGTTGATAAGGATCTTGTATATGTGCGGTTCAGCGGTGCTGCATAATAGAGCGGGGGGGGGTTCATTGGTAGTTTGGATGTTCAAACTTCACAGGGTGTGTTATAGAAATGATTAATCGACTTTGTATACAATACAGGAGGAAGTCAATATTGCGTGAGATATATTGAGTTTTGGAGAACAACAGTTTCTCGTGATTAGCCTGAGATTTGGTTATCGTCCTTGGAGCCATTGTATAGGAATTTATATGAGAGTGTTATGTTCGTAGCTGTCACGGATGGGATGGTTTGCCGAATTCGGCCAATGACATGTGCGAGGCTTGGCTCAGAGCCCATCTCAAGAGACTGGACGGCAACCGTTCCGCAAGTCCACGTATACAAACACCATGGCAGCACCCTGTCTACACGCAACGGGGTTACCGCGATTCCTCCTACCACAACTGTCGTGGTCTTCACGAGCTGTGCGGCCAACAGCACTGGGCGCATGGGAAGCACGACGGCAGCGAACCCATGCAGCCTCCGAGCATCGCATGGCATGTCCAAACACCAGCACAAACACCACACAGACGCAATCGATACGAAAATGGCGGGAAAACGTGCCACACTCTGCTCGAGGCGTATCGACAGCGATCCATTTCAGCCGTAGCTTCAGCGCCAGCGCGCCAGCGTGGAAAGACCACCATTTCGATACGCTCAAGTTTGTGCAGCGCATGAAGGAAGAAGGATTCTCAGAGGAACAAGCAGAAGGCATGATGCGCGTGCTCAGCGATGTGATTGAAGAATCGTACGTCTCTCAGCCCGCTCTCCTATCCTTTCCAACCCACCAAGTGCCATGTAACAAGTCCGCAACAACTACTACAACTACAACTACAACAACGCCCCACTAACCCCCAAACCCCACCCTCCAGAATCCAAAACCTCACACGCACCATGGTCCTCCGCGAAGACCAAGAAAAAGCAACCTACACCCAAAAAGTCGACTTTGCCAAACTCCGCTCCGAACTCCTCACCGCCGACTCGACCGAATCCTCGCTCACACGGGCCTCGCACGAGCGGCTCGGCAACGAACTCGCCAAGCTCAACTCGCGACTGCGCGACGAGATTCAGCGCACGCAGGCGTCGGTGCGACTGGATTTGAATCTGGAAAAGGGCCGGATCCGCGAGGAGGCGAATGTGCAGGAGTTGAAGCTCAAGGAGACGGAGACGAGGATCGAGCAGGAGACGGCGGCGTTGCGGGAGCGGTTGGAGGCGGTCAAGTTTTCGACGTTGCAGTGGTTGATGGGGGTTTGTACGGGTACGGCGGCGTTGATGTTGGGGGTTTGGCGGTTGTTGATGTGATTGTGTTTACTGTGTTGTAGGGTCGGTCGGGTTTGGGGTATGGTAGATGGCAGATGGGTTACAGGAGGGAAGTAGAGTAAGCGATTTACTTTGGGAGCCTAGTGGGTGAATTTACAAGAGGGGAGTTGAGCAAGACATTTCACGTCCTGTGGAGCGATGGTCATGTATGGAAAGACTACCGGGTAGTTGCGAGGCTCTTGTCGGTTGGTCATGTTATATAGAAATACATGGCTGTATAGTGGACTATACAGTACGCTCCATCAGAGGTAGGTGCACTAGTTTTGATAGACGGTGGTCACGAAGACAGGAAGAGTTTACGAAGAAGTAGCGAGATCGAGCAAGATGAGTTTCTATTGTATAGTTTAACAAGCGAGACAACAGTATCCAAATGCTCTCTGGAATGCAATCATCTGGATCTCGAAACAAGTGAATGAACAAAGTACACCGGTACCTACCTATTCTACCCTACCCTACTACGTACACTATACCTGCAGTACTCATGCGCTCGGGTAGTTTGAGTATCATGTGATTTGCCACTGCTACATCCTGGCTATTTTCATAGCACAGACAAGTAACGTGATCCTCAAACTAGCCGAGATAACTAGCAGTAGGCGGCCCTCTCTCCTCCACGCCCGCTCGTCGTCACGAAAAAGAAGCAGCGGCCAATCAGCGAGCTTTGGCAGGCTTGGCAGCGACTCCACCGTTTGGACCCGTGGCCGGCTGTCCAAGTTTTCTAGTGTCTTCTAGTGGGCTTTGATTGGCTCTGGGCCACTACCATTTGTGAGCGCTGGCTTTTTGGATGGCTGTGCTGGCTTTGTTGGGGGGGACTCTGGTAGGGTCCCGGTACTCTACCGTACGTATGTATGTGACAGCCCAACTGGGATGGGGGAAGGGGGAAGGGGGAAGGGGGAAGGGGGAAGAGGGCTGAGGGCAGCGTGGAGGGAGGAGACTGGGCTGGGGATGTGATGGGAGGAGAGAGTGCCATGTCGTGCAAGAGGCTACTGTGTACTCTACTATAGGATGGGCTGGACTTTGCCATGTGTGTGTGCGAGTCGTGGTGTGGATGGAAGGAAGGGGGAAGCTCTACTCTGCTCACGTGCCTCTTCTCTTCCTTACTCGACCGACGTTACCCCTCCTTTCCTTCCAAGCTTTTCCACGTTCCGTCTTTCGGTGCCAGCGGCGTCAACAGGACGAGCAATCACATAGTTACATAGAGCAGATCGACGGGGCGGACACTGGCAGCATTGAATGGCAGCAGCAAAAGCACGTATAGAAGCATGCAAGGAAGAATGGATGGGAAGGATACTAGAGAGAGGGGGTGTCGGTGGTAGGCAGCCCCGTGTGTCTCGTGATTCTCGTGACAACCAACATCGTGGAAGCGTACTCTATGCCTTGCTGAAGAGGGGTCATCGTCATGATGAGGGAAAGAAGGCTGCATTGAGTCCGCCCCTGGCTATAGACAGGTACACCGGCCGTTGAGAAGGGCCATCCACTTGCTAGCCTAGAGAGAGAAGGGGGGGGGGACGAGTGAAGAGGGGAGGGGGGCGCGCGTTGGCAGGCTGGCAGGCTGGCAGGCTGGCAGGCAGGCAGGCAGAGCGTCAGGCAGGCACAGACGGGATGTTTGTTGTCCACGGTAGCAGGGCAGGCAGGAGCGAGTCCGTGCTTCGCTTCCTCCAAACCACTTCAGCACTTCTCCATCCTCCTCCTTCTCCTCCTCCTCCTGCAGTTGATCCACAAAACACCTCACCATCACCACACACTCAACCACACACCACCCCACCGCCCACCGCCCACCGCATACCGCCCGTCTATCCTTCCGCCTGCATTGCATCCCACTCCACCACCCACACTCAACACCCACTACTTTCTACTACACACATTCACACTCAACAATGGCGACTGAGGTACGTGCCCGTTATTGCTGTCCCGATCCCCCCCCCCCCAC